GTTCTTATAAGGACAAGCGTGAGATGCTTCCTTCTGTTCAGAAGCTCGAGAAGCTCGGCTACAAGCTGTTTGCCACTTCCGGTACCGCTGATTTCCTCCAAGAGCACGGCGTCCAGTGCCAGTACCTTGAGGTTCTCGGCAAGGAGGAGGACCGCAGCTCTGAGTTCTCGCTCACCCAGCATTTGGCCAAGAACACTATCGATCTGTACATCAACTTGCCTTCCAACAACAAGTACCGCCGCCCTGCCAACTACATGAGTAAGGGTTACCAGACTCGTCGTATGGCTGTCGATTACCAGATTCCGCTTGTCACCAACGTCAAGAACGCAAAGATCCTCGTCGAGGCCATTGCCCGCCACTTCGAGCTTGAGGTCTCTAAGCGTGACTATCAGACCAGCCACCGAACCATTGTTCTGCCTGGTCTTATCAATGTCGCTGCTTTCGTTCCTGGTATTGCTTCTGCCAATAGCGACGATATCCAGACCGTCACCAAGGCGTCCATCTCCGCTGGTTTCAGCATGATCCGAGTTATGCCTCTGGGTGTCGATGGAGCCATCACTGATGCCATCACCCTCAACACTGCTCAGCAGAACAGCCGACGAGGTGGCTTCTGCGACTACAACTTCTCTGTCGCTGCTACCTCGGACAATGCTGACCAGATTAGCCACGTTACTGGCGAGGTCGGATCTCTCTTCATTCCTTTCAACCACCTCTCTGGCAACATTAGCAAGGTCGCTGCTGTCACCGCTCACTTCGACTCTTGGCCTACTCACAAGCCAATTGTCACTGATGCCAAGCTGACTGATCTGGCTTCTATTCTCTTGCTCGCCAGCCTTCACAACCGTCGCATCCATGTCACTTCGGTTACCAATAAGGACGATATCAAGCTGATCGCTCTCAGCAAGGCTAAGGGTCTCCAGGTTACTTGTGATGTCTCCATCTACTCGCTCTATCTCTCTCGTGACGAGTACCCCGAGTGCGAGCGTCTACCTACCGCTGTTGACCAGAAGGCTCTTTGGGCGCACTTGTCCACCATCGATGTCTTCTCCATTGGCAGTCTCCCTTACCGCCTGGCTACTTCGCTTGGCCACAAGGGTGATCCTCACATGGGTATCTCCGACGCTCTGCCTCTTCTCCTGACCTCTGTCGCTGAGGGCCGCCTTACTGTCGATGACATCAAGGACCGTCTCTACACCAACCCCATGGAGATCTTTGAGCTCCACGAGCAGTCTGGAACTACCATTGAGGCTGAGATCGACCGCCCTTACAACTTGGCTCCTGGCAACTTCTGGTCTCCTTTCGAGGGTCGCCTCATGCGCGGCTCCGTTCAGCGAGTCACTTTCCAGAACACCACCGTCTGCCTCGACGGTGAGGTCCTGAAGGTCTCGCCCCAGGGCAAGGACATGTCTTCGCACATTGCTCCCCCTATGTCGCCTCCCATTAAGCCTACCACTTCGATTGCCCAGGCCTCAGACTCCCCACGAGACCGCCGACTTTCTCTGCTGGGTAACTTCCAGCCTCTGAACCGCCTCCGGGGTGTTGACTCTGGTGCTGTTGGTGCCAATCTGCCTTCGCCCGCTCGTGGTGCCGCCCCTGTTGACGAGCTCGCCCCTGGTCTGCAGCTCCAACCTCTGGTCAGCTCGTCGCTCCAGCAGCTTCTGGCTCGACCTTCGTCGTTCAAGAACACTCACGTTCTGTCCGTCAAAGCTTACAGTCGAGCTGATCTTCATCTGCTCTTCACTGTTGCGCAGGAGATGCGTCTTGGTGTGCAGCGTGAGGGTGTCTTGAACATCCTCCGAGGTCGTGTGTTGACCACACTCTTCTACGAGCCTTCTACTCGTACATCGGCGTCGTTTGATGCTGCCATGCAGCGTCTTGGTGGCCGCACCATCGCCATCTCCACCTCTCACTCTTCCGTCCAGAAGGGTGAGACCCTCCAGGACACCCTCCGAACTCTGGCTTGCTACGGTGATGCCGTTGTCCTCCGTCACCCTGAGGAGACCAGCGTCCACGTTGCCGAGAAGTACAGCCCTGTCCCTGTCATCAACGGTGGCAACGGCAGCAAGGAGCACCCTACCCAGGCTTTCCTCGACCTCTTCACCATCCGTGAGGAGTTGGGTACTGTCCAGGGTTTGACCATCACCTTCCTTGGTGACCTTCTCTATGGCCGACCTGTGCACTCTCTTGTGTACTTGCTCCGCCACTACCAGGTTCAGGTCCAGCTTGTTGCTCCCAAGTCTTTGGCTCTGCCCACCAAGGTCCGAGAGCAGCTCATCGCTTCTGGCCAACTTCTCTGCGAGTCTGAGACTCTTACTCCTGAGATCCTGGCTCGTAGTGATGTCCTGTACTGCACACGTGTGCAGCGCGAGCGCTTCCCCAGTGAGGAGGAGTACCAGCGGGTCAAGAACTCTTACCGCGTGGACAACGCTTCGCTCAAGCATGCCAAGAGCTCTTGCATTGTTATGCACCCCCTTCCTCGCAATGAAGAAGTTGCTGAGGAGGTTGACTTTGACCAGAGGGCCGCGTACTTCCGACAGGTAAGCATACCTTTCAAGTCTTATTGATCATATTCACTAACATGTTTTTAGATGCGCTATGGCCTTTACTGTCGCATGGCTTTGTTGGCGCTGGTTATGGCTGATTCGTAAATTATATGATGGATGGATTTGGAAAAGTTTCACGACAGGATCATTTTGTTTTTTTGGGGTTGGGAATTTGTAATACTTGCTTTTTGAAAGCCGGATAGAAAATTGCGTGCGTTAGCAAGCATTCCGGATTATGACCGTGAACGATCTTTGATGTATAGAATGTGTAATCGCGACTCACGTCGTTGCGTATGATTTATGTACGTTATGTATATTATATGTATATACGTCGTATACGTATCGTATACGTTTATTTAATGTTATTACTTAATTATTTCATCTGTGCGTTCCGTCTGTTTGTGTCGTGTATTGTGTTTGTTTGTGTTTTGTCTCTATGGTGTTAATATTACCTTTGTTTACAAGTCTTTATGGTAATGGCTACCTAGGTATTAAACTATGGAATACAAACCATCCTTGCCTGAGTCAGACTTGTTGGTTATAGTTCTTGTATCTTCTTTCTGTTCCTGCATGTTCAAATGTCACCCTACAAAAAGGTTAAGTGAGAACCCTTCGAAGATGTCATGACTCCACTGCGCACCACGCAGTACGTACCCTTTTCCCTCTTAAACATCCCATCTCATCGTATGCCTCAGAGTTCATCTGTGAGTCAACCCAATCCGATCGCATGATCCTTCCCGGAGAACAAACTCATATATAAATCAATCAATGCGTCTTCTGCTACTAAACACCAGTGCTAGATTTTTTTCAACTGCTAAAATGGCTCTTCATTCAGCAGACACCTCGAAGCTCATCTGTACGTGGTAGTATTCTTACCCCTCCTAAGTGATAGTGATCATGATGACTCTTCTTCACTCTTACTCTTGGCTAATATTTCATAGTCGCCCCTGCGGGTCATCAAGCTACAGGTCAGGCAGAGCAGTTCACAAAGGGTACTCTCGTACGCTCTCAGCTTAACTCGGAATCTCCCATCCCTCAGTTCCACGCTTGGTTCTCGCGCGCTCAGGAAGACGATTCTGGCGTCGAACACCCAGAATCATGCACGCTCTCCACTGCCTCTCTCCCTTCAGGCCGCATCTCATCTCGCACTGTTTATCTCAAGGAGCTTGATAACCGAGGATTCGTCATCTACACCAACCTCGGCACCTCACGCAAGTCAGCAGACATAGCGTCCAACCCACGCGCAGCAATACTATTCTTCTGGGAAGCTCTGCAGCGCCAGGTTCACATCGAGGGACGTGTGGAGAGGATTTCCAAGGAGGAGAGCCAGAAGTATTATGACACGCGTGCGAGAGGAAGCAGGATCGGTGCGTGGGCTAGCAAACAGAGTCAAGTGCTTGAACCGCAGGGTGAAGGTGATGATGGACGCAAACAGCTGGAGGGGTGGGTGAAGGAAGCTGAGCAGCGATTTGAAGGGCAAGAGAAGATTCCCGTGCCCGATTTCTGGGGCGGGTTGAGGATCATTCCTGACAGGATTGAATTTTGGCAGGGAAGGGAGAGTAGGCTTCACGATCGATTTGTGTATGAGAAGGATGAGGGATCTGAGTCTGAAGAGTGGAAGTTGAAAAGGTTGAGTCCTTAAGTAGGGCCATATCAGACTCTATTCACTCGTTGCCAAAGATTTAGCTGGAGAAAACGACGAAATGAATCATTTAAACCAATATGTTAGCCGAAAATTGTCCCATCACTAGAGCCTTTGAAAACGGTATCTTGGGAAGTACACTGATATCTACATCTTGTTTCGACGATAACACAACACAATAGATTAGATATAATTTCAGAGCCGGCATCAATTGCCGGGTAATCGACCCCTAGCAGAGTATAGTGATTTATCGAAATCATATCACGAGCTTTGAGCTGCGGTGAACCTTGAATGAGACATCGGCAGCAAGGAGGTGGATCCTGGTGAGGAATGTTGGCACCATATCGCCTGATATTGACATTGGAACGTGCGCCAAGAGCGGGAGAGATGGAGAGAGGGGCGGACCGGAGTGCCATTTATAGAACATTACAATATGTATTGATCGACTAGAATATACGGAAAGGGGTATGTGTACTTCTAGCCTCCTTGCTCCTTGGTTGCTATATCCATCCATCCATGCCATGCCTAGCTATGCCCGCGCCAATGAAAACGGCCAATACCATAAATTTGTTCCTTGACAATAGAAACTCAAATGTCCGTATGTCCGTAGTAGAATGCTATTTCGCCCTATAAGCCCTCTCGATTAGGGTGCGTGAAAGAAAAAAAAAGGGACTGATTCCCAAAATGACACACAATATGTGTATGCGCATATCACGCCGGATCAAGTCCAAATCCGCAAACAATCGCTAAATGAGTTGGTATCCACGGTAACGCCTCGTTAATGCCCAAAGTCAGAAAACGCCCTTCTTCCTTTTTCATTCATCTTGCGCCTGGTAATGGTTGAAGTAGTCGTTGCAAAGCCCCGATGGTTGCGGGGTAGTCGCATGGTTGACCTCGGCTGTTGGAGTATCGACTGGAGTGAGAGATAGGCCTAGCCCCAAGACTGCTGATCCTGAGCCGAGAGTCTTTGAGCGAGAGTGACTCGGCATGTAGTGGTTGATGCTTGCGCCATCGTCGCTCTCTTCGTCGCTGTCCATGGGCATGTACTCGTTGAGCTCCCAGTCAGGCTGCTGCTGGGCAGCGAGTTGCATATCCACCATGGCATCTGTCAAGCAATCGTCCTCGCAAAGGGGCATGATGCGGTAGTTGAGATTCTCCATGATGCATCGCTCAGTGGCATTGAGCTGTTGATGAGACCACATGCCACGTCCCCACACCTTGCAATAATACTGAGAAGCATCCTGGGGATCCTCTGTGAATTTGACAGCAATGACGAGGGCTGCTAGGATGATGATCTCTGGGTTGACCGAGTCGATGTGAAGCTGTTGTCGCTGAGGCATGACGGGCGCGGCGGGAAGAGTGTGTCGCTTAGATGTGGGAGAGAAGTAGTCGGATAACAGAGGGCAAGAGAGGCGCCAGCGACGGGCAAAGCGGGAATCGAGACTGTCGAGGATGCATACTGCAAGAGCAACAGTCTCGATTGGGAGGTTGGCTCGGCTCAAGATGGCCTGAACGAGAGGGATCGAGGCCATGGCCAATGAGGCGGACGATGGAATGAGGTTGACGAGGTGAATAGCCGGGCCTGTATCAAAGTTAGTATTGAAAAATGTGGAATATCAGATGCATTGCATTGCGTGGCATGACACAACAGGCGATGCGAATACAACGTGATGCTCACAGCATACATCATTGATCGATCTTGAGGCCTGCATGCTCTGCTCTGCTCTGCTTTGCAACCAAAAGAAGCAAACTCACCTCTAAATCGAGGCATCAATGGTTCTCCATCATCGAGAGTTGTTCGTGGTGACTGGGCGGCGGATGAGTTGCGAGAGCTCGGTGGTGGTGTAGGTAGGTTGGAGAGAGGTCGATAGGTGAAGTAGCCTTCAAAGCGGCAGTTCTTGTCGTTTTCGGCCATGACGGGCTCGTTTCCCAGCTTCATATCCCGGTTCATCTTTCTTTCGTTTATTGGGATGCAATGTTTCGTCGTCCAATCTTTAGGTCTAAGCAATTCCAAAGGTCCTTTCTCATGATTTGGCGTGTACGTATAGACGTATAAATGTGTGTGAGAGCGTGGGTAAGACGAGAGAGTGAGGATGGAATAAACTCGTCTGTCTACGAAATACTCTTAAATATGTAAGAGAGATGTAATCACGCGAGCACACACACAAACGTCAAGCCACGACTGCATACAAAGTTTAAGATGCAGATGTATGTAAAGAAAAGATGGGAGGGGGGAGAAGAGTAAAGTTATATATCCCCCAAAGCTGAGCCAAATACAGTAACTTGAACGTGCTGTACTGTAACTTACTAGGTAGCTACCTAGCTAGCAAGCAAGCAAATATAGGCCAAGACCCACGACAAGGGGGATGAATGGGCCCGTTCACCGCGAGAAGTAAGGCTGAGCAGTCAACTAAACCAGTCCCGCTCAAAGACAGTCGGGATTAACCCCCCAAGAAGTTGCAGTTTCTCTCTCTTGTTGTAGCGGTGGAGGAGCTTGTAGGAGGCGGCTACTAGGTGTGGTGGATGTCCAGCACTAGGACAGGGGGTGACCCAGGGGACCCAGGGGGACCCAGGCACCTGAGCTAGGCTTGGCTGAGTTACTGCACGGCGGCTTTATTCTAGCTAGCTAACAAATGGTGGACCCTGTCCTTGGTTTTTACTTGGACTTGGTCTTTAGTCTTTGAAGAAGGGCCTTGGTTGATTGTGAGTTAAAGAAAGCTTGTATCCCAAGACGGCGGCTGAGATGGAACAAAAAAAAAGATACAATACGGGTTGTGACGCTTTCAGGTACCGTATTTTGTCATGACTGTAGATCACTCGTTTTCTTTGATTTGATGTCCAGTGTTTTTTTTCTTGGCTTGGTTCAGCTTTTTCGGGGCCGCCCGTAGGTACTTCACCCGTATAAAGTACGACAGGCTTGACTTTATTTTTGGTGCAAAGACGTATGGACTCCCCGGGCGTGGCGGAGAGTGGACCTTGGAAATAGTGGATATTCATGCCGGACTGAGCCTTTTGTTTTGTACGTACGTATGCACGATATCGATCAGTTAAAATGGTGATTTCAGTCCCCGAAGCTTGTGGTCAGAAATAACCATCAGCCAAGGCGTTTCCGACTTTACAGCCCCTGAATTGGTGCGTTTGGCTGCTTACTTATTCCCTAAAACCCACCTCAGCTGAAAGCCACAGCAACTGTAATTGCTGATGATAGATGGATCTTTGGTTCACTAAAGATGAGTGAGGCTGAACCCTGACCGCTGGCTTGGGCAGGCTCATGGTACCCAACGGCTCAGGGTGATGTCCATACTATGTAATGCTTCGGACAAAGTCCTTGTCGCATGGCTGAGAGCCAAATCAGGGAATTTGCGATCTACAACAAATCGTTTGATAATTGTGTGTGTGTGTGCTTGTCTCCAGAGCCACAAGGTGGTCTGCCCTTAATAAGACACAGGCTGCGGCGTTATAGGCAGCGATGTGCGGCTTTCGGTTCCTGACTAGTCGAGAGATACATTATTCATACGTCAACAATATATCTCGTCCTTGGCCCGTCTCCCATTCATAATATGAATGACGAAACTTTGTCATTCGATGCCGCTTCCTTGTTGACCTGCCAAGGGCTTTGTGAAGCAATCAGATCCGTCATGGGAGAAATGAGGGCAGCCACATCAAACAAAGATCTTCAAGCCCAGCACACCCACTGGTTAAACTCATCAATAACAACAGTCGAGACTAGTGCCTCGGGAAACCCAGGTCTCATGAGCACCTCAAGTGCCCAACACGTGAAACTACTGCTGACTCCCGTACATCTGGCACATACATACAGTGCCGGGAACCTTATTCAGGCCATTGGGCTGTGTTGCAGCCAAAAGCTCAAACCTCTTCAGCTCTGTCTTGAACAAGATAGTTAGATCGTGGTCTATGTATGGCACCAGATCTGAGCAAAAGAAAAGACTGGGGACTCGGCTCACTGTCGCTCAATCGACATCATTCGTCCGAGACAGGCGCCACGGGTAAGCGTTTTCTTTTCATGGGTCAGTCGTAGCCCATGCACGGCATATGGATATGAGTAGCTCACATCATCATATCATGGTCTTGCCTTTTATTCCCCCTCCACAACAGTCGGAATGTGGGCAATCACCGTGTGCACGACGGGCTTTGTCCTGCACAAAGTCGCGTGCTCCTCCTCCTCCTCCACTGAGTTGGCCGATAGATGATGGATGGCTTGTGCCGAGCTCATCGCCGAGAGAGACCCCTTTTTCTCACTCACTTCGCTTGTTTTAGCATAGCCAACAATGACAAGACAAGATCGTCGTCATCCCTGAGTACCCATGTTGGAATCCGGACTTGGCGCCGTCCTCCAGAGTCCGTATTCATTTTTCTTAGTTAGTGTCCGTGGACACTACACGGACAATTTCTGAGCTCTAATAAACCTGACGCCGCTGAGGCTCATTTGGGCTTTTGGGAGCCTAGAAGCTTTGATGCTCGAGAGGCTTGGTGATTTAGCCTAGCGGGCTTGATGTAGGTAATACATCATTCATTAGCGGCTGACAAGGAGCAAGATCCTCGACAGAACGGACCTACAATGCCTGCATTTGCAAGGGACAGCTGGCTTGGGATCTGACAACGATCTCATCCATTAACAGATGCATAGATATCCGACCACTCTCAAGACGATTCATGTGCTGGTAATTTGAATCCTTTGGTTTGATTAGAATATCACAATCAATGTCAGCCAAGTTATCGAACAAACCGGACCTCTTCTAAACTGGTCGCTAGGCTTTATCAAGTCTTGCAAGCGCGAAATGGCCGGTTAGCCGCACAGGGTCTAACTAAAATACCCTTGCGACAGGCACGCTGACCTGACATTTTGATGTTGATTTCATCTCACCGCTTGAACACCACCCTCGGCTCGGGCTTGTCACTTTCATGATGGGACTTTGGTTACCATCTCGTGCCTGCATCTTGGCATGTCGTATGATGGAGGCAGAATAAGCCGCAGTTGAGAAAAGCTTATTATCGTTCAGCTGAAATGATGTGAAACAAATGAGTGACATCTTGAGGATGCATGCAGCGTGTCGTGACCAGCAACATCACACACGCTTGTTAATTTGGTGCCAACTCCCTAATTTCCTTTGCGAGTCAGAGTCAGTCCAGACCGCATGTCCTCATATCCTCAAGTGTGTGCAATAACTTGGGTGAAGCCCTTCCTCCTACTAAGTTATTCTAGTTGGTAAAAGCGCGGATTATCTGCAATGATCCGAGTTCGTGATGAGTTAACATTTGCGGGGTTGTCGATCTGGTGGGTGATCTCTTGCTCCATTGAATGGCACCAACAAGAGCGTGGGGTGCAACAACGGCGGATCACTGGAAATCTCGAGCTGGTTAGGTCAATGTTTTGGTGCATCTGCAGGTGTTTGTACCAAGTCAGTTGACTTCAGGCCATGGAACACTATGCTGAATGCATGGGAAGCTCACAACTTTGCTTCACCACAACCACAACCACAACAAGTAACCCAGAAGATTTAAAATATGTCCCAGGTAGCATCCATTCTATAACTACAAACTCAATGTCTGCCTTAGTAGGCTGTATACTAACCTAGACTGTCATTTCCTAAATTTAGTACGATTTTTCTGTATTTATCTGCGAGCTATAATTGTTCGTGATATGACCCGAGAGTTTCACGACTTATAATAAGACCTCTTTGGATTTTACTTGGGTCGGAAAATACCAAGCAAGCTTTTATTGACTGGCGTTGCGTAAATCTCATGAGGATGAACATCGTGATCGACATCAAACTACATATGTACAACAAAAATACACTATCTCTTGCGGCATTATGGCCTATATGCCTCGAGTTCTTTTACCATATCATCCCTGCTAAAGACCTTAGCTATCATCGCTGGGGTTCTACCGCTCTTACGTTCTGTCCCAGTATTAGCACCAGCTCTTAGAAGCACTTTGACAACTTCTATATGTCCATACTCGACAGTCTATGACAAAGTAGTCCTTCTACCTCTGTTACACCGTTCAATTAGAACGTTTTCGTCACTGACAAGAGCTTGGACTGTATCAGGCGAGTCAGTTTGGATAACCCATGCCAGAGGAGTCTATCCATCGATATCTTCGGCATTGACTCCCGGGCAGCCTGCTTCGAGAAGCCTGACGAGAGCCTCGCAGTGTCCTCGTGCACTAGCCTACGATATAGCATTTCCCTTATCGTTATCTATGCCCATCTTGTCAATTCTTGGGTTTGCGAGGAGTATTTTAACCACATCCGTACAGCCATTCCCCGCTGCCTATGAGAGAGGCGATCTCCCTTTGTTGTCTTTGGCATTTATGTCGATGCGTGGAAGCTTCAGTAGTCGTATGATGGTGTTGGCTATGCCGTCTTCAGTAGCCTATGAAACGGCTGTATTTCCTGTCTTATCCCGGTGGTTGATGTTGATACTGCGAAGCCTTGTTATGTTGGAAATGGTTGAGTGATGGCCTCCTCCTACTGCCTAGAAGAATAGGGTTACCCCTATATTGTCCAGTTCGTCAGGTTTATAAACTTTCTGGTTTAGTAATTCTTTGACGATGTCATCATGTCTACCTCCGCAAGTATACGAGAGTGCAGTCTGTCTATTTCTGCCTAGGGTATTCATATTGATTAGACTGTCTGCTAGTAAAGCAGTTACGCAGGATTGATTACCATGCTCAGATACAACTGTGAGTGCTGTTTGTCCATCCAGCTGCCGCGTATCAGGTTTAGCACCTGACTGTAGAAGAGTAGCAACGATATGATCATGGCTAAGTCGAGATGCCCAGTAGAGACTCTGATTTTTGACGACTTGAGAAGGTTCATGATCAAGAAGGAGACTATTCAAGGCAGTACATGAGTTAAACTGTGATGCTAGGATGATTGGATTCTGGCCCGTGAGGCCGTCATCCAGTGGTGTTGAAGCTCTCATATGATAGAAGCTTAACCAGTTACGACAATTTACTGTGTCAGGGTTCAGTAGTGATCTTGCAAAGTCTTTAAGCTCTTCTGGCGTATCTTCCTCGCATATGACGAAGTGTTCGGCCCAATGCAACGATGCATATTTGTAAAAAGGATAGTCCAAGGCCAATGAATTGCAGATCTTAGAATGCAGGATAGCGAGATCGTGAAACAAGGTATTGGAGTCTAGGTCGTGATCGTCTTGGTCCCAAAAATCGCCTTCAAAACCGCCCAGAGGTAGCTCTCCAAAGAGATCTCTTTCTTCTACAATGGCCGAAGTAGATGAGTCATTTGTTGGAAAGAAATCGATCGTGAAATCATCAAGAAGAAGGTACTGAATGCATACAGTAGCCAGCTGTAGAGCGCAGCCTTGCGGATTAACCATACGTATTGCAGGGGGACTGTCGATGCCAGTGCTGTCTCGATCTTGGAGATAGTCTTTCACCGACTGGTGGACCAAGGATACTTGTTGCCCTGTGACCCTTACCAAAGACCCTAGGATACCCTGAACAGTGTGTGCAATTGAATTATGAGAGTTTTGCATGATCTCCTCAGCCGTAGTGCACGAAGGGTCTATAGTAAATGCGATGTTGAGTTCGTTAAGAAAGAGGAGTCTGGAGCATGCTAAAAGTAACTTCAGTAATTTTGAAGCGTCCCGTTGATGATTCGAGGGTATAGCAGTGAGATAGCGATGATATGTCTCGGCCAGGCCTCCAGTAATGATGGCTATAATCGTCTGGAGTTCTCTTCTTGAAGTAAGTAGATTCTTCTCGATCGATGCTAGAACAAGGCGAATCCACAGGAAAGTTCGATCGGCTTTAGACGTTATCGCTTCACAAAGAAAGTCCCTGATCTCATCTGAGAATTGTCTGTTAAGAGAAATTTCATGGATTTTCTTTTGGATGAAAGTCTGAAGGCCCTGAGTGTAGCCAGCCTGGTCATCATCGATTGATATTTGAGATTGAAGTACATTTTGGCTGTTGGCATAAGATTGGTGAAAAAATGGTCGGCTCGTGATAAGAAATTTGATCTTGTTACCACTCTTCATCGACTGAGAAGAGTCGGTGAGCATATCGAACACCGAGACGAGCAACTGATGACATGATGCCCTCTCACACTCATCGAGAGCATCTATGATAACATAGAGGGGTCCAGATTTAGGGTCCTTTGAAATTCTGAGAAAAATACGCCAGGGCGAGGCGAAGGACTGAATGATGCTTGACCCTTCTTTTTCAAACGCTGAACGAACATATCTAACCAACGAGCGATGGCGATCGACGATCTGGAGGATAAGTCCAATGATTACCGCTCTCGCATCTGTCTGTTTGTTCTTGTTCTGGCACAGATAGATGAGGACATTCCGAGACTTGTTGCAAGCATTGTCGAAGTATTGGGCCAATGAGTAAGATAGCATGGTCTTGCCGCAGCCTGGATGACCTGTAAGCCATAGGAGAGCACTGGTACCTTCTTCAAGCCAAGAGAGGAACAAATCGTGGCTGCGAATCCACTGACATATACCAAGGACTGGCTTTGGGGGTGGCTCAACGTCTTTCGCGACATCATTGTCACTAAGAAGCGACATGCACGTTCTTTCCAGGTTACTGAGGACTTGAATATAATTAGTAATTAATCAATAAAATAAGTCATAAAGTAGTTACCAATATTAGACGAATGCGTGCTGGTGCGCTTGAGTGTTGGGTCAGCATTCGAGGATTTGGTGGCAATCCTTCGAAGAGTTCTTGCCACTTTCGGGTAGCTTTCTGTTTCGCCAGGAAAACGACAAATAGTTCTGTGATCTTCTGGCATGGGAATTACTTCTTCGAAAGGAATGCCTAGCACAGCAGAAGCAGGGCTGACGACCTGTCCCTGAAGTGAGCTTGCGTTACCAAAGCATTGGAGGACGACCATTGCGTGTAAGTGCTACATACTTACCAAGGAGGAGGACCATGGGCCCATTGGCAAAGGCAAAGTTTCATAGAACGAAACTACATGAATATTGCCTAAACGGTTGCGTGCTGACAGCGTCAGGCCATGGAGCGCATCCGAGTCATATATCAAAGTTTGAAGCAGATCAGTCCTCACTGGTTTCGATCCTAATCCAGCGGACGCGAAGCTATTGACAATTGAACCGCAAATATTGGCTAGTTTTGCTGTACCGCTTCCTCTATGTGGAGTGGCTAAAAACACGACGCCTCGGATAGACTTTAGTAGGTCACCATACAAGTCGTCGTTTTCGTGAGCAGCAACGAGTGCCTGAAATGAGTCAAACTCGTATTCTTGTCTTGGGGATTATACACACCTTTTTGAAGACAATTCCACCAAGACTGTGGCACACGAATATGATAGGTCGTTTGCTATAAGAAAGGTGTTAGACCGGAGTTGAAGGAGTGAATTAGGTGAATTACGACATTCAAATCTTCCCGTGTGTCTCTTAGAGAAACCAAAAGGTTGAGCGCATACTCCTGAATCCTCTCGGACGATTGAGACCATATTTTGGAAGGATAGCCATATGTATAGACCCGGCATCCAGGTAAGAAATTGGAGAGGAGGTCCCGAAGCCATACTGTGCAATCAGGCTAGTGTCGCCATGTTGAGATTGCATTCCCGTTAAGGCCATGAATTGCAGCAATATCCACTAGAAAATCCATGAGACCTGCCTCATCTGGCTTGCTGTCCACTAATATGGATAGGCCATATATGGTTGTACTTGATCTTGTCGGCTCCGTAATACTGCTTGAGGGCTCGTCTGGACGAGGGCATGGGCTCTCGAGTGTCGGTTCGGGAGGAGGCAACTCAGTCCGCGCTAGAATTCGGGCCTTGAAACGTTGTACATGCTTCATGATGTTTGATAGGCTTTGCTGATCTACCTCTGAAAAATACAGCGGTATACAAGAAGTGGCGATGTCGGTTGGACTCGTCTTTTCAGTCCTACGACTGTTGGTAGCGTGATGTCACAATAAAAGTGTTGAATTCTTCAACGGAAAGTAGATGGACGGGCTGCACCGCAGCCCCTTGTCACCAAGAAAAGCATGCCAACCGGGAGGCCAACCAACAGAACGAAAGGCAAAAAGAGATCTCTTTTATTAGGTGCTTGCCCCCTTCAACTTTGAATAGGTAGCTACCTAGCCAAGCTGGGGATCTTTTCTGTAAATTGTTCGGTTGGATCTGACTGACAGATATCAATAGCACTTGACTTGTACGGTGTCTAAGTCGTAGATTGATTAGATGGTTTGGCAACTATTCAACTACCTAGTCTAGGTACCTTGTTGTTCAATGAATCTGTTTTAGGGGTAGTCACGTGTGTGACTCAGCATAGAACTCTTGATTGATCCTGAGCGTTGCAAATGCAAATACCCTCATGATTTCTTGTAACTGAAATCCACGTTGAATAAAACATCATGAGCACCAAATCTCTCAATGTTCTTGGTAACGATGGGGCTGGCAAGAAAGCCCTGATCAGCAGCCTCATTTACATGGTGGATGCTGTCATAGTTAATCGAGCTTTAAGTATATACTAACTCACTGTAGTGCGGGCTTCAGCTTCCCTAATTGGAGCAGCTAGAAAGGGAGGGGATTAGCCAGTATGACAAGATTGTACCATTCTTCGAGAAGATTGGGCGTCCTCAATCTTTCTACGCCCCTTCTGGAACCTTTACCATTCAGAGTATGTCGCCGGCATCTTTCCTTAGTTTAGTCTATACTGACTTCTCTATTCTAGAAAGCCAGACACCAGATGTTGCTTTCTGGACTGTTGATGCTTCCGATTCATCTAGTTGGGGTTCATCTGCTGAGAACCTTTCAGCTGCGTTGTCCAGCGCTACGCTCAAATCACGAGAGAAACTCATCGTAGTAGTAAACAAGATGTAAGTCAGAAGGAAGTGTATCCTCCTCTCGTGTCTATGGCTGATATAATTTGTGTCAGGGACTCAGTCAACTGGTCTGAGCAGACATTCAAAGACGTCGTGAACGCATTCAGTTCAGTCAGTATGAACAATCAGTATGAAACAATATCTCCCAACCCCCGAAGCACCCTCATGCGTACAGAAGATATCTGCTAACCTGTTCGGGGGATCTGCATCAATCTCGAGTGGGTCGTTAATGAATCTTCTTGGGTGAATACTTATTTCCATGTATTCTTTAGCTTACTGCATTGTATTATCACTAGAAGAGGGTGGGAATTCCACTCCGTGAGTATTCCCAGAAGTATAATAGTACCCCAAGAATCAATCGGTACTTAACCTACAATTGGCTAGCTTCAACTCAAGGCATTAGCGCCTTGTCGGCTGATACTGTATCACGATAAGTACATGCATGCAGTCAGATTTGCCAATTATCGAAATGCGCCTTTCACCACCTATGAGTTAAACATAACATCGTATTGCCAATAAACTGTTTCCCCATGAAATCGGCTGTGCAAAGGTCACATATTTTACTAGATAAGTATACGCACATCCGGATGCGCGGTATAGCTTTTAAATCTTTGAATAAAAACCAAAGCTTGATAAAATACCGAGAAAGGTGCTTTGAGTTTATGTTAGGGAAAACGCCGTGTCTTGAAATCCGAATACGTGCTTCAGCATTGTTTCGCCGATCTAGACAAGGCGATGTAACTCTGTCTACTTACTATCCCGATGACACTCAAGCACAAGTAGAAGTTCTTCCAGGAGTACAAAAATAAACAAACATTTGATGAATATTTGAATCTTTCACCGATAGTTTTCTTTTCTCGAAATCTCCCTGTTGGTGACGGATATCCAGTTTTGTCGCTACGCCTTGTATCTCGACGCCTCAACCTAAATTACCTAATCCCAACTTTGACGCATCATCACCACCGCCATTATCATTCCCAACCCGACACGGTACTCCCCACACCAGAATGAGCAGCCGCCATGGTGTTTACTGGGCTGCTCAACTCCAGCGATAGAACCCCTTCGGTCCGGTCCAAATCGAGCGAGTCTGATCTCCACCTCCAGCCCGAATACATCTACGATGAAGCCCAGCTGCCTTGCCTCCCACCTGAGAGGCCTGATCTCCGCGAACTGAACCACAGCCTCGAAGCTCTTGCCGCCGTGTTTCCAGATGTACAGATCGAGGTCTTTAGAGAGCTGCTGTCCAACTTCGACGGCGAATCGCGGCTTGCCCTCGTTGCTGATGCCCTCTTAAAGAACAGGGTCACCTGGGTCAAGGGCCGTTGGAGAGTACCCGACAAGGAAACGGCCCGTCCCGAAACTGTTCCAAAGACAGAAGTTTTCAAGAGCAAGGAATACAAAAGAGCTGTACAAAATCTGGCATGGCACGAGTTCAAGGGGTTATCGCGATCTACCATCAACGCTGTTCTCGCCGAATCTAACTATTCTTACCTCGAAGCTCGACAAACCCTCGTCACGCTATCTTCCAAATCATGGCGATTCACCATCTCGTCGCTCTTCTTTAGACGGAAGCCTATCGCTACGGGCGAGGCAGAAAACCATCCGTTAGTATCATGGCGCTCAACCGGTCAAGGGTCTATCGTCCCCACAATTCGGACAACAGGCAGTGCAGAGCTCGACCGTGAGCTGTACAATATCCTGGTGGTCCCTCTGAAAGAGAAGGATAGAATAGATAGAGAGGGAAGAGATAGAGGCCTGGCCATAATTCTCAACAACGAAGAAGCAGAAGAGGCCGAAGCAACACACGAGTGTGTCTGCTGCTTCACGTCAGCAGCCTTTGAAGAGTTCACCCACTGTAACCGCGAGGGCCATTTGGTCTGCTATCGATGTGTGCAGCACTCAATAAAGGAAGCCGTGTTTGGTCAAGGCTGGCAGAGCAGCATCAACCCAGAAACGGGAACGCTCAAGTGCCTCTCTGTCGACGGTGACGGGTGTCCTGGGCACATACCGCCTGATCACCTTCACCGAGCCATGGAGGAAGAGAAGAAGGGCGCAGAAATATTGCATAAACTTGATCGTCGGCTAGCAGAGCACAGTCTCCTGGCGGCAAATCTGCCCTTGGTTCGATGTCCTTTTTGCGACTACGCCGAGATCGACGACATCTATACCCCGGCCCACGAATCTGCTCTTCGCATCAAGTCGGATAGTATCTACAACCTTTTCGTCCTTGTACTTTGCATCGGGACCCTCCCTTTCGTCTTCCCGTTCGTCCTTATTTCTTCCTTCATATGTCTCCTCCTCAGCACGCAGCAGTCCTTCGGTGACTACGTTTCAGTTGAGTGGTCCAAGGCCCTTAACCGTCACCGTCGTCGCCGCCGCGGCACAAAATTCACATGCCAGAGTCCCGAGTGTGGTCGCTCATCGTGTCTTTCATGTCACAAGTCATGGAAGGATATACATGTGTGTAACGAATCATCGCTCGTAGCTCTCCGTACACAGGTCGAGCACGCCATGAGCATGGCCATCAAGCGCGTCTGCCCCCGTTGCAATACCTCGTTCGTCAAGAACGCAGGCTGCAACAAACTCACGTGCCCGTGCGGCTACAAGATGTGCTACGTTTGCCGTGCCGACCTCAGTGACGAGGGATATCGCCACTTCTGCGACCACTTCCGCCCCGAAGGTGACGCTAGGCAATGTAAGGAATGCGATAGGTGTAACCTTTGGGAGTCAGAGGATACGGAAAAGGTCCTGCAAGCTGCGCGCGAAGAAGCAGAGCGTAAGTGGAAAGACATGGAGAACCGGGAACTTTCAGGCGTCGAACGTGCATTCCTCGAGACAGGCGTTGCAGGGAACAGGATGGATGTGAGTGTTGAGCGTGTGTTATTCAGTGGGAGAATTCCTGCTCTTGCAGAAATTTTTGATCTCATCGTAGAAACGGTTTTTGTTTGACGAAACGGTTGGGTTTACGAATTAACGGCGTATGACAAGATGAAAGAAAGCCTCGCAGGCAGCGTTGGCAGAATAAATTTGCACACATTTGGGTTATCGGGCAAGGGGCGTCTTGTGGTTTATATAAACAACTTTATTCTTAAAGAAGCGGTATCGAATTAGCATACAAGATTGGCTAAAACAGGACATGTCTAGGATCATATCACTCAACTACAATACAGACTCGATTCATTTTTTATATTTTATTTTGGTTGCACACACAGCAACAATTTAACTCTGAGATTGGAAGGTCAAAACACCCAGACATTATGATATTACACAAAATCCCATTCAAAACTCCGTTGATGATCCAATGTTTTGTTTAGAGCTTGCTCTTACCGTCGGTCCTGAGCTCAGCGGCAGCACCGGCAATAGCGGGCTTGCCAGTCTCCTTGACCTTGGACTGGAAGATGATTCTGTTGCCCTCACGCCACATCTCAGTGACAATGGTCTGGCCGGGGATAACAACACCAGCGAAGCGGACCTTAATGTTCTTGAAAGCACCGAAGCGCTCGTAGACGGCCTTTCCGGCAACACCGAAGCTGCAGAGGCCGTGGAGAATGGGGGCCTTGAAGCCACCAACCTTGGCAAACTCGGGATCGATGTGGAGAGGGCTAGAAATGTTAGCTATGTTTCGGACAAACTGTGATAGGAACCTTACTTATAGTCGCCGCTCAGGCGGTAGATAGCAGCCTGGTCATCGTGTGTGGGGGACTCGACGACGACATCGGGAGCGCGAGCAGGGGGCTTGTTGGCAGCAGTGGCGGCACCGCGGTCGGCACCACGCTTGGGACCGCCCCAGCCACCTGTACCGCGGAGGAAGACGCTGGACTCGTTGTAGAAGACATCCTCACCAGTGTTGGCGTCAACAGTAGTGGTGGAGCTTCGGGCAACAGAAGCATTACCCTTGTCAACGACCTCGAGGAGGCGACCTCGGCTAACAAGACGAGCGTTGGTGGGGATAGGGAACTTGCGGATCTCGAGATACTGTTCTCCATGAAGCAACATCATGGGAGAGAAGTTGGGCACAATGTCGTCAAAGTTGAAAGGCATCTCGGCGTTGAAAGGAGGGATGACTCCGAAAGTGGGAAGAACCTGGAAGTCTTCAGAGCCCTCAAAGGTATACTTAAGGTCGGTGCGCTTAGCACCAACACCAAGGTTATAGAGGATAACATCTCGCTCCTCAAATTTGTACTCAGTAGGCTTGCCCTCCTGCTTGACAGTTTCAGCAATGACCTTCTTGTAATCAGGTTCACCAGAGGATTCCTTGGCCTTGCTTGTGTTTTGCATGTTGGCCATGATCTTCTCGATCGAGTCCTGAGACTTGGCAGGGTGGTCAGCACGACCATCGAAGGTGACGATGTCCTTCCAGTGCTTGACAACCTCCTCGGGGACGAGAGGAACGTCCACAGGGAAGCCATGGCCACCGGTTCGCTGCCATCGAGTCTGACCGCACCAGCCGCTTCCAACCTCGTACAAGCCGCCAGTAGGGTTAGGGCACTTGTCACTGCAAAGAGCAAGGACAAGAGGAGCAATGTAGTCGGGCTTGAAGGCCTGGACCATCTCTTCAGGCATGATAGTGGCGGTCATGGCAGTACCAGCGTTGGGAGCGATAGTGTTGACATAGATGCCATACTTGTGGCCCTCGAGAGCAAGGGCGCGAGAGAATCCAAGGATACCACATTTCTACAATTGTTAGTAGCTGTCAAAAACAATTGGCGAAGTCAACTTACAGCAGCAGCGTAGTTGGCCTGGCCAAAGTTGCCGTAAATACCACTGGTTGAGGTAGTGTTCAGAACGCGGCCATACTTCTGCTTAAGGAAGTAAGGCCAAGCAGCCTTGGTGACCTTGTAGGTACCTCGGAGGTGGACATTCAGGACAGGGTCCCAGAGCTCGTCGTTCATGTTGGAGAATGCCTTGTCGCGAAGGATACCAGCATTGTTGACCACAATGTCGACGCGGCCAAAGGCATCAATAGCAGCCTTAACGACCTTCTCGCCATCTTCAGCTGAGGCCTTGACACCGACGGCCTTGCCACCAAGCTTCTTGATCTCGGCAACCACGGGCTCAGGGTCGGCCAGATCGTTGACGACGATTGATGCGCCATACTTGGCGAAAGCCAGAGCATAAATGCGACCAATACCAGCACCACCACCTGTCACAAGAGCGACGCGGCCAGTGAAGTCGGGGTTCTCGCCTTGCTCAGCAGGGCCCATCTTCATGGAGTCCTCGAGCAATGTGAGGAAATCGTTGGGGCCCGTGGGATATTGGGGGTTGGAGTAGTCGACGACCTTGCCCCAGTTCTTGATGATAGCTCCGGGGGTGTAAGAGTCGTCAGCCTTGAGGAGGAGACCACTGGAGCGCTCCCATCGAAGCTTAGCCATGTGGCCACCACCAACCTCAAAGATACCACCAGTCTCCTGTGTGTTGTTCTTGTGAACCAAGGTAGCAACCAGGGGAACAACCCACTCGGGCTTAAGCTGCTCGAGCACATCAGGAGGCATGATGGTCTCGGTCATTCTGCTGGCGGCTATCTGACGTCAGTATGTGAGATTTGGGAACGAGGCGCGTTTGAAACATACCGACAGGCGCAATAACGTTGGCCAAGATACCATACTTGATACCCTCCTTGGCCAAAGTCTCTGTGAAGCCGACCATGGCGAGCTTGGCAGCAGAGTAGTTGGTCTGACCAAAGTTGCCAAAGAGGCCGGCAGCCGATGCGGTGTTGATGACACGGCCGTACTTTTGCTTGCGGAAATGGGGCCAAGCAGCGCGAGCGCACTTGTATGAGCCCTTGATGTGAACCTTGTAGATAAGATCCCAGTCCTCATCCTTCATGTTCTTGAAGCTGACATCTCGTAGGATACCAGCGTTGTTGATGAGGATATCGATTCGGCCGAAGGCGTTGATGGCGGTCTCGATGATGCGCTCACCATTCTCTACTGAGTCGTAGTTGGCGACGGCCTTGCCGCCAGCGGCTTTAATCTCGTTGACGACAACATCGGCAGCCTGTCGCGACAAGAGTTAGCTATATGCGCTTGCGCCAGAGGGAAGCTGTTTGTTGTGAATGGTACTACGAACCTTTGATGAGTTGCCCTCGCCCTTTGCAGTAACACCAAGATCGTTGACGACGACGCTAGCACCGCGTGAGCCGAAGAAGGTGGCATATGCCTTTCCAAGACCACCGCCGGCACCAGTGACGACAACAACTTGTCCGTCGTATCTCAACTGCTCTGCCATGATGGTGTGTGGTATGATATGCGACAGAAGGTGGGTATATAATAGGACACGCTTGATATGATACGGCAAGAAAAAGACAGAAGAGTTAAGAGGATGAGGATGAGGAATGAATTAAGAACAAAAAAAAAAGAATTGGGGAGGCAGCGCAACGAGCAGCTCTTAACAAGCTTGGGCCGGGCCTGGTCCTGGTTGCAACTCAAACATACCGGGACCTTGTGAAGGGGAAGCCTCGGCTTCTATGGGGTACCGAGGGGACTGGTTGCGGGGAATACGCTAGGCCGAGTTTGGCAATGGACTTGATTCACATGTAAAGAAGGAAGAAAGGCAGATGAAGTCATGCGTAAGAATAATTAGTTTATGTCACATGTTTTTTATTCAAGAGGCTAAGAGCAAAAGGTAAGCTGGGGAAGACAATTGGGCGTGAGATCTGGGGTAGGTAGTTACTGATTAGATTATAGAAGGTAACAGTGAATGTCTTGTACATGAAGTCACGAGCAGAGAGATAATGAATACAATAGGTATTCCGAATAATAAGTATGTATTCATGCTAAATTAAGCCTTTAATTATTATTATGTTTCATGGTCATGAATATGTTCTCGTCAGTCTATCTCTACTTACAACTGTCTTCTGCCGACCTCTCATACCGACCGGCTACGGACAATAAACCCTCCCCACAAATGGCTTTCTCTCTATACTCCCCGCAAAATCAAACCCGATCAAGACCAAGGTCAAGTCCAAGACCCAGACCAGACCTAGACCCAAACTCAGGCCGGGCCACATGCAAGTCTAAGTCTGATTTGCTGATCTCAAGCTAGCACCGTCATATTCTCTTGTCTCGTATGTGTCACTCTCTCTCGGCCGTGAATTGCCCGACCAAAAAAATTAAGGCAATTAACTGACAATATCACACTCAATCTATGGCTGCACTACCACTCTCGGACTACCTCTCACATGCAATACCCTCCTTATCCTTATCTTGATTATTATAAGTACTTACTTAGGGATTAACGACATCTCTCATCATGGCTCCCCACTTCATTGACGATAAAACTGAGATTTGCCTGCCCTTCATCCTCGCTCAGCTCAAACTCCACCGCGAAGAGTCTCCCGACCGCCCCTTTGTCATTGGTCTCAATGGAATCCAGGGCGCTGGCAAGTCTACCCTTGTCAAATCCTTGAGCAAGGCCCTGGAGAGTCAGAATGTGCCGACTTTAGTCTGTAGCATAGACGAATTCTACCTCACTCGCCAGGACCAAGTTGCCCTGGCCGAGTCTGACCCTGAAAATGCCCTCATCCAGCATCGCGGGGAGCCTGGTAATTCCTCTCATCTCAACTCATGGCTAAACAAATAATCCTAACAATCACAGGAACTCATGACTTACCCCTCGCAAAGGCCTTCTTTGAGGCAGTACTAAAAGGAGAGCCCACAAAACTACCAAAATATGACAAGGCTATCAAGGGCGGCAAAGGAGATCGCCTTCCCGAGTCTGAATGGACTCTCGTAAACCAGCCTGGTCAACCCAAAATCCAGGCCATTATTCTTGAGGGATGGTGTGTAGGCTTCCGCCCTCTAACGCGCGAGGGCGTAGAAGCAAGACTCAACATGCCCAACCGTACTCTCAAACAACATAAACTCGAGCATCTCCTATTCATCAACGAAAAGCTGTCAGAGTACAACAGCCTCACAGATTCCTTCGACTCCTTTATTCAGATCGACGCTGAGGACCTTGGCTACGTTTACGGCTGGAGACTAGAGCAAGAGGATCATTTGCGTGAGGAAAGGGGCGACCCAGAAGCCGGAATGTGCTCACAGGAGGTTGTCAAATTCGTTGACGGCTACTATCCTGCTTATGAGCTCTACACCGATAGAATGCGAAAAGGAGTCCTGGCCAACCGACCAGGCCGGCAATTGCGGATGGTGGTAGGCCGTGACAGAAAAGTAAAACATGTTCGCAGAATCTAAAAGGGGGACGACATATTCAACTCAATCACATAAAAAAGAGCACTCCAAAACCCGTTACGACTAGACATTAATGAACCACTTACGGTTTTGAACCGTTTCAACAGAACCACCAGATTCCTCATATAAACAATGTGACAACCTCTATAAAATTTGGTAATCTTTAATGAAGTATCTACAGGGCTATTATTAATTCCAGAACACTATTCATTTTGTGCACTCTCGCAAACCATTTGAAATATCACACTCCCGATGTCGATTGAATCAGCCTTAACTCCATCATAATGCAGTCATATCGGTCGTAAAACTCATTCCTCCCAAAATTCCGTCGGTAAAGGATACATGTTTCATGAAGTCTTATCCTCCACCACTCGTTGACCATCTTGTTTCATTCTGGAGAGCTTTCGATCGACGGCTTCTGTTCTAAGACGAACGGCTTCCTCGCGATCGGCCGCTTCCTGCTCAAACTCCTGAATGATCTTGCGCTTATGTCTCCTCGACTCCATAAGTCGTTGCATCAAACCGCTAAACTCACTGACAAACCAGTTCCCAGACGTTTCCCAATTTTCGATCGACATGTTGGAAAAGAGGTCATGTTGTTCCTGCTCTTCAACATGACGGAACTGGTCCAACTTAGCTTCTATGTTTTCAGAATTAACCCCAGTGCCCTTTTGTTCATCCTTTGATGGATCAAAATCAAAAGGTTGCTGTTGAAGGGTGTTGAATGACATAGATCTCAAAGCAGAGTCGTTGTACTCTGGGTCTGGGCGGCGCCGTTTGTTGTCCGGGCGATTCGTTCTTGGGACTGGAACCACAGCAGCTGGTACACTCTCTAACACTGTTCGTTGGATCACCGGCTGGACGGCCCTAGGCCTAGGTGTCGCATGCTCCTCCTCTTGTGAGGATGTGGAGACATCCTCATCATTCACATGCTGCACGGCAGGCTGTCGTGTGATCTCGCTTCTGTGGTTACTTTGCCATGGCGTCTGCTGACGCTTGGGAGATGGGCTCCTCACCCGATTCGCATCAAAGGCTTCTGTACGGCCACTGTGTGATTTTCGAATCCTCACTTCACGCATAGGAAGTCTAGAGTCAGGTCTTGCTGGCGATTCGATGCGAGCTCGACCATGATCATAATGGGGGTTGACTTTTCCATGTCTAACATTCACATTGTCCTGAAAACCATCGCCCATTTGGTCAATACTGTGTCGTTGAGGACGACTGATCACGTTCATGCGAAGATCATCTCCAACTGTGAATAAATCACTTATCGTACGTTGGAATCGGTTGCGATCAGGTATTCGGTGTGGTGGAATGTTCTTCTTGAGATCGTGAGTTAACTCGGGCCCAAGCTTAACGGGTTCAACAGGCTCGTTATATGGAGTAGTCAGGCCAGACTCTAGGAAATTATCATCAAGTTGTGAACCAGAGAAAAGATCTGGACGACCGTTTGAGTTGGGTTTTCCACGACCATTGGGAGAAGATACCACTGACAGCTGCGGTGAACGGGGCGGTGGTTGGCTGAAAGGGTGATTTTGTCTCGGGGGCGCGGTATTTCTACCACCAAGCCCCTGGATCTCTCTTGGAAAACTAGCAGGGCGAGACAAAGGAGCTGGAGGCGTAGGAGCATTGCGAAGTGGCTCTACGCTCGATGACTTGATGTCCACTTGTGACTGAGGCTCATTTTTTATGCCAGCATTGGCAAAGGCCAGTAGCCGACCGCCTTTATCCTTCAGGCTTGGTGGCATTGTATGATTTGCTTGGTTCCATGTAGATTTGTTCCGAAAAGGTTGGAGTGATGTCGGCGCGCTTCCCGTTACGCGATGGCCCTTCCCTTTTTCGACAATGGGATGTTTCGTCGGTTCGTGGTGTCGCATAGGCGGAGTTTGTTGCCGATGGTTGGGAAAGAATGGACCATTTGCTGAAAGAAGTCGATTGGCTATGCTGAAAGCAAAAACAGGAGCTTTGAACGCAAGAAACAATTGGCAAAATGGGTGTTTGGTACTCGTGGTGAAGAAGCTTGCGTGCGCAAACCTGGTTGAGGTGTTGACAGAGTCAAGTCAGGTATGTTTATATAAATTCGCTGTCGCGGTTTCACCTTCCATGCCTGCCCAACAGGGGTCGCGCTCTGGGGAAAGAGCGATGCGCCTATAGAGTCGCGACGTCAGGTGACATTGGCGGGGTGTTCAGTGGACGTCACCCATGATTATAGCTATCCCTGCATCTTAACAACTTGACTTACACAAGCTTCAAGTCAAGAATTGTTCAACGACCTTCTTTAGAATGTATTAAACCACTGATCAAGATTCATGTGTGGAAAATCCTTCTTCTCCGAATGGTACACAATAGTGAGGGCCAATACATTGAAAGCTTCCAAAACGACCAGGCCGTAGTGTTCCGTCTGGTCGGCAGTGGTCTCCAAACACTTCAGACAGGCCTTGAGGAAAACGTTCCTTCAATCTCGATCCCTATTACCGTCTTGTTTTGATTCTGCTGTCATCGTTGGGTTTCTAATAACATCGCCTTCAGTTACGATGTGAAAGGCCCAGCCGAACCAGTAACGGAAAGATAACATCGGACGATCCAAATCATACGTTTTGGATAATGAACATCGTGAAAAGCTTGGGCATGTTGAGTTTTTATCGCTTCCGAGGCGTAGTTGACTGTCTCGTGAACTCGTGTTGACGTATCGGGTACTCCGAACGCTACAGCAAGCAACGACCATACCATCAAAACTCGGCATACTAAGCTCTGGTCGCATGGGTACTCTACTTGTATCTATGAGTCTCTGAAACATACGCAACGAGATTCCTGTTAGTCACATGAAATCTAAAATGCATCTCGCGTGAGCCGTTCAATCTTCGACACCATCAACAATTCGGACCGTCCGATGAACCACCATGCAGCGCTATGGCTTCTTAACGCATTTCACGACCTCTTACTGGAACTTAGAGAACTCTATATTCCACGTGAATCAGAATCTATGCCGCTGAGACCGGTTGAGATGTGTGATGACCAGACGATGTTTGGTCTCTACAGCGGTTATCCCGCTATTGTTGTTTCCCTCCATCATATAAAGGGATATATCATCGTAGCAGTATGGCTCCCTTCAAGCTCATCATCAAGCACATTCGATTCTATATTACCCAATATGCACAGTGTCGCCTTATATTCGCTTCTCTGTCTTGCCTTGGCTTCATGTTTCCATGCTCTGCCTGGGCCTGTTGCCCGAATTCAACGAAAAGGGCCATGTTCTGGCAATACGCCCTCTACTCGAGGTCAATGGTGTGGATATGATATCTACAGTGATTATTACTCTGTCGTTCCTGATACTGGTGTAACAAGAGAATATTGGCTGGAAATCAGTGAAATCGTCTTTGCTCCCGATGGAGTCCCAAGATTCGCCCAGGCCATCAATGGGACAGTACCTGGTATGATTTATTTCACAATGTCTACGAGCTAGTATCTAACATCTCAGGCCCGACAATATTCGTCGACTGGGGAGACAAAGTTGTCGTTCACTTAACGAGCAACCTCAACACTTCTACCAATGGTTCATCCTTTCACTTCCATGGCACTCATCAGAACTATACGAACCCCCAGGACGGCGTTGTTGCTATCACTCAGTGTCCTACAGCTCCTGGCTCTTCGGTAACATACAGATGGCGGGCGACTCAATATGGCACTTCATGGTATCATTCCCACTTTGGCCTTCAGACTTATGATGGTGTCTATGGTGGCTTGATCATTCGTGGCCCAGCAAGCGCCAACTACGACGAAGATGTTGGAAGTATCATGCTTAGTGATTGGTCCCATCGAACTGTTAATCAGATCCTGCCTGAGGTTCAGCGGAAAGGTCCTTACCCGATGGACAATGTCCTCATTAACGGTACCAACACGTACAGCAAAGAAGGTGGAAAGAACCAGACTGGCGAGCGGTTTAAACTGGACTTTGAAGAGGGCAAAACATATCGACTACGTCTTGTCAACACCGGCATCGATACTCTCTACAAATTCTCCATCGATCATCACACTCTAAAAGTTATTGCTGTGGATTTTGTTTCTGTCAAACCGTACGAGACTGACCATGTCAGCATCGCAATCGGTACGCCTCTTCTTACTATTCTCTTTTGTAACCTCCTAACACTCTTCAGGCGAGCGCATGGATATTCTTGTTACCGCCAACCAAGCTTCGAAAGCGTCATCTTTTTGGTTCCGCGCCATCCCTCAGCTTGACTGCACCAAGAACGCCAACCCACAAAACGCCCTCGGGATTGTATCATACTCTTCCAACAGTTCGACGCCTACAACGAAGGGGCGTAAAAACTATGATCACTGCGAAGACGAACCCTATGAAAGCATTGTACCTATCGTTCCCCATTCCGTTGGGCCACCGGACATGGAAGTCGTCGAAAATGCCAACCGATCTTGGAATTCAGATGGTATAATCAAGTGGTCCCTCAACAGTACCACCATGATTGCTGAATGGGACCACCCTTCACTCCTGAAGCTCGGTCACAATACCTCTTTTACCGAGTCAAATGCCGTGATCCGCATTCCAAAGAAGGACGCATGGGTTTACCTCGCCATTGAGACGGAACTCGACATTTCTCACCCAATCCACCTCCATGGCTTTGACTACCACATCCTCGCCCAGGGTGTTGGACCGTATGGTCCAAATGTCACACTCAAAACAGACAATCCACCACGCCGCGACACTGCCCTCCTCCCTGCTAAGGGGCATTTGGTGATTGCTTTCCTAACGGATAATCCAGGTGTGTGGCTTATGCACTGTCATATAGGGTGGCATGCTGCAGAAGGATTTTCAATGCAATTTGTCATACGAGAGGATGAAATCTCGGGCTTGGTTTCAGATCAGGAATATGAGGATATTGAGGAGGGCTGCAAGGCGTGGCATGACTTTTCGCGTAAAATGGAGATGGAGCAAGACGATTCAGGCATCTGATGAAGTTTACGAATTATGGATATGGATACGCACGTTATGAGTTTAGACTATACGGTAGACGTCTTATGACTTTGACATGAATATGATTATGATGTTAGTATCATCAAAAAGAGCGAAGACAAGAGTGTTAGAATGTGTTATCAAATTTCTCACAGTAAAAGCTATACTAGCTAATCGAGGTTCATGCAACTTATACCAACCTTGTCCTTTGTCAACTGATCTATAGCCACAACTCTGCAGACTAACAAGAGACAGGAACTACTATGGAAGTTCAAAATGCTTACACATGATTCCATTCGTCTATTACTGACTAGATTCCGTGTCATCTATATTAACGGAACTGCTTTACACAATGCTCTTGTAAATGATAGCTTTGATAGACAAGGGTATAGTGAGGTCATATACGTCATCTAACGCTAGACGTCCAACCCACAAAAAAGGTTTGCGCCAACCCTCCCCCACAACAGAGGATCGACAGATATTCGACACCAACATCAAAAAGAGATCTTGATCACGCTGGGGATCGAACCCAGAATCTTCTGATTCGTAGTCAGACGCCTTGCCATTGGGCCACGCGACCTTGGATATTAAAGAGTGTCTCAATTTGATCATATGTTCATGACTTGTTTGGTTGACGTTCACCTCGTCATATCATGAGTTGCTGTTTGATGTGTTTCAAGCTCGTTCTGCAGCTTTATAGTATTCTCAATCGTACTCCGCATAAGGTTATGTCGTATAGCTGTTAGAGGCATTGTAACGGTGAAAGTGAGTGGTGGTTATGGTCTTGAGCAATCCTACCATGGTTCTCGATTGTTTGTTTTGCAGAACTGGACAGTCTCTACATCGATACACGTTTCGTTATGGTTGAAGCACCTATAAATTGACTAATCTATTTAATAAAATCAGTTCCTAAACAGTCTTGCTTGTACCATATCTGTCCTGCATCTCAAAATCTATTCAATCATTGTTCGCTTTCTTTGTAGGGTAGTAGAAGTACATGTAAGTAACTCGGAAGTGTAGATGTAACAACACCAGCACATCGATATTCAGTGATCTTGTACAGTCATAGTTCGGAGTCACCCCTTGTCCAATTACTTATCAAGGGTATAAACCAAATCTTTACTCTGTCAATTATTCAATGTATTGAACGCCCTTCCCATGATAACATCCCGCCCCACATAAATTCTGATGACTCGCCCCTCCGGCGTCGGCCTTATCAAGCAAAAGTGGCTATATGTTAACGGCTTAAAGAGCAAGAGCTTCGCATTCCCCTTCATATCTCCAACTCGTAGACACTCAATTAGATCAATTAGACGTCCAATGGCACCCTTCAACCTCGAGACCTGTGCTAGGCCAAATATCCTGGCTCTCCAGCCTTATCGCTGTGCGCGAGAGCAAGTTGCCCCTCCCCCGCATCAACACAGAAGAGAAGACTAACAATTCCCACCAGCGACTACAAGGACGACGGAACAAACATCCTCCTCGATGCCAACGAGAATGCATACGGCCCTTCACTGAGCTCAGAAGTCGCCAAGAAGGCCGCCAATGGCGTCGACGTCGACCTGCTGGGCCTGCACCGCTATCCCGATCCTCACCAGGAGCCACTGAAGCAGCTGCTTTGCGAACTGCGCAACACCCATGCTCACACGAACAAGACACTCAAGCCAGAGAACCTGTTTGTTGGTGTAGGAAGTGATGAGGCCATTGATGCTCTACTACGCTGCTTCTGCATCCCCGGAAAGGATCGAATCCTGACATGCCCGCCCACATACGGCATGTACTCTGTTTCTGCGCAGGTCAACGATGTAGCACTGGTCAAGGTTCCTCTCCTGGAGGCTCCTTCTTTCAGCATTGATGTGCCAGCTGTTCTCGATGCTTTGACAAACGAGCCCAATATCAAGCTCGCTTACCTCTGCTCGCCGGGTAACCCTACTGGTTCACTTCTCGCCAAGTCCGATGTTAAGCAGATCCTCGATCACCCTACATGGAACGGAGTCGTTGTTCTCGACGAGGCTTACATCGACTTTGCTCCTGATGATGCTTCTCTCGCAGAGTGGGTGACTGAGTTCCCCAACCTGGTAGTTATGCAGACTCTCTCCAAGGCCTTTGGTATGGCTGGTATTCGCCTCGGTGCTGCATTTACTTCGCCTCCCATCGCTCGACTCCTCAACAGTCTCAAGGCCCCTTACAACATTTCAAGCCCCACGAGCGCTCTTGCATCATACGCTGTCTCCGAAAAGGGCCTTGCTATTATGCGGGACCACCGTGCTCGTTTGCTAGAGCAGCGCGATCGACTTATTCAGGAACTCCCCAAGATCCCTGGCGTTGGTCGTCTACGTGGTGGCGCCGAAAGTAACTTTATGCTTTACGAGATGCTTAACTCGGCAGGTGAGCCGGATAACAGCGTTGCGTTGGCTGTGTACGAGAAACTTGCCGAGGGCAAGGGTGTGGTTGTGCGATTTAGAGGTAAAGAGCACGGATGTCTAGGATGTCTGCGAATCACAGTCGGCACAGATGCCGAAGTGACAAGATTCTTGGAGTCCTTGAAGACAACGTTGGCTGAAGTTAGAGGATCCTAAAACACGGCAAAGAAACGATAAAAAGGCGTTTGAAAGTTAGATCTAGATTTCTAGACGTAATCTCGTGAAATTATAAAGGCAACGCTCGTGGGTATGAGCGTTTTACAGGAATATTAGTCCTTTAGACCAATCAATAATCAATCCATAGCCCGAACGCCTGTCCATTCTATCCCGTTTAAGATCTAACGAATCATCAATAACTTTTGTCTAGGCCAGTCCCAGGAATGTGAGGACAGTTACAATACTGAACGACGCAAGGACGAGATCAGCCCGGTACGAACCAGCCGCATCCTCGCTCTTTGTAGGTTTAGGGGGCGAGTCAGACGTTGCTGACGCCGTCTCGGCGGTATCGGAAGCCGATGGGGTGCTCTTAATCTTGGACTCGTGAACGTCCATGGCAGCCCAGTCCGTGCTACGAATGACCTTGATATCATCTCCCTTGAGCGGTGCAGGCGCTTTATCCAACAACAATCCCTGAACTATTTCAAGGGCGCACATTTGCTGACCGAGGCCAGGGTTTCCATCATAGCCTTCAACATACCAGCGCTGACCACACTCACGGCCTGACTTACCGCCAGTGCATGTCTGGACAGCAGCCTTGGCACTTGGTAAAAGGTGGTCATGGACGTGAGCCTTGAGGTCAGGTTGCATCTGGACGGACAGGTACATAAAGCGCGACAGGTAACCCTTGAAGGTTTCCATGTCTGCCGTGCAACTCATGACGGTCTCGCAGGCGGCTTCGTACATGACATTGGTGACATTGCCAAACGGCGCGAAGAACCAGTCGGTACCTTTAAGTAAATTCCTGCTGCGCTCAGCCCACTCTGGCTTCCCGGTGTGGTTTGCCATAACAGCAGCTCCGTATAGGTAGATGCCCTGAGTGTAAGTAAATGAGTGGTAGACAGTCTTCTGGCAGTTGTCCTTGGTATCGGTGCCGTCGTAAACGTGATAGTTGCGGTGATCTATGAAACCAACTTCCCACGACCAGTCCCAGATCTTGACGGCCCAGTCAAGATACTTGGCATCGCCCGTGACACGACCCAGACGGGCAGCGAGTTGAAAGAAACCGCCGTTGCTGACTGAGTTCTTGTAGGTCATGCCGTTGGGGTTGTCTGGGTAAATCTGCCACAAAAGGCCACCATTGCACTTTGTTGCGTCCCAGCGACTAACAAGCTGATCAAAAACATTGATAGAAATGTCGAGCCAAGACGGTAGGTCCTTATTGGGCTGAGGAAAGTTTCGCTCGGCAGCCGACAGGACGGCGTTGCCCCAAAAGAAGAGATCGTCGTTGCCCTCTTCATCGGCATGCTCAGCAGGCATGTAGTTGTGACCCTTTCCAAGGTTTGTAGGACCCAGAAGGGCTTCGATTATGACATCGTTGTATGAGTAATCTCCGGTGAGGTGGTAGTAGTCGAGCATGATGCCCCAAAGAGCACCAGCTACCCACCAGTAGTAAGGGTCTTGAAGATCTCCCAAGTCTTTGGGGACCGAGGATACGTTTCCCCTGTAGTAGGACATGGCATCGAAGGCCAATGTTCCTGCAACATCCCTGATGGAGTCTGAAGTTGTTAGTTGTGTATTATTATTCAAGAGTGTTTGACTGGATCACATACCGGGTTTTGAGGTGTCGAGTGATTTGGGTGGTGTTTTGGTAGCAGCGACTAGAGAAGCCAGACTAGCCAATGCTAACCTGCTGAACTTCATTGTGGTTGATGGGGTATTGTACGTATCGCTCAGCGATGAATGGACTTCTCCTGGAAGATATGAGTGTGGTGTAGTATGGTGCAGGTCAGCGGACAATGGCTGGGTTTGGTTCTTTTATGTAGAGATTCTCGGTTAAGAAGCTTTATTAATGGGCCAGTTAATGCGCGTGGATTGATGGTTCTAGCAGATTGTGGCGATGCTGTGTCTAGTTGTAGTGGCAGTCGAATAAGCGTCTTGCTGATGTTGATGAGGCGTTCAAGTTTCAAGGAATGGTAGACATGAAAAAGAGAGATCAAAGTCTAGAAGGAAAGAGGCCGAGGGAGAGGTTGCCTGGAAAAAGTGAAGTAGAAGAGAAGAAAAAAATGGAAAGAAGGACGATAACAGATTTTGACTAGAGATAGATAGAGAATGAATACGAGAACGCAATAAGCTGAAGCTGAATATACGTTCGATCGTTTTCAGGCTGGTCCTGGCTTGGCTAGACTAGACCAAACGTTCATAGATACAACGGGGGCTAGACTTGGGTTATATGTATTAATGGACGATGGAAGACTTGGGTACCCTAGCTTGGTGCTTGATGCATTGCTGCTTTCAGGTCCAGATCCAGGGAGCATCTCGAGGAACGAATGACGAGCGAGACTAATAAGACCAAGAGTAAAAAAGGTGAGACTTTTGGTGATGAACCTCAGACATAATGAACTGTTGAATCATGGCCTGCCCATGGGTACAGCAATTCTCCTCTCCACACCCCTGATGGTTTCGGCGATCAACCGTGCTCTGTAGCCAGTAAAACAAACCATGGTGGTTACAGACATGGGACTTTTAAAGTGCCGGTTGTTTCGAATCACCGCGCGGGTAGTTTATACACGTCAACAAACAAACAACACCATGGTGATTATCTTTTTTTGTTTCCAAACACAAAAAAAAACTCCAAGACGATTTGGTCTAGAGCACATAAGTGTGGATTGGGAAAGGTTCCAGGGGTAAAAGGGCACTAAAACTTCTTAGTTCTTTGGACTGACAGATGTCTTGGGGGAGGGGCAATCATTGAAAGTTGGAGAGACAAGGCTTGGCGCCACGATATTCATGCATTTGTCAATCGTTATTGTTCTGGTTGTAGGGATGAGTGAATGTTATACCGCAAGATCTAAGTGTAACCATCCACCACTTTTCACCTGTCAGCTTGTATATCTGTCAACGCTGCATTAACGTTACAAACATCAACCTCCCTTGCTTAAGTTACGAAAAAAGGGAATCGTCTCAAAAAAGACCGACCCTGACTCAAAGACGAAACATACCTCTAGAAAGATGAGATCCTGAAACACGAAACACGCCTAGCGTTTTTGTCGATCATCCAGACGTCAGAGTCAGAGACCTAAGAAATTCATGGTGGGAACTATCACAAGCCAAATATTTCCCACTGGATTTAGTTCCATGCTGCATTGAACACGAGGTGAAAAAGAAGCTCATGGCCAAGCTTCTTGGAGGTGGAAATACCTCACACATGGAATTCAGTCTCCGCATTCCCCAGAGGTAGTTATACCCTATACTCTATTCTTCGACAGTTATGTTTCTTACCAGAGCTTGTTTCCCTTTAAGTTGTAACTCTCATGTTGTGTTACCGTCTTTTCGCATGTTATTAATTCTTGTCCGAAACATTGATACCACCGCATTTGTTAACCTATCGTAATCACTTGTGATCTAAAACCAACCACCAAGATTCATCTTGATATCTAATGGCCACCACACACAAACAACATTCTTGAGCATGCGTGGCAAGTGTCGAACTTTATCTTAATCTTCTGACCTAGTAGTAGTAATTCTGAACGAGACTGATAATGAATGCACTCTCTGTCGCCAAGGATGTCTCTGAAAACAGCCTGCCCTTCGTCTGCCCATTTCCCCATCTTTGCCTCCATTCCCACCGCCGCGTAATCATCAAAGAATGTTCAATTGTCAACAAACCTTGAAAATGAAGATTTTATTGGCTATTAACGGAGTGTTGATATCATTCAGGCCGATACACTTTTCCAAACATGTCATGGACGGTATTAAGTTGAGCAGAGAAGTCACATCTTTCTTTTTGCTCATGATGTTCCAAGGTCGGCAATTTTATATTGCCAAGAAGTTACCGCATCCATCAATCAATATGAGAGATTGACGTTCATAATTGCCTCACACGTCAAATTTTGTACATAATGCAAAAAGAATCGACAACGACAGGATTCGAACCTGCGAGGCCGAAGCCAATAGATATCCAATCATCATGATTCAAGTCTATCTCCTTAACCACTCGGACACGTTGTCTGGTTTTGATTGCATACTGTGCAGCTAATAAAGTAATATGTACCCAGACACCTCAAAGTTTCCACAGTCAGAGATTGTCCTTAATCATAAATGATACTTGTCATTCTTGATATTTGAAGGCTTCTTTATTCTACCTAATCAATATTGTAATAAACCGTCACTCCTCTTACTTTCATATCTATATACAAAGCTTAGTAGTTAAGTTATTTAATTATATTTAATTTGTAATTCTGGTCTTTGGCCTTGAATAAAATTGCAACAACCAAGACAAGATAATGCCATAAAAACAAATACCCGCTTATGCCTTTTAATTCAATGTTCTGTCGTGATTCGTGTTCTCATCATAAATGTGCCAAGTAAACGCAAACAGACCATGCTCACTCACAGCCAGCCGGTCATCAACGCACACAAGGCTGCCACGAGAGCGATTCTCATGACTTTGGCATCCAAACCCATTGCCGCACTGCTGCCGTCTGTAGCCAACGGCATCGAAACGAACTCTGTAGGCGTAGTCGAGGCAGCGGTGACAGGGTCAGGATCTTCAGGTAACGGGCCCATGGTCAAGACGCCCCATTCCGCTTCCTTTCCGGTAAAGGTCGATTTCCATACTACTTCAGTTGGTCCAGTGTGAATACCATCATTGTAACCCTTGTCGAAACTAGAGTATCCAGAGCATGTCGCTTTGGTTGTGCCTTGCAGACTGCACTCCAAGTTTGCCGTTCTATATCAAATTAGCATAGTGACAGATTACCAGAAAGGAAAAAAAGACATACAGTCTTGAAGGGTTAGTTCCGTGGAATCGAACGGTATCAGGGCCTTCAACAAGAATAAAAGGAAACTCGAGAGAAAGATCGCACTCTGGAGGAGTGGAACCGTCTGTATCTGGACAGAATATCGTGTATGTTGTCTCTTGGGCCTGCTCGTCGCTCGAAATGATGCTACCGCGGACAAGGGACCAGGACTCTTTGTTGTAGTATGGCAAGTATATAGGCGCTGCGGTGATAGTGGGAGGTTCTTCCTCGGCATATGTGACACTATTCACAGCCAGCACCGCCAACAGAGTTGAGGTGAGTCCCAACATGGTACTGCGCTGCGCTTCGCTGCACTGTACTGTAGGCTGGATCGTCGCGCGCAGGGATGAAAAAGGTTCGCAAATAGGGCAGTCTAGCCAATCAAAGGTCCTCAAGGTGTGTATCCGTGTAGTAGAGGCGCGTGCGAATACAGTACTGTTCAAGGGCTAGTCACTGTCCAGGTATCTGTATTGTCTAAATACAAAATTCCTCTGCTCTGGACGCGAAATGGCAACGTGATTGTTTTAAGATGGATGTCTGTCCCTTTTTCCCACTCATTTGAAAGAGAAACTGGGATGGGACTCGGGAGGGGCCAGCAAAGACGTGAGCCAAGCATCTACGGAGAGTGCCAAGACCTGGGCGACCGAGGCTGAGGTCTGGAGCTACCTCAACTTGGAAGATGGTGATGTTTGTATATAAAGAGTACAGGTGAGGGTACATATGAGGACGTGACATGAAAGACATGATTGAGGCTCCCTCTCTAGAGTCCGTCTTGATTGAAGAATTACCGGAAAACCGGCTTCAAAATGTCAGACGGATGAATTTCTTGCGACATGCCAAGACTGAGAAATCGGAATGAAACTTTGATGCCAAGACTCAATGCCAAGACATTTTGTTATCTTATCCTGTTCATTAATTTAGCCCAAGACAGAGTAGGAGTAGCTCAGCAAATAACCACCGAAAACCAGTCCATCGGCGACTACTAGACAAGGTACTCAGGCTACTCTGTAAAAAGAGATACATTTCCTGTTACAGACTCACCTCGTCAGGGTGTCCCTTGACCTTGAGCTACATTGAGTCTACCGAGTATTTAGTGTACTACGGAGCAACATGGGGAGCTCATTACTCCGTACTCCCGTCCGTCCTTAACCACCTAGGTATGCAGTTTAAAGCCTAGATCTCTTCTTATCCGAATGCTGCCTACCTCCAACTCGTACGAGAACAAGGATATGACACCGGTTAGATACACACGCTACCACCCATAAGATGAGACTAACTCTATTCAATTAATGCTTCAGAAATAAAGATCAATAGTCTCAACTGCCAAACACAACCAACAGACGCCAAATCATTAGACTATCCCCCGTAGTCACTACACTTTAAGAAGGCCTCTTTCTCCACCAGAAATCACTATCCTTGAGACTTGGCTGAAGATCAATACTATTTGACTCTGCCTTGGCTTCTTGGTTGTATGTAAATCTCCCGCTTCCCTTCCCCTGTCTTTCCCCCTGCCCTACGAGGCCCGAGTGGGTGGCACCAGGGCGGATCCTCGGAATACTAAAGCCGTTTTTCATTTCCTTTTTTCACCTCTGAAAAGGTAAGTGTTTCGAGAATTAGCGCTATCACTGTCTAAGCGACCCCCGAAGGATTCACTCACTCAATTAGAATGATTGGATAGGTGACTCTTGGGCCCTTTTGTCAAGACTGATACAGGCGACAATCGGCAGGCAGGAGGTAGTTTCTAGTGTAGGAAATTTGCTAAAAGGAGATCATCTGCCTCTCGAATGTCTTGCGTTGACACTATCGTTGTTTTTGAAGCATCTACATTCGATCTTTTCACCTTCGTTTTCACGTCCAACCCGATACATTCTTTTTTATTACTCAACTACTACCGCTCGTTAATAATATAAAACCTTCAAAATGGTTCGATCTCTTGCTCTTTTCGCTGGCGCCATTGCCACTGTCGCCGCCGCCCAGACAACCACCGTCAACTTCTTCCTCCCCGGATTCGATGATCAACCTCTCGTGGGATCTGTCGTCGCTGTCAAGGGTGAGGCGACCAGTGTCGCCATCAACTGTCGTGAGGGAACCGACCCCAGCGACTGCGGCATCCAGGAAGAGCGCACTATTGTTGGTGGTCCCTCCACCATGGACATCAGCTACTCCTACAGCCCTCCCGAGGAGTACGGCGGTGGTCTCATGTAAGCATCTACCCTTTTATAGAGTTGGCGCTCATAAAAGGACATACTAACAAATCTTCCAGTGATCAAAGAACTGGCTGCAAACTGGACCCCAAGAATGATGTGGCCTTTTGCTCTGTTGAAGCAACAAACGTCATTTCTGGTGTTACCGAGTCTATGGCCACCTCAACCGCTCTCAGCGGATACAAGCAACTCATCATGCCCATCACCATCACTGCTGGCGCCGAGAAGTTGAACGGTGGTGACGCTTCTGCCACTGCCTCTGCCTCTGACTCCGAGGCCACTACTGCCGACAAGCCCAAGGATACTGGCGCTCAGGCTACTGGTTCTGCCACTACTTCTGGAGCTGACGCTGATGCCACTCCCTCTGCCGTTGAGTCTGACAACGCTGCCGGCCCCATGATGACCCAGAACGCTATCCTGGCTGCCGCTGCCATTGTCGGTGGTGCTGCTGCCATGTTGCTGTAAAGGTCTCACGCGAGAAGGAAATGATGATTTGGTAACACGTTAAGCAGTAATGATATCTAATTAAACCCATTCAATTCCATGTCAAATCATATACACGTTACTTCTGTGAAGGGTCATTCAGGGAGTGTGTGTTGTTTATCGTGACAACGTTCCTTCTAACACCGAACTCGACTTCTCAAAACGATGTAAAGGATAGAAGTTATACTCAAGGCAATAAAAAAGCAACTCAACCAGATGCACAGCAGCGCAGTAAAGCAATTCCAATTTGTTTGACGCATACAACAACTCAAAGTAGTAAAGACGCAAAGCCAAGGGTATCATGTGCTTGCATAAAATAATATGGTATTAGTTCAGGTGCGATCCTCTCTTCCATCGAGCCAACTGGTGCATTGTATACATCGAATAGACTAGAAAGGGTTAGTTCATGCATACTTATACTCTTGTACTTCCTAATTCTCACCTTCTCGTTGATACGTTGTCTGCAGTATTTGCACTTCTTAGTGTGCTTGATGATGGGCTCGGACGAGGCAAGCTGCCATAAATGGGCGAGTCCGTACAAGGCGAGACCCAGTACAAGGAAGGATATCATTTGATTGACAAACGATCTACATCTTGTTAGCAACCACAATGAACAATATCGGTCCTTATCACTTACCCATAAGCCCAAACAACAGCACCGTCATCTTGCGCCTGATGCAAGGTGTTGTAGCCCGTGGTCTTGTTAAAGTTAGGCCCCTTTTGCAGAACGGCAAATTTCTCCTCCATGTTCTTGTTCAAGGGTAGGATAATGGAAATAGGCGGCATGAGCACATCGCTCACAAATGACTTGACCAAGTCGGTGAAGGCAGCCGCAAGACTGTTTGATCCGTGTTAGTTATCGGAAGTAGAAATATGGGTCGAACCTCTTACATTAAACCAACGGCAATCTTGAGAATGTCATCTTGGAAAGCAAAGTCGAAAAAACCATCCCAAAAGTGCTTAACTCTCTTGTGGCCCCGACCGAGGAGTGTCTCGGACTCGCCAGAGCCGGACTCTTCATCGGGGAAGCGACCAGGCATGTTGCGATAGCTTGGGCGTGAAGTTCTCCAAAGACCAGACAGCCAGGACATGGGCTACAGTTCGGGAGGTGAAATGTTTGATGAGGGGAAGAAGAGTTGAAGGATTCTGATGCTTTCGTTTCAGTTATGGCAGCCTGAAGACGGGTCCTCGCTACAGGTATTCATCCAATGTCAGTTAGACACGCGCTTCACGCGGTTGATATGTCACTGACGTCATGGGCGCCCAAGCGACTGACTGTAGGGTAATCAAGTCGGCAATGTTATCTCTTTGTTTGCATGTTTTATTCTACCTAGTTTCCTTAATACAATTGTCGTTTTGGTAAGTTTAAGTATTTTTCTTTGCACTGGGTTCTCTGATGATAAGAAGACTATAGTGGGAATACCCAAGCAGAATACTCATAATTCTCAATAAGCTACCATAGTAAGCTCGATTCATGGATGTTAGTTTGGAAACTCAAGATCCCAACTGCAACGCCGGTATTCGACTAAACTGAAAGCCGTTATTAACAATACTTCCACTAACACTCTCTAACTTATAGGTATAAATATCATGAGTTCCAAAATCAGTCATGAACTTCTCGTGTTGATAGCCTGATTGGCCAAACAGAACTCCAGTACCCACACTGTAAAGAAGCGTTAGAACTAATCATTAGAAATCCAGACTCCCCATAACTACTCATCAAAAGTTGTATTATATCGAAGAACCCAACTTCAAAAACTCACAAAATGACCTCCCCCTTCCGCGTTATGCGACCTATCGCCCAGGCTGCCCGATCTGGCGCCGCTTCTTTCGCAGCTCGACCTTTCCATACCACAGCTGCGCGATTCGCTGTCCAGGATATCAAGACGTGAGCTTGAGAGATACATCGAGACCAAATCTCGGCAAAACTAACTCAGCTTGACAGAACCAAGGAATTTAAGGATCTCGTTTCCACAACAGACAAGGCTGTCCTCGTTGACTGCTTTGCCACCTGGTGCGGTCCTTGCAAGGCTATTTCTCCCATCCTCAGCAAGTAAGTGTCCAGACACAACAAACGCCCTTAAAACTCTTAGACCGACATGTCCAACTTAGGCTTTCCGAGCAACCTCCTCTTTCTGACAACATTGAGTTTGTCAAGTTTGATGTTGATCAGCTGCCCGACCTGACCGCTGAGTTGGGCGTTCGCGCCATGCCAACTTTCTTCGTCTTCAAGGGCGGCAACAAGGTTGATGAGTTGGTCGGTGCTAACCCCCAGGCCCTTCAGTCTATGCTTGCCAAACATGCCAGTTAAGCTGTTTTGTTACTTTGCCATCTTGTATTCTATGTCTCGATTCACAAGGGAGAACTTATTAAATGTGACCTGGCTTGTGCGGGCTATCCATGAAAGGAAGCGCAGGAGGTAACTGTGTATATTAGCATAGCTAGACTTTGCAATTGGCCATTGGTATCGTGGCTATGAGGTATCTGGCCACAAATAATCTTGAGCCTCATGTTGATCAACAACTATTGTCACAAATTGTATTGTGGTCTCGGCTAGAAGTGGTTCAGCCAACTAACTTGTTCTCATCCGGCCTTCTACTTCCAGTATAGACAGAAACAAGCGGGGGTGGAAGACCGCAATGTATGGTATCACTGAAGATCATACGGTCAATGTCATTTGCGCCCGGGAAACATTGAAAAATTGGAAAAGGCGTCTCATAATGAATACCATTGGCCAAGTACAACTTGTAGTAAACATTTGACTCAAACACCCTTATCTTGACATTGCATCTTTCCGCTATCTTTGTGGAGGCAATCCCGGTTTCGGCGGGTCCCCGCGGGAAACTTGCTGCATCAGACCAATTAGAAGAACCAATTCGGCTGGTTTAGCAATCGGGGCTTCAACTAAGAACCGAGGGGACGGTCAGTATAAGGTCATGAGATAAGTTAAGTTGATGCGACAGCCTTAATTTATTATCTGTCTTCTAGACTTACTTTACTTCAAAAATCACCTACTTTCTCCAAACTAAGGCCCAATCTGTTGCAAACCTGAAGCAAGTTTCGTAACGACCATCAACATGGCTAACACAATCGTCGTCGTTGGGTGAGTCCCGTAGTCGGAGTTCGTTATACCAACAAAAACTAACATGAAGCAGCGCTGGTGTCTCTGGCTTGACTTCAGCCTATCTTTTATCCAATAACAAGGGAAACAAGATCACAGTCGTTGGTAAACATATGCCCGGTGATTACGACATTGAATATGCCTCGCCTTTTGCCGGAGCCAACGTCTGCCCGTAAGTCCAAACAAACAGATCTGATACTAGACTGTTGACGGTAACTCACAATCATCTAGAATGGCTACACAAGAAAACAGCAGATGGGAACGTCGAACATGGGTAGAGTTCAAGAGACTCTGTGAGCAGGTCCCTGAGGCTGGTATTCACTTTCAAAGTGCGACATCATATATTCTCAGAAATCACTGGCCGTACTAACATCTTGTAGAGTGCAACGTTGCAAGACGCAAGAAGGATGCTGAAGAAGCAAAGAGCAACAACTTCCCTGACGCATTGTTTCAAGAAGAGCCATGGTACAAGGAGTTGTTTGAGGACTTCCGAGAGCTGAACCCAAATGAGGTCACCCGCGGTTACGACTCGGGTTGCGAGTTTACATCTGTCTGTATTAATACCGCCATCTATCTTCCCTGGCTAGCGGGCCAATGCCTCAAGAACGGTGTTGTTATCAAGCGAGCCAACCTCACCGACATCAGCGAGGCAAAAAAGCTGAGCCACACAGGCAACGTTCCCAACATCATCGTCAATGCCACTGGTCTAGGCTCCCTCAAGCTCGGCGGTGTCAAGGACGAGACTATGGCACCTGCGCGTGGACAGATCGTGGTGGTACGAAACGAGAGCACACCCATGCTTATCACATCTGGAGTTGAAGATGGTGGAAGCGACGTGATGTACCTGATGCAGCGAGCAGCTGGTGGCGGCACGATTTTGGGTGGAACCTACGACATTGGCAACTGGGAGTCTCAGCCAGATCCTAATGTCGCTCAGCGCATCTTGCAGCGCATTGTTGAAGCCCGCCCAGAAGTTGCGGATGGTAAGGGCGTCAAGGGACTGAGCATTATTCGACACGCTGTTGGGCTACGACCTTGGCGAAAGGATGGTCTCCGACTTGAGGAAGAGAAGCTGGATGATGAGACATGGATTGTGCACAACTATGGCCATTCAGGCTGGGGCTACCAAGGCTCATATGGCTGTGCCGAGGGTGTGGTTGAATTGGTCGACAAGGTTGGCAAAGGTGCCAAGGCGAAATTGTAGACTGAATCAAGCGATCAGTGGGAGAAAATCTGGCTTTGAATAATATAAACGCAAGATGTTATTGTTTGTTTTATCCTTCTCACTTCTATCGTGTCTTGAATTTGAATACGATTTTGGTGACAATGTAGAGTTTATGCATTTCGCGGGGCCCCGCATTTACACAGCTGTCATGAACCCCTGGCCCAAAACTCATGAAGCTTCCCTTTTCCCACTTTCACAGGCCAGCGGCTATCTCAAATCGACAAGATGGCTGACCCTGCGCCTGGCGCTCTCACGCGAGGCACTCGATTCGTCAGTAACGTTCTGGCCGGCCAACATGCGCTCTCAAAATGCATTCCCGTCGCGCTCTGGCTCGCCGACGCGGTGGGCACTGGTCTGATCATTTGGAAAGTCCCATGTACGATGCGCCCGACTCTCTCAGAACCCAGAACAAAGCTAATTTTGTATGCGCAGATACCGAGATCGACTGGGTGGCATATATGCAACAGGTTTCACAATTCGTCTCTGGCGAACGGGACTATACCAAGATCGAGGGTGGCACGGGTCCCCTCGTGTATCCAGCTGCTCATGTCTACACCTTTACAGGACTCTACCACATCACGGACCAAGGCGAGAACATTTTCCTAGCGCAACAAATCTTTGGTGTTCTGTATATGGCGACACTAGCAGTGGTCATGCTCTGCTATTGGAAAGCCAAGGTAGGTCATGGTAGCAGGCCGCTTTTACGACATGACTTGCTGATATTGCTCAGGTACCCCCCTATATGTTCGTCTTTCTGATCGCCTCGAAACGTCTGCACAGCCTTTTCGTACTGCGATGCTTCAACGATTGTTTCGCCGTCTTCTTCCTATGGCTCAGCATCCTTTTCTTCCAGCGTCGAAATTGGACCTTTGGAAGTCTGGCATATACCTGGGGTCTCGGAATCAAGATGTCGCTACTGCTGGTCCTTCCTGCTATCGGCGTTATTCTCTTGCTAGGAAGAGGTTTCTGGCCCGGTCTACGTCTCGCATGGCTCATGGCACAGGTTCAGTTCGCGATTGGAATCCCGTTCATCATGAAGAATTCTCGTGGTTATGCGGCTCGAGCTTTTGAGCTGTCGCGTGAGTTCAAGTTCGAATGGACGGTCAACTGGCGCATGTTAGGTGAGGAGGTCTTCCTCAGCAAATCTTTTGCTATATTCCTTCTTGTCTGTCACGTTATAGCACTTCTGGTTTTTATTTCCCAGAGGTGGCTCCAACCAACTGGACGACCTCTTTCTGCCATGATCCCTTCCTTCTTGCGACTCCAGTCTCCGTTCAATCTGCAGGAGCAGCTTCGAATCTCCCACTACGTCACCCCCGAGTATGTCATGACAACGATGCTCTCTGCCAACGTTATTGGTCTCCTGTTTGCGAGGTCGCTCCATTACCAATTCTATGCATATCTCGCGTGGGCGTCACCCTACCTCCTCTGGCGAGCCACAGAAGATCCCTTCATTGTGTTGCTTATATGGGCAGCGCAGGAGTGGGCCTGGAACATCTTCCCAAGCACCGATCTCAGCTCCCGCGTGACTGTGGGTGCGATGCTTGCGACGGTTGTGTTGGTGTATCGCGGAACAGCCAGACTTGCGGTTCCTCCTTCTCAGGCTAGGAAAATCGAGGCCAAGAACAAATAGATCTGGATCTAAATTGTGACCTCACTCATCTTCGGAGTCACTTGGGGGCATTTTGCCGACGTTGGATTCTTCTTCAGAGTCGCTAAAGTCATATGTGCTCTTCTTGACAAATTCTTTGGGCCTGTAATAGATCCGATTAGCCTAGTTCATTCCATGCAGCATAAAGCCTAGACTTACCAATAGGACTGTTTACGCCAAGCCTTCTCGTCTCGAACAACATTCACAATCTCTCCATCTGCTCGGGTGTCTTCTTTACTATCTTGATATATCTCGGCCAGAACGAAGCCGCCGCGCTTGATCCAGATGGTGTTTCGAAATCGCTGTGCCAATTCCAACATCAGAGTTTTGGTGTTTGGGAGCTCGCAGGTGTACAAGTTGTTTCCCTCGGGCTTGACAACACGAACAAGGGACTGGTTGGATTCGAGAGTGTCAGGCGGTGTCAGGGCAGCCTCAGCGGCCGCAAGTACGTTTCTCTTAGGGCGTCCCATTGTGAAGTTTGTTATTGACGACTTTCGCAAAGTGTTGGACTATTTTTCTCCTGATATAATAAAAATGTGGAGGGGTTGCTTTGGAGGGGCAGATACTGGGTACAGCGATACGTGAACCTTGGTAGACTTAAGCTACAAATATCGGTATATCCAATATGACTTATGAACTACACCGGACTTACTGCATTGGGACTCTCCGGCTAGGTACAATTACTGCTCTCATGATACCATGTCAACATAAATTTTTCTTATTCTCTTATGCTGTGTCATGAATGGACGTGGGTCTTTTCAGGCACTAAGACTTCCGGAGTAAGGTGGAATTGTAACCTTGACTTCAATGCTGGGTTGGTAACCCAAAGCAGCAAGACTATCAACTTATCATCATCATGAGAGGACAGCAGGAAGAAGGTGACCATTTTGTCAGCAAAGCCTCATGAATCAATATCCAATCGGGTCTTGTAGGAGCCCACCTTGATGTTGCTGTACTGTGAGTCTGTCGCTAACTGCATCTTGGCCAGGGTTGGATATCGTGGGTAAATTATTCGGTAGCTCATGCTATTGGTCTACCGTTTCTCTTTCGCCTCGTTTACCGTCTAAGTGGGCTCGGCTTGACTGCCATTCTTTGGATGGTGCTTCTCTCAGTACAATATGTTGTACATATGTTACCTGATAGAGGCATTCCACCACTGTAGGAATGTTTCGGATGCAAAGATGGGTGATCAAGTGATCCAAGCATTGATTCATATTACAAATTCTACGAAGATTCGGTCAAGGACTATTTCTCTACGCCGGTGTGTATATCAAGGGATAGCAGCCATGTCTGGATCAGATTATACTCTCCTATCATCTTGTATGTCACCGACACATACTGACTATCAATTCATACCATTGAGAGATACTCATCCATCATGGAACCTTCAATGCTCTCAGGCCTCGTTGCAGTTGAACCAGCCCTTGCCAAATCCCAAGATGAAGACTTTTATCGACCCTTGACAGCACCCACAAAAACAGTCCCAAGAACACAAGTCGGTACCTCCCATAGAGAATCATTCGAGCTTCACAACATTCCAATCCGAGATGATCGCACAAGACATGCATTTTCTACCAACGCCAGCAACGACCTGGAAATGAGTCGACCCAACACTCCAGACTCCAATACCGAAATTGTCGAAGTTCTACCTACTTTTTGGAATCCATTCATGAACCGCTTCAGAGCCCTTTTTGGCTGCCTTGCACAACTGGGTAATGCACTTAGTGATGGCGCTGCTGGCGCATTGATTCCATATATGGAAAAGTATGTTGACTGAATCCGACGTTCAACAGCGATGGCTAACTAGTTCAAGATATTATGGTATTGGATATGGCACGGTATCCCTGATCTTCGTAGGACAAGCCATTGGTTTTATCGCCGCAGCCGTATTTCTAGACGTCCTGCGAGCCAAACTTGGTCGAGCCAAGCTCCTCGGGCTGGGTCAAGCCTTAGTCACTTTGGCATATGTACCTATTATCTGCGGAGCACCTTTTGCAGTCGTCGTCGTCTCCTTTTTCTTCATTGGCTTCAGTATTTCCATCAACGTCGCCATCGGAAACCTCTTCTTTGGTGGACTCCGAAACGGAACGTTCATGCTTGGTATCCTCCATGGTACTTATGGGATAGGAGGTACGATTGGACCCCTCATCGCAACTGCACTTGTCACAGCTGCAAATGCAGTATGGAACCGATACTACATCATAACATGTGCCCTTGGTGCCGTGACTTTTGTCCTGGGCACTTGGGCGTTCTGGACATACGAAAAGGAGATGAGCCCTACGGCGCGCCAGAGAGAGTCATCCCAGGCGGGAGAGTCGCTGATGAACAGCATGTTTCTTGCTATGAAGATGCGTATCGTATTTCTGGGCTCGCTCTTCATCTTTGCTTACCAAGGAGCTGAAGTTTCTATCTCTGGCTGGGTCATCTCTTTCCTTATTGAAGACCGTGATGGAGACCCTTCTTCGGTCGGTTATGTGACAGCAGGCTTCTGGGCAGGTATAACAATTGGTCGGTTTCTCCTGTCTGCCCCTGCTCAACGCATAGGTGAGAAGAAACTCGTTTACTTTCTCACCGTAGGTGCGCTGGCGTTTGAACTTCTTGTTTGGTTTGTGCCCAACATTGTGGGCAACGCCATCGCTGTTTCTATCGTCGGTCTCTTTCTTGGACCTATCTACCCATGCGCCGCAGCAGTCTTCCTTCGTGGTATGAGCCGACGTGAGTCTCTAAGTGGGATTGGGACAATCAGTGCTTGTGGTAGTGCGGGAGGAGCTGTTGCACCTTTCATTACTGGCCTCCTTGCTCAGGCTGTTGGTACATTTGTACTCCACCCTATTGCGATTTTCCTTTTCGTTGTCATGCTGGTGTGCTGGTACTTTCTACCCACAGAGGATAAGAGGACTGAGTAACAAATGGGCTTTCGGGAACCCTGGAGATCCTTAAGGAATCTGCAACAAGATGATGATTAGGAGTATTACAAAAGAATGAGACGGGTCCAGGAAACACTGTGAATTGGCTCAGATTGACCAGTTCTATCCAAAATCTATAAAAGATCTATCATATAATCCGTGTAGATGGTTTGCATCTAATTCTTTATCCTCTATGCCTCTATGTAACCATAGACACCAAAACATTTCTCTTCCTTCTATATCATGAAAAAAATCCTACTTAAATGCGACCGCGGGCAGCATCCTTGACAGAAACGGTACCAGCCGCAATGTCTTTGACGGTTTGAGTGATGCTGGACCAATCACGGAATGTGACAAAGGGAACGTTCTCGTTCTCACACCAGGTGACGAGATCTGTAGGAGATCAATCAGCATGTACTTGCGCATTCAAACAATTATCCAAAGTCATGATTGTACGCACCCTTATCAGCCTTGGCAAACAACAAATCAGTTTCCTTGGCGGCAGAAAGATCGGAAACACCATCGCCAGCGTAGAACATGGTAGGTCGGTCAGGTAGCGAAGAGTACTTGCGGATCTCGATGGACTTGTCATGACCATGGATACTATTATAATCAGTAAGGGATAGAATACCAGGTTCAGGCAGGCATACCTGTCGTCATGAAACTCAATTCTCCAACCACCCTCGTCCTTCAGAGTCTTGCCCTCGCGTGCTGTGACATAGTTGCTCACGATCTGAATGTCCCAGCCAGGGCCGAGAAGGGTATCCAGGAGAGCTCGAATGACAGGCTCCATACCACCACTGAGAATGACAATAGGAACGTTGTTCTGTTGCGCCCAATCGTAGAACTCCTTGAAGCCGGGGTCGAGCTTAATGTTCTTGAGGAGGATGTCGACACACTCGTCGAAGGGAGTCTTGATGCTGTCAAGCATCTCAACAAAGCTATCGCGGAAGTGCATCTTTCCAAAGAGAACATCCTTGTTAAGCTGACGACGGCGCTCAACACCGAAGCCAAGGTTGTCGGTCATGTAGTCATTAGAATCGGCGGTGGTGACGGTGCCGTCAAAGTCGGTAAAGAAGATGAACTTGGGGTTGTTCTTGAGAGCTGGAGTGTCGGAAGAAGCCATGATGAAGGTCTGGGGGTACTATTTGTGCAGTTTCTTGATCCGAATAGATTGTGAGTTCAGCCCGTACTTGAATATTCTGGACAGGAGTCAAAAGAATGAGTCAATGGCCTGTTGTTGGATCGTGCTTTAACAAAGACCGAATGTTCTTGCTGGAGGAAGATATGACAGAGCGCAATAAAATGGTGGGGGAGGGGCATAAGTTTTCATGAGAGACAAAAGCAACAAAAGAGATCAGCAATAACAAGAACACCTGCTATTATCTGGTCAAGCTGATTGGATATTAACATTGAGAGATTCTAACTAGTTCAATGAGTAGTAATATCAATCGCGTACTGTATATAACAGAAAACACCGCATACTCTGTCGTTAGGTACCTACCAAGGAGGTACAGCGACTTGTTATCAGTATCAGTGTTCCATGTATCCTTTAACCGTCTTGGCCTTTTGGTTGGAGCGACTCCAGTGTCGTCATCTCATGACTCTGACCAACTGCAGCATGAAATTAGTGCCCCTCCACACTTGTTCTCCCAATTGCTCTGAAGCATAGACTAACTAGCTCCCAGTGTTGGGACAGAACCCTGGTAATCCTGAGTCAAGCGTGATGACACACCCCGCTGCGTTGTACTTCGACAACAAAGGCGGTGACTATATCTGGCAGTGCCCCGATGGCAGAAAAAGCCCGGACACGGAGCCGGTTGTAGCTCCAACGGCTCGGCCCATGCGTTTGTCCCATCACCTCAACATTTATTTTCAAAGGCTTGAGGGAACACGCTCGCCCACGACGACGTCGTTGCTGTATCGTACCAAAGATTTCTCTGGTCGCCATGCAGCCGTTCGCCCGTCCAGCGGCAAGGCTTGTCTGGAGCCATGCGCGAATAGGACTCGACCGGACCACGAGGCCGAGCAAGTCATGCTGGGAACCCTCAATATTCCAGAATTCAACAATACGAATGCGATACAACCCCAGAGCCATTGGCCTTCAATCACGACTCTATTCATCAGAGAGACCCCCGAAAGATTCAGAGACCAACTCTAGGACAAATAAAGACGTCGAGGCTGAGCTTGAATCTATCCTTAAACCTCGGCCAAATATTCTAAAGGAGCTTCAGCCGCCTGTCGAAAGACCGAAACTGGAAGATGTCAAGTCAACTTCCGCAGATGCTATCCCCCAAGACTCAAAACTCGAGACGCCCAAAACTGAAGAGGCCAAGCCCGAACCCACAAAACTCGACGATGCTGCTCAATCACACGAACCCCCCTCGACTACTGATAGCCTCCAAATTCTCCGTGACCGCGCGCAACATCGTGTCAGCGAATTAAAGGAGAAATTTAGCCATGCTATGGATACTCTTCAATACCGAGCGATGAACGCCTCCCAGACACTGAATGATATCACTGGATATACCAGCATTGAGATCATCAAGGGCCAAAACGCCAAGCTTGAGACAGCACTTGCAGATGCTCACGAGCGGGTCCGAAATGCTCGTCAGGAATACAAGACATCGAATGCCAGCCGAGCTACGACGCAACGTGAGGTCACAACACTGTTGGCAAGAAAGGATAGTTGGTCGCCGATCGATCTCGAGCGGTTTACCGAGTTGTACCGAGCAGACCACACCCTTGAGGGAAAGGTGGCATCGTCCCAAGAAGCTTTGACAGAAGCCGAGATAGAAGAACAACGCTTGAGCCAGCAACTCAACGCAGGTATCCTAAAGCGTTACCACGAGGAACAAATCTGGAGCGACCGTATCCGAAGGGCAAGTACCTGGGGTACATGGGGTCTAATGGGCATGAACTTCTTGCTATTCGTTATCCTGCAGTTCGTGGCAGAGCCCTGGAAGAGAAGGAGATTAGTTAGAGGCGTTGTAGCCGAGGAGAAGGCCGTGCTCGAAGAGGTTCGTGGTGAGCTTGAGCAAGTCAAGCTTGCCATTGAGGCCCAAAACCAACCTGCTGCCGTTGCCGCTTTGGCTTCAGCTGTTGAAGCGACTCAGGAAGCAGACTTCGAGCCCATTGCTGAGATTGTGGAATCGGAAGAGGTGCCAACCGGGAGTCTTTTCACAACTGAGGAGGCACATACCAGTGAGGTACCTGTTTCAACGCCCGTTGAGCCAGCAACCGAGATGCCTCTTCCGGAAATCCTGCCAATGAGGACTTGGCCGGAAGTCCTCAATGATCCCGCGTGGTGGAAAGCCTGGAAGGAAATCCTGCTTGATCCCATGTGGTGGAGGACTAAGACAGAAGACCTCTACAGCGAGCGACGGATAGATATGCGCATGAGGGATGCTTCATTGTTGGCGCTGGAGGGAGCGTTGGCTGGAGCTGTTTTTACCGCAAGCATCGCACTACTATTGGTTCGAAGATGATGATAAGATGTAAGATAGACATAAAGATAAAGGCACTGTACATTATAATATAACTATACCTATGGTTACAAAACGATAGGTACCAGGCACGAACTGCAGGGCTTGTTTATTGATGTGCCTTGTTGATGAATGACGATACTTCAAGCAGTTAATCTCTGGCCAATCGGATACAGGTCTATTGCATGACCTATAGGGCTGGTAGTAGAATAATCCTGAATGATGGCACTAAACCGCTCGAGCCATGGAAGCCAATAGTTTTATGCATGTTTTACCATGCATATTATTTCAAAGTGATTCCTTTGAATGCCGACGCATCATCACTACACCTAGGGCATTCTTCTCTTGAACGAGCACAGGCTCTGGTTCATCCTGACATCGAACCGCGCTTTCAGCAATCCCCTTGTCGTTCCACCTTCCAGGGTAGCCCTGACGATTAATTTGAACGCGGATGAGGTTTGCAGATCTGATTTGCTAGAGACTGAGATTAACGGCAACTGACATCGAATGGTTGATGTTTGAGGATATTGACCGCTCCCTAGTTTGCGGTTTTAATCGGAGCTGTAGTTAGTTCTTTCATGGCGGGGCTGCTGGAGCTGATCCGATTCTAGGACTTTTGACGATGGGTTTTAGGACTCAGTAGCATCCGGTGTAACCTACCTCAATGCCTAGGCCCAAAGGTGCACCGTGGGAATAAACAAGTGCACACAGGCAAGTACATACCTATTTCCACTTGTTATTTTTTATATTTGCTACAAGTTTTGAAACTTTGGTGTATTATCTACTTGAGCATAATGCAAAGCTCAACAGTTTGCCGTTTCAAAAGGTTGTTTCACAGGCGTTAAAAGGTTTATATATTTCATGCATAATTCATTGCTGTATCTCATGATGTAAGGTACAAATCTGAAACTCAATTCATGTCGGACATGGGCTTTGATATCCCATGCAAAAGTGCCCTACTCAAACAGACAACCCAATCCAACCATGCAAGTTCTTGGTGTGATAGAAGGTTGCCTGAGTTATTTGATTTTGTCTCATTGCAACTCAGCCTCTTTGTACGCGTTAACATTCATCACGTCAAGTCCTACATAGACCAGTCATTCGTACATTATCCATTCCATGACGCGAACTAACTCCAAGTCATGTTCAATCCTTTCGCGCACAGCAACTTCATTTCAAGAATTGCCCGTTGGGTTCCATTAACAGACAGACCCTTGTATCTGGCCCATGCTACAGTGCATATAGTGGCCAACGCCATTCACTGAAGTGCTAAGAGCTACGCCGTCCGAGCTGCAAAGAACCTGGTCTAAGCTCTTCTATTCTCTTGTCCGGTACCTCTAGGCTTGGGCATAGCTTGGGACCTGACCTGATCTGCCTGAGGGTTGGGCTACCAATGTCTCTTTGACCCTCTCTTTTACCTATGAAATTCTTTTCAGCTAACCCCTTTTTGTTCTCCCTGATAGATCAAAAAAGCCATATAGTGAATCCGGAACAGAAGGTGTAAATACTTGTTTGCTCAAATTCCATTGTATGGAACTTTTCGACTTGCCTGGCTTAAGTGCCCGCTTAGCTTACCGCTAATCTACTCTAGGGATTTTGAAAAACCCCGCCAAGTTTTAAACCCCCCTCCTTCCAGTTCCTCCCCTCCCCAACCACGACTGCCCATATTGCAGGTACTGTACAGGCAGTTTCCGTCACTATTTGCTGATGACATCTCCCACCTCCAGGCCACCTTCCACCTCCATCCCACTGTAGGTATTTGGCAACGGCTGGGCTTAACAACCTAAACCCTCTTCCTCTCAACCTCCCCTCTACATCTCCACTCGCCAGCTTCGGCTTCATCCACCTGAAGCTCGCAGGCGAACAATCACCACTATCACGCACCCGCACAAGAACACGCAGCCAGGATCTGTTGTGCTTTGTGATCGGTACCCAACTTAACGACACAAGACGTCGACTGTCTTGTCGTCTATTTTACGACTACACTCGCCCGCTTTCCGCTATCGAGGCGTCTTCGGGTACCTTCACCACCTGACATCGGTTGTCTTCTAAGACTTTCCCCCCTCCAACCTCTTGTCGTCCTGCGCAACGCATCGCGCACCCGCCGCCAGAATGAACGACGATGACGCGATTCACAACATCCACAAGAAGATAGAGCGGGAAAAGGCCCTCATCAACGCTGCCAATTCTATGAGGGCCCAGACAAATAATGAAGCCGTTAGATCCCGTCTCGACTCCCAGATGCGCGATGGCCGCCGCAACCTCCAGTTCTTCGAGGAGAAGCTTCGTGATATTCAGATGCGCCGTGTGAACTCAGGTGTTGGAGACATGTCTCTCGGGGGATCTGCTGACGATGCCGGTGGTCCCCCTGCACCACCTCCTAAGGATTCCTCCAGCAATCCCGCGGGAGATAGAGGATCCTATGGCTCCGGTTCGGGGCAGTACAGCCAGGCCGGCGGTGGTTCCGACCTAATGCCTCCGCGTCATCCTTATGCACCGGGACCTGGTGGATCGGGTATTCCCAAGCCACGCCCCAACTTTACCAAGTTAGGTACGTTGTTGCTATGCCATTCCTATCCCTAACCCATCCTCTGCCTACATGCTAACAAATCTTAGACTTAATCAAATATGATACGCCGCACTTGGGCCCTCGCATCCAACTCATGTTGTCCCAAATCCAGTTCAAGCTCAATGTCGAGGAGCAGTACCTGAAGGGTATTGAGAAGATGGTTCAGCTTTATAGCATGGAAGGTGATCGGAAGAGCAAAGCCGACGCAGCCGCTAGGAAGGTTGAAAGCAAGCAGAAGATTCTACTGTTGAAGCAGGCACTCAAGAGATATGAAGAACTGCATATCGATGCGGACGTTGCGGATGCACAAGATGGTAAGTTAGCGTTAAAATCACGTTGAATGCGAGGCTGACAAAGAGCTAGATGATTCAATCAACGCCCCCAACCTCAGGAAGCCCCTTAGTGGACAACTATCGATTCGAATGATAGCTATCAAGGATGTTGACCATGCTGCGACTGGACGATTCACAAGAGGTCCAGAAACCTTTATTGCCGTGAAGGTTGAGGATACCGTCATGGCTCGTACGAAAGCGTCCAGGAACGATCGATGGGAGGCTGAGTTCCATACCATCGAAGTCGACAAGGCCAATGAAATTGAGTTGACCGTTTACGATAAGCCCGGAGAACACCCCATGCCCATAGGCATGCTCTGGGTTCGCATTTCCGACATTGTCGAGGAAATTCGTCGCAAGAGGATTGAGGCCGAAATGAACAGTTCCGGCTGGGTTTCTGCCGACAGAATGGGCAACACTAGTGCTGCCCCTACACAGTTCCCGATGAGTCCTTCTCAAGGCTCTTTTGGACCAGGTTCTCAATCAGCTGGTGGTGAACAAGGGGATGATACTGGCCCATTTGGAGCTGCTGGTCCACAGCCCCAGGTCCAAACTGGACCTATTGAGGAATGGTTCAACCTCGAGCCAACTGGACAGATTCAACTTCAGTTGACGTTTAACAAGTCCAACAATAATAGCCGCCCTATCGATCTTGGTCTTGGTCGAAAGGGTGCCGTTCGTCAACGAAAGGAGGAGGTCCACGAAATGTACGGCCACAAGTTCGTGCAGCATCAGTTTTACAACATTATGCGCTGTGCGCTTTGCGGAGATTTCCTCAAGTACTCAGCAGGCATGCAGTGTGAGGATTGCAAGTATACCTGTCATACGAAGTGTTATTCTAGCGTCGTCACAAAGTGCATCAGCAAGAGCAACGCTGAGACCGACCCCGACGAGGAAAAGATCAACCACCGCATTCCGCACAGATTCAACCCTTATTCCAACATGACAGCAAACTGGTGCTGCCACTGCGGCTACATCCTGCCTTTTGGAAAGAAAAACTGCAGAAAGTGCTCAGGTATGTATCTTCTGTTTCCTCCATTATACCACGACGCTAACATGTCTCAGAATGTGGTCTTACTGCACACGCTCAGTGTGTCCATCTTGTCCCCGATTTCTGCGGCATGTCAATGGCTGTCGCCAACCAGATTCTGGACGGCATAAGGACTCAGAAACAAAGACAGGCCAAGGTTTCTTCACTTTCAGAAAAGACGCTTCGACAAGGCAAGACTAGCCCAACAAGCACCAGCTCACCGGCCCCTTCATACTCCAGTTCGGCTGCTCCTTCTTACCAGTCGGGACCAGTCTCCCCGGAGGCCACAGAGGCCGCCAAGATGATGTACTCGAATCCGTCCACGCCAAGACCTAGCGGCCCCGATCGAACTTCATCCAGCTCTCAAGCTGCGGCTGCAGCATCTGCGGCTATGTCTGGAGGACCTGGTGCCGCCCAACGGCAGCACTCTGACTATGGGCGCTATAGCGGCGGTTACGATCAACCACAAGAAGACCCCTATGCTCAGGGAGGTCAATACGGTGCGGGTCAACAGCGTAAGTACAACCCGGCCGATTATGCGAACGTGAACCCTGGCTACGGAGGACAACAACCTGCTGCTCAGGCTCAGCGACCTGTACAGCAGCCGCCAGCCCAGCAACCCCCTCCTCAGTCGCCGCTACCTCCAGTGCCGCAACATCAACAGCAGCAGCAACAAGCTGCCCACCAGCAGCCCCCAGTGCCAGCGCATACGCCTCAACAACCAGAACCTATGTCCCCTAAGCAGCAGTCAGCAGCTGGTGGTAAGTCTGCTCCCCTGGCTACTGATCCTGGAACTGGCCAGCGCATCGGACTTGATCATTTCAACTTCCTGGCTGTGTTGGGTAAGGGCAACTTTGGTAAAGTTATGTTGGCCGAGACCAAGCGCTCTCGAAAGCTATACGCTATCAAGGTCCTCAAGAAGGAATTCATCATAGAGAACGATGAAGTTGAGAGTATCCGCTCTGAGAAGCGTGTATTCCTGGTTGCCAACCGAGGCAGACACCCATTCTTGACCAACTTGCATGCATGCTTCCAAACAGAGACCCGTGTATACTTCGTCATGGAGTACGTTAGTGGTGGTGATCTGATGTTGCACATTCAGCGAGGTCAGTTCGGTACTAAGCGTGCGCAATTCTACGCCGCCGAGGTCTGCCTGGCGCTGAAGTATTTCCACGAGAACGGTGTCATTTACCGTGATTTGAAGCTTGACAACATTCTTCTTTCACTCGATGGCCACGTCAAGATTGGTGATTACGGTTTGTGCAAGGAGGATATGTGGTATGGCTCGACAACAAGCACCTTTTGTGGTACACCCGAATTCATGGCCCCAGAGGTACGTCTTTGGCATATAACTTACACATAGCCCTTTCCACTAACACTTGGCAGATTCTCCTGGATAAGAAGTACGGTCGTGCTGTCGATTGGTGGGCATTTGGCGTGTTGATTTACCAAATGCTTCTCCAGCAGTCTCCCTTTCGTGGAGAGGACGAGGACGAGATTTATGATGCCATTCTCGCTGACGAGCCCTTATACCCCATTCACATGCCCCGAGACTCGGTCTCAATTCTCCAGAAACTGCTCACTCGTGAGCCTGACCAGCGACTTGGAAGTGGCCCGACTGATGCCCAGGAAGTGATGAGCCAGCCATTCTTCCGAAACATCAACTGGGATGATATGTACCACAAGAGAGTGCCACCTCCTTTTATGCCGCAGATCAAGAGTGCAACAGATACCAGCAACTTCGACTCTGAGTTTACAAGTGTTACTCCCGTTTTGACTCCAGTTCAGTCCGGTATGTTTTGCAGCCTTTTATTTCTCCCAACACACTGCTAATATAGTTTCTAGTTTTATCACAAGCCATGCAAGAGGAGTTCCGAGGCTTCTCATACACCGCTGATTTTGATTAAACGACTGCACACGAAGATTGACGATTTTGCAATGTTTTATTGAGACGATGGAGCCGCGGTGAGATTCGTGTCTTGTCTATCGGATACCCAGCAGCGATAGTTAAATAGATTACCGGGCACCGCGGATAAGTGATATCGGTGCGCGAACCCAGCGTGGGCGTCTGGACAAGACGGCCCTTTTCATGTTCGCTCGTTTATAGTGGTCGGTATTCAGGATATAGGTAGTGGACGAGCAAAACGTATGATGGTATGGTCAGAGCCATATCGATAGTCAAGCAAGCGTGTTCAGTGGTAGATGAGTATCTTAGACAAGCAGCATATGAATAGTTGTCTTGTTAATAGAAGTAAGAGAGAGACAAAATGGTGGACGCCAATGAGTTTACGTATCCCACTATTGACTGGGATGCCGGTTATCTATTCGTATTACGTATTGTTTCTTAGCATTCATCAGGTTTTATTGAGTCTCATTGCTGCAACTGCGCACCCTTGCATTCAATGGGGAGATTGGAGTGTTTTAGTTATTTTTTTTTCACTATATTTTATATGTTCCATCTAAGTCCATCTCGTCTATGTAGGCTTTTAAATATTCTTACGAAGTGTATTCCTTCTGTAGGAGCTTGGCGATAGTGTTGAGCCTAAGGAGACACGTTAGTACAACCTTTCACATTTTTAAGACAATGATATAACTTACTGGATGTTGCTGGTACCCTCGTAGATGGCACCGATCTTGCTGTCACGGAAGTACTTCTCTGCAAGACCCTCACGGACAAAGCCCATACCACCCATCCACTCAATTGCAGAGCCACTGACACGTCCAGCAACCTGAGAAGCATAGAGCTTTGCCATAGCAGCGTCCTTTACAAAATCCTCACCAGCCTCCTTCTTGCGAGCAGCGGTGTAAACGAGAGCGCGAGCAGCAGTGATCTCGGTATATGCCTGGGCAAGCTGATGCTGCATGCCCTGGAACTCACCGACCAGAGAGCCGAACTGCTTACGGTCGTTCCATACGTAGCGGGCGGCATTGTCGAAAGCACCAAGGGCAAGACCAGTCATCTGAGCGGCGATACCAATTCGTCCCTCGTTGAGGATACTGATGGCGTACTTGTAACCCTGGCCACGCTCGCCGAGAAGGTTCTCCTTGGGGATCTCGACATCGTCAAAGTTGATAACGCATGTGCTCGAGGCACGGATACCCAGCTTCTTCTCCTTCTTGGCGATGGAGAAGCCCTTGGTGCCCTTCTCGACAAGGAAGGCAGAGATACCCTTGTAACCCTTGCTGGGGTCAAGGTTAGCAAAGACAATAAAGAGATCAGCCTCCTTGGAGTTTGTGATCCACATCTTGCTGCCAGAGATCTTGAAACCGTCGGCGGTCTCGGTGGCCCTTGTAGCCATGGCAAAGGCATCGGAACCAGAGACGGGCTCGGAGAGACAGAAAGAGGCGACAGTGTTTGTCGCCAGACGTGGAAGCCACTTCTTCTTGATAGCAGTGGAACCGTGCTTGATGATAGCTGTGTTACAGAGGGTATTGTGCACATCTACCAACACTGAGACGGAAGGGTCTGCGCGCGCAAGCTCCTCAATGCCAATAATGGCGGCAGTGAAGTTCATACCAGCGCCCCCATACTCTTCGGGGATCTCAATACCCATTAGACCCTGCTCGAACAGCTGCTCGACAACAGCTGGGTCCATTTCCTCTGCCTCGTCCATGTCACGCGCGCGAGGAAGAATCACATCTGTGGCAAATTTGGAGACGGTGTCAACCATGGCGGTCTCGAGCTCAGAGAGGTGGGTAATAGGTGTAGGAGGGATCTCGGAGATATCGACATGCTCGCTGCGGCGGGATGATGTTGTAGAGAGGGAACGAGCAGTGTTACTGAAATGAAGGATTAGCAAATGTTCTTGTGCTGGTAATTCAGATATTGCGCTTACAGGCTTGTTCTCGTCATGGAATGAGGAGCAGTGGCTAGCGGGGCGATGCGCTGTGTGAGAACTCGTCCACCTCTGAGCGCAGGACGCACGACCCGAGTAAACGACGACGACATCGTGAGGTTTGTGATGGTAGAATGGGAAGTTTGGAAGCAAACGGTTAGTGTTAAGGACGAATGTAGGAGGAGAAACAAAGGTGGCTAAGCTGAAGCGAGGTGTGAAGCGGGTATCTAAGAGACGATCACAAGCCAAACGATCATGGAACAACACAAGCTTGATGTGATACAAAGGATGGAGATAAGAAAGTAGAAGATGTCCAAGATCCAATATGTCAATTATAGCAACCTCGGTATATACAGATCAACCTTTCCTCCCCAGAAGCGTAGCCGTGCCTATCTTATACGGCTGAAGCGGTTGAAGAATCTCATTGTTCGGCCTCGACCAGCCGAGGATAACCACCGAGGTCGAGGATGTGTTCGGTATTACAACGGTAACCTGACTTGTCGGGTTTGGGGTTCAAACTGCGGGATGCGGGGAGTGATAGAGATGCGCCGGCGATTAACCGCTGACGTCGAAGACATGCGGGTCATTGAAGAAGAAAGCCGGGGTTTGGGTACGGGTCCTTCTAGATTGATGCCAGCATGTGATGGATCTGGAGCTAGAGATCCGGATAATCTTGGCTTCCGAGATGGAGTCTTGAGTCACGTGAGTACATCGAGGCTGAGATTTTGATATTGGCGTTAGTTGAGGTCGAGGTTCAGGATAGTGAGAGGCCGATTACGGGATTAAATCAATCGCTCCAGAACAAACCATCTCAATCGGGCCATACCAGTCTTGCCCAACATGGTCGGCTCTATCCTCCGTCAATTTTTCTCCCCGGCGACCCGTCGTCCCCTCGCTACGGCCATCTCAACACCAACCAGCCGTCTTCTACAACCGTCCCTTCGAACATTCACCACCACAGCACCCCGCGCTTTTGCTCCTACGACCGTTCGCCCCGCGACTCTGAACCAGGTTCTGCGTGGAATCCGAAAGGGAAAGCGCGCACGCCACGCCGTTTCTCCTGCTCTATCTAACACACACTGCCCAGCTCTCAAGGGTGTATGCCTCCGAGTCGGTGTTGTTCGACCCAAGAAGCCCAACTCTGGTGAACGAAAGACTGCTCGTGTGAAGCTCTCCACTGGAGCTGTCGTAACGGCGTATATCCCTGGTGAAGGACACAACATCCAGCAACATAGTGTTGTTCTTGTAAGAGGTGGCCGTGCGCAAGATTGTCCTGGTGTGAGATACCATCTTGTTCGAGGAGCTCTGGATTTGGTATGTTCTCCTTTTCCCACGTATTTTTGTGCCAGGCATGGACACTTTATATGACTATATACTAACATTTCCAGGGTGGTGTTGCGAGCCGAACGACGAGTCGTAGCAAGTATGGTACCAAGAAGCCCAAGAAGGCTACCGTTGGTTAAGCGAATCCTTAAAATAATGAACTAGATGCGCAAGTTGGGTTAAAAGATCGATGGTAAAGCAACGGGATTAGAACCGTGTCGATGACATAGACCAGGCTGAGACCATGTATTGATATTGTACACTATTTCAAGCATTTTTAAAAAAGACATGCAAACGATCCGAAACAATTCTTCATTCATACACACTTCTACGATCAAAGCTGTCCAACGTATTTCAAACCCAGACGCCTAATATTGGTTCATATGAACCTCTCCTGATGCACACCCATTGTTTGCAGCCTAGAAATAACGGGGACAATCTACCAAGCATAACAACCTGTATGATAACGTACAATCCTTTCCACTCACTCTTTAATGATATCTTGTCTACTGCTGCTTCTCAAAACCCTTGGGCTTCTCCATGCCGTTAAGCTCAAAGTATCGGGAAGTGCCTGGAAAAGTGTTAGTTTATCGCTTGTAGTACGACCCAGAGAACACTTACAAGAGTAACCCTTCCAATCAAAGTTGTTATCGGGGTTGCAGTGGCAACGAAGGTCCAATCGTCGCTGCTCGTCAGTAGGGCAGTGAGTAAAGGGAACGTGGTAATAGGCAATATCCTCGAAAAAGTGAACCTGCTCCTTCTTGAGGAGAAGACCAGCAGCGATAGAGTGGACGGGCGCATCACCCCATCGCTCGTAGAAGAAACCACCATCCTTATCAAGAGACTCAAAGAAATCGAGGTAAGGCTTGCTGCGAAGCCAGGACAAGCTACCAACTTCAAAGTTGGACCACTGGGAGGAGTTAGTATTGTATGGGTGAACTATCAAGGTTAAAACTTACGAAATGGCACTTGTTATAGTTCTCGCCGCCATCGTCACTGAGAAAGCGCATTGAGTTGCCCTCAGCGATGTGCTCGGGGTGGTTCTGGATGAACTTCTTGGTGCTGGCCCAGAGAGTGGGGATGGTGTCAATGTACTCGTAAAGGGAAAGAACGAAACTGTATTTCTTGTTGTTCTCATGCATGACGCGGAAGGGATCGTAGTGAATGTCGCAGAAGAGCTTGACGGAGGGCTCAACACGCCAGTAGTATTCATAGTTCATCATGAGCTCCTGTCGGAAGAAGAAACCAGACTCAAATCGGCACATGTGGCGGTAGCTGACAGAGTCACCGTAGATGATCTTACGTTCATGCATATCTTCGCGAACCTTGCGGGCCTTCTCCTGGTCAATCCACTCGGGGAAAGACCAGTGTTCCTCGGGGATCAATCCATAGTGAGTCTTGCCAGAGCAGAGAGAAGTGGTGACCTTCTTGAATTGCTCGTCGAAAGGCTTGTCGTTGAGGAAAACCCAATCGTAGTTGTATCGGCGGTTGAAACGATCCTCGACCTGACGAATGGACTCGGCAATTTCCCAAACATCTTGGTTACGAGCGAGAGTGACGAATGTAGCGTTCATACGGGGACCGGGAGCGGTGCCCTGGAGGTTGCTCCAGCCAGGGTCGTTGGGAGACATAGCCATAGGAGCCTCAGCGAGCTCGCTTGAGACGGGGGCCTCGGCGGGGACCTTGGGAGCTTCAGAAGCAGGGATATCATCGACAGACGCTCCCTCACCAGCAGGCTTCTGAGCGGGGGCCTTGTCCTTGGTGAGAGCAGTATCACCCTCTTCAGCAGCAGCAGGCGCCTCCTGGCCAGGGAAGTTGACATTGTTACCAGCATCGTTGGGCTTAGGAACGGTGCCAGGGGCTTGTTGGTTGCTGGAACTTCCAGGGCCGCCTGGGAAGCTGCCGACGTTACCAGGAACGGGGATGGTATCGATCTTGGAATTGGAGAAGAAGTAGAACATAGTAAGGGTCTTAAAGGAGTCGTGTTAGTTATCATGTGGCAACGTCAGCTGCCATCAGGCTTGCGAAAGAGTGAACATACGAAAAGCGCAAGCGCAATATAGCGCACGTAGCGCGTATGACCGGCTACCATGATGAAAAAAGAATTGGCGACACAAAATCGCCAGGTAAAAAGGGTTGAATGAAGTGAGAGGTTGAACAGAAGAAAAAGAAGATGGATGTTCCAAAGTTGATGTTCTGCTGCGCACGGGGAAAAAGTACACCTCCACTACAAGGGAGCCAGTTAAGGCAGATGGGCTGAACTAAAAAAGATCCCTTTATGTTGAACCACAGTAGTCTCCCCCAATGTGAGTTCTGCAAACTAATGAGGACACTATACTGAAAATTAAAAAGGAGAGTTGCAAAAGAACATGTAGATGCTCTTCATAAGAGATGCAGTCAATGTAATAACAAGAACAATCAATTGCATTCAGAGGCGCAAAACAGGTTGCTAGAGACCCGCACAGCTGCCCAGGCTACGTACGTACTGGAATGTGAGATGAACAGCGTGTTCTGGGGAACACCCTGCAACGGGATCGTCGCACCCGTCAATCAGGTACCGCTGAGAGCAGAAAGCGATAAGAATTTCACTGATGCAAGTGCCTTTTTACAGGGGCTAGACGAATAGTACCTGATTGACTATGCCATTTACGCCCAAGACCAATGTACCTACTGTCTGGAAACGACTTTCATCAGCTGAAAGACGTCTTGTAGAATTTTAGCCTTTGACGTTCAGGGAGTAAGTTTGCTAGTGCAGCTCAACAAGTAATGAATGGCTTCCATCTCAGAGCTATTGTCGAGTCCAGACGCTTTGGAGTGAGTCTAACGGATTCTATGGCAAGCTTTTGACGTGTTTTCACGTCAGCATTGGAAAAAAAGTGGATTGGTTGTGAGTATTACGACAACAAGACTGATCGTGGACAGGGCCAAGGGTCCCCCCATTTTGGAACATGTCTTCCTGTGCCGTTTCTTGGATTGTACAGTTGGATAGGCAGCATCTACTCCTTCAAGGTACGCCATGGGCCTCTTCAGATAGTTTGGAATGAAAGATCTGTCGAAACTTTAAGCCTCAAAGTCGAAATTGGTCTTGTAGAAAATCCGTGTCCGATATGGGTAAGTGCTGCAGGTTGAATGCATCACCAGTTGTTCTCGTATTTGTTGATGAGTTGGATGTGCCCCTTTTTATGTTTTCTGGGCTTGTTTTGGGTTGACAGGTTTTGAGAACCTTGTGTCAAGGAACGCTGCAACCAGCCTGTAACAACGATTGCAGCTTTCTCTCCACTTCAAAGTACAACCCCTTTGCAGTAGGTTAGTAGGTATTGTTTGCTACGTGCCCTTTCATTGTGATGAAAACACCCACGAAAAGGCCAAAATAGTTTCAACCATCTCTTACGCCCTAATTAATTATCTATGCCCCCGGCAAAAAGGTCGATTGCAAGTCTTGCAGGCCTGTTCTCGAATTGCCTATTCCATCTGTCCAAGTCTTTCTTATTAGTCAATTGAAACCTTGTCGAGAGTCTATGGCGAAAACTAGGAGCCGAATGTAGGTATGTTGCTGTATTAGTAAACTCCCCTGCTATGGGACCCTAGATATAACGGCAGGACTTGTTGATTCCTAGACGATACCAGTCATTGATCTCTTCTGCAACACGGTATTAATTGATAGTTGCTAGGACGCCTACTGATTATTACTATTGACCAAAACGAAACCGCCTGATCAGATCTATTAGACTTTGAGAAGACCCCCATCAAACCATTAACCAAATAGCATAATGTTGATCGCTTGGATTTCGTTATTACAACAAGTGTATACATAACAACTGTTTGTTCTTTGAATTGTCGGATAGTTTTATAATTGATAAACAAGACATCACTATAAGTCGTTTGTTGAACAATCGAACGAGACAAACGATACAATGCCATGCTATAGCAGTGAGATCATTGAAGCAATTGTCAGACTTCAATAAGTACTACACGTGATCTAGCACGTGTCTGCATGCACCATATTCAACTCATGGTGGGGAAGCGGGCTTGGAGAACAACGTTGGCACTTCGTCGCATCATCGTTGGCTTCAGAGCTTCGCCGCGCAACATTAACGTAGCGCGCTCTTTCAGCCGACCTTCTTAAGTTTACGACCAAAAATCTTCCCGATAGAGCTTCGAAATTCCTCCAAACTTCTGCTACAGCCACAACAGTGCTCCCTTTGCATGTCTGGCTGCGACACAAACATCTTGAACCAAATTCACTGGAAGACATCATGATAGATTTGTGCGCGCTGAACGATCCTGAACATATCTCTTTCCCTTAGTGGTGAGTTGCCTCCTCGCCTGATGCTCCCGGCCCTGCTCGCTCTGTCCCGGGCATCCCTTGCTATATGTGTCCGGGGCACTTTTCGACGCCCTTTGACTCGAAATCGGAACCCCTACAAGATTGGACTTCTATCAATGAAGACACCCTTGTAACAACGACTTCAAGGAGGATTACTTGGTTCTGGTGTTGTACGCACAGCACAGTACAGCACATGGTAATATAAACTGGAACAATTCGGTACCGACAAGGATAATGAGTTCCACGATATTTGATCTCTGGGCAATATTCATCGAGAAGCAGAGAAATTGAGTATCGCTGCGATTCGAGCGCAGTACCATTCCATTGACAAAAATGTGGCCAAAACCTCTGGGTTTGGGTTTAGCAAGTCTGGGGCGTTTCCTGAGGATACTCTGAGCGGGGCACGGAGCTCAAAGCGACAGCAGCTGAACCAGTGTCTGTACTAATTTCTTTCATAGTACAATTGACGTCCACCTGCCAAATTCTTTCAAAATGTCCTTTTTCGGTTTCGATAATTCGCGCCACAACACGGCTGCGCCTGGCTTCTCCCAAGCCCACGACCCATTCGCTGGGCTGTCAGGCAAGGATGGAGACGATGATGCCCTAGACTTTGAGGAGACGTATGATGGTCTTGGCGACCAACTCGAAGAGACTGGTGACGCTTTCAACGACGATACCTTTGGGGACAGTGGTCCAACAGTTTCCCGCAACGCTGGCAACGACTTTGACTTCTTTGGTCAGACTGCCAAAGTTGCTGGTGCGATAGAGGAGGAACACGTCCGCTTCCATCGCCAGAAGCCAACCGCCGCCAAACCAGCCCAGGCACCCCCTCCTGTTAACCAATATGCGCCCGCTGACTACCAATCCTACTACTCCGGTCAACCTTATCAACAGCAATCGTTCCAACAACAGCCTGTGCGATCTGGTTATGAGAAATACCGTGAGCCCGAACCTCTTCCCGACTTGAACGTTGACCGAAGTATCTGGGGTATCGGTCCTTCCAAGCCCGCTCAGCAAGCATCGCCTGCCCCTGTTCCTGCAGCCCAGCCTAGTCAACATGGTGCCAGCCGAAAGGTCATGAGCTTGGAAGAGGTCGAGGCCGCCATGCGATCTCAGCCTATACAGCATACTCCTCAACCTCATGTCGCAGATCTTTCCTACCAGCAGCCCCCTCCCGGCTTTGCTGCCCCTCAGCACCAACCTCCTCAAGCTCATGGACACGGCCATCCTGTTGCCATTCTGCAGAGACCCCAAAGCACACAGTCAAAGTCCACGCCGCCAGCCCCTGGACTTCAAGGAACTCCTGTCCAGCATCATCAGCAGCTCCATGCGAACCCAACACAAATTCTACAGAATCCCAGCCGCGCTGGCCCGGATGCGCATGTATCACCACAGCAGGGCCAAGCTGCTAAGCAGCCCCACGGTACCGTCCCTAGTGCTGCCCAATTACAGGCTCATCCTCAGATGCAGCAGATGTCTGAAGAAGAGAAGGCTGCTTTCCTCGACCAGGAGACCAAGAGGGCCAAGCGTAACCATAAGATTTGGCTTCTGTCTAAGGACAACGGTTTGATGACACCTCAAGACAAGAACTTCATCACCCGAATCCAGCTTCAGCAGCTCGTTTCTGCTACTGGTAACCCTGTAGAGGGATCCGATGCTTCAATCGCAGAGGATTTCTACTATCAAGTCTACAGTCATATCCGAGCTGGTCAGCGACAGAACCCCAGTCAACCCTTGAGCAATTTTGCGCAAACCTACCTGTACCAAACCGGTAGCCGCCAGGGTGGTATGCGACGCCATGGTCGACCTGCCGAGAACCACTTTCAGCGAATGGAGCAACAGGTGCAGCGAGCTGTGGAAGCCGCCAAGAACAAGCCCAAGAACCCTCAACTTGTCATTGCTGGTAGTCTGGGAAAGATTTCCTTCAGCAACGCCAAGACACCAAAGCCCCTGCTTAGCATCAAGCGCACTGAGAGCGAGCATCAGCGACCAAACAACGGCAAGAAGGGATCCAGCTTAGACCGAAAAACTATCTTGCGAAACGTTGAGAAGGTTTATCAGACTCTCATGCAAATTGAAGACCATGTCCGACTCATCCCACCCCCAATGACCAACCCCGATGAGGAGCTTGAGAACAAGCACAAGGAGTGGGCTATCATTCTGGAGTCCTACAATGCTAAGCTCTGGGAAGAACTCAAGGTTCACGAGCAGATCGGTGTTGTTGTTCCTCACCCATTCATCGCTTTCCTCTCATGCGCCAAGGGCGAGAAGGCTATCCCTCGTCTTTTCCCCCATCTTTCTTTTGAACAACGAACCACCATTTTGACCATGATCATCTACCACCTCGACCAATTGGATGTTGTTCAGGGTGCTGCTATCACACCCGGCGAGGTGACTACAATTAATGCCAGGATGCGAGAGAAGATTGAGCTTTTCATCTCTACTGTCATGCCATCACTCATGCAATACTTCAATGACACTGGCCTGGATATCGTTGATGGTGTTCTGAACCTTATTGCTACCAAGCTCAACGTTGATCTCATTGCCAGATCGAGAATTGGTGTTTCCATGCTCACGCTCATCCTTAGTCGTGCCGTGCTCCTCAAGCAGACGGGAGCCGGCACCCCTGAGCAATGGGACAACTGGTACGTTAATCTGCAACTCAGGAGCCTCATCATTACTAACATGCGATAGGGACCGAACATTTGAAATCCTGTTTACCAGGCTCGAGCCTTCGCTTCCTTACATCTTCCCAGGTAGTGTTAACACCGGAGAGGATGTGTATGTATGGCAGCTTCTTGCAGCCATGGGCGTTAGCGCTACCCATGATCAACAAACTCGTTTGGTCCTTGCTGTCAAAGATCGTGTGCTTGATACTGTCACTGTCTCAAAGACTCTGCCTCCTGTTATGGGAGCTGAGCGCTTGAACAGTGTCAACCTATTCATGCGATCTATCGGTTTGGATGTCGAACTTCTCCAGTAAACACATGTTACATATGCAAACATGCTCTTGTCGGTTATTCTTGGGATTTTTTTCTGGGCTGGCATATAGGAATGAACATTCGAGAGAACCGGGAAGCAGGATGCTACCAAACGAACAGGCTTTACATGCTGGCGAAAGAATATTGGGAGCAAGACATACTGGGTGTACTAAATTCTTCACAGCGACATGGCGAGTGCTCATAGCGTTCGTGTATACCGACATGTTGTCGGATGGTTATTAGTCATGGGGAGAGTTTGGGAGGACTTTTGTCCATGAGGAATTAGGTTACATTGCACTTGAAAATTTACGCGTTTTTTTTTGAAGCAATCAGCTTTTCTGTACCGTGATACTATTTGCATTCCCATCTATTTATGATACAGATCCCAATGCGCCGTCCTATGCAACCTATGCAAATCGTCCCGAATTGTACTTTCAATCATGGCGACCAACTCCTTCCTTATTCGTCAATGTTGACTGTCTTTGAAGCTGCAGCCCTAGGTTTACCTCCTCGTCGAGCAACACCTCCTGCTGCCGCTCCACCACGAGGCCGGAGTTTAGGTTTCCGCGCCTCTTCCGACTCAGGCACCGGCTGTTCTGCTTGCTTGCTAGGAGCTAGCTTAGGCTCCTCCTTAACAACAGGCTCGGGCGTCGTTGGTCTCTCCATTCCACTGACCGCATGTAGAAGATCATCGTCGTTCCATCGGCGGGCAAACTTGGGCACCGATTCCTCGAGTGCCTGTTCTTTCTCGTCGGCGTCGTCTGCCTTCTCTTCCGCCTCATCCTCCTGCGTAGGACGCAGGAAGAGGCTTTCATTGTAAACCTCCCACGCGGCCTCCTCGTTCTCATCTGTGTAATGCATTGTACGCCAGTGCTCGGTCTGCACAGAGCGTAGCCGGTCAGCCATTGTTTCTGTAGTCACGGTTTCGCCATCGCCAGTGGCCTTGACGGTCATGTGAATTGCGCGGGCAGTGCCGCCTGTTGTGGTGGGAGCCGAGTCTTTGGTGGCCGCGGCTTGTCGTTCTTGCTGGACAGTTGCGTCGATATGGTGAAGTTGCGGTCGAAGGTGAACAAGAGACGATACGGGTGTAAGATGTAGATCCTCTGCATTCCAAGTTAGAAATAGTATGAGTGGCAATAGCTGCTGTGACTCACTGCCTTGGAAAACACCAACCATGTGTTGGACTTCCTTGTACTCAGGGTACTGTCCACCCAGTGTCTGCGTACGAAGCACTTTGTCCTGCCTAACGGCCTCTGCCCAGTCCACAGCTTCATCATCCTCTTCTACCTTCTTCCTCCCACCTCGAGCCTGAACAGTGCCGAAGCCAAAACCACCAGCTAGACCATGACTGCCACCGTTCTTAGTAGCCATAGAAGCGTTTAAAGTCTTTCCCCACTTAAGGCCCTTCTCTCGATCGTATGCTACGGTATTGTCGAGAGGAACGTCAACTTCAACCATGCCGGCCTGAGCCTTGACACGCAGCTCGGTAGGAGGAGGTCGGGGAGACTCATCGGTACGGTTCGGGTGCTGGAGAACGAGAAGACGTCGGCCTAGCGGTAACGAAGGGTTGATAAAGACATTGTAGGTTGCAGTCACAGGGTCGTCGTCATCGTCGTCTTCTATCGTGGTCGCATTATTGGTTGTGGAAGGCTTGATGCTGGAGTCAACGTCCATCTGATCGACGTCCATTGAGGCGGCAGGAGCTGATGTATCCGTTACAGAAGACATCTTTCTACCAGTTCCGGGGGGATTCAAGGCACTTGTCGGGATATCGGCTTGCAAGCGCAGATGTATGATGTCTCGTGGTCGGTACCTCAAGCTACCAGCATGAGTCGGTTGGCAAAGTTGCTTTGCGCCAATGCCTCTATATGACAGAAAGTAGCAGTCTCTACACCCAAAGTTGGATGGCAATATGCAGTAAAGCCGGCAACTTGTCAAGGAAATTTCAGAATTGTTGCGACAGCTTTATTTGAAATAAAGCAATGTTTTGAGTTGGAAATACTGAAGCGTCTGAACCTGGGAGGGGCGATCGTAGAGAAATTTCCATGTTCGTCCCCCGCCAAAGTCTAGACCTTTATCTTATCAACGGTTCAAGGGTGATACAAAACATTCAGGCTACCTACTAACCAACCTACCTCAATGGACCTTTGCTAGCTGCAATACCGAATGGACAAAAATGAGGCATTGCGTCACTTGAGTCTTGATGATCCAAATTCTTTGCAAAATATTTTAAAACTGATTTAATTTTCTATTCCACAAGATGCGAAATCCTTTTAACTGAATTCTTTTATGCCACCTGATGTAGAGCCGTAAAATGTTAGACGCAATATATTAACTGCCAAAGTCCGCAACGAAAACTCATGACTACCTAGATCATTCTTTTTATCGGTTCTTGCCACGGTCTCGTCGTCCGCCCTCCATGACCTTGACTTTCTTGTTGAACCTGTCTCCGATTCCACCCCCCATACCACTTCCACGAGGTCCGTCTGTTGTGTCGATTCCACGCTTTCGGCTCTTGTCCAGCAGTGAACGGACATTTCCACCAGATTTTTTGGCCCTGGTAAGACGATCGATACGATCGACACCCTCTCCAAGGTTGTGCCAGTCCTCGCCACCAAATTGCATACGGTTGCTGCGGCCAGCCTGCTTCGCCTTCTGGGCGCGATCCTTCTTGCTCTCCTTGGGAAGACGTGTGAAATTCATCTCTTCGTATTCTCGGCGCTCTGCCTCCTCCTTTCTTTGGGAGTCGGTCTTCATCTTGCGGCCACCCTGGACAATTGTGGTACCAATACTGGGCTCGGCCAAGGGAGCAGTAGAGAGCTCTGAAGCCACGAACTCCTCCATGGTGTGTGACTTGCCAGCGCGGCGGTCGAACTTCTGGGGTCGCTGGGGCGCTTCCATTGTTTGGCGCTCTCTTTTGGGAGGTTGGTAGACACCCGGAGCTCCTCCATTACGCTCTGCACGGCGGGCAGTAACATCGTCAGCCATGACACCAAAGTTACCAGGCTTATGAGACAGCTTCTCAGCATCTGCCTCCTCCTCCTCTTCTTCCTCTTCTTCTTCAGAATCTGATCCTGCCGCTGCCCTGGCCTCCTTTGCTTGCCTCTCACGCTCCGCATCGTCTGCTGTTCGGAGGAATCGGTCAATGGAGAAGCGTAGTTTCTCTTCCAATGGCCTTGCTCCCCTTTCAAGATAGAGTCGGAGTTCTATCAGCTTTGCCCTGACGGATTCGTCGAGTTCGGAGTCGCTATCGTCGGCATTTTCCGATTTCGTTTTCGAGTTGCGCAACTTGAGGAGGATCAAGAAGACCAGGTTTTGTAGGTATGAAAGAAGGAGCTCGTTCTTGACATCGAGAAGGGAAATGCCGTCTTTCTGATGTTCGATAGATGCAAGCTTGGGTGTTACGTCGAGCGCTGAGGAAAGCGACTGTGTCAGCGACGTTAGAAGCGCTGGTAATGTTGTAGGGGCTGCCATGGTGATTTGGTTGCCTGAGTTGGTAAATCTCTCGACAGTCAAGAAAAGATGCCTCGTCAAAAAGTTTGGAGTACCAACTTTTTAGCGGGGCTTTCTTGACTGGTTCCACACAGGTGTGGCTCAAGCCTGAAACGCCACAGACCCCCTGCTTGCTCCCCTGACTAAGCCAATAGTTCACTGGAACTTGGCCAGATATTACAGCAGGTACAATGAAGCTCCCTGTCCGACGTCTCATTCTCGTAGCTATATTGCTGGCTTGACTAAGCACACAATCTTTTATATCATCAGCAAGCAAAGAGAGAGAAAAACTGTTAAACGCCAGTTCCGGAATCAGGAAAGCTGCTCATATCCTGATTACATCCTTTCGTTGCTTCCAAATTGCGGGCCGCGCAAGTCGTCGTCAGCTATCTAGGAGCTTGATACGATAGATTCGGGGCCTCTTTTCGCAACGCTCCTTATCCAACGCTTGCAAGTCTGTGCATGACCTAACTCTTCAGGATGCATTTCGGAGGGTTTGCGCCTTCAAAGGCGCTTCTAACATCGCTACTCGCCATTCCACAGTTAACTTCAGCCTTCTATCTGCCCGGTGTCGCCCCAACGACCTACAAAGAGGGAGACAAAGTTCCGCTTTATGTCAATAGCATCAAACCAGTTGACCGATCGCAAGACCCTCGACTCCACGCCGTTGTCTCTTACGACTACTACCACCCTGCCTTCCAATTCTGTCGGCCCAAGGACGGTCCTCAGTATGTTTCGGAAAGCCTGGGTAGTATTCTCTTCGGAGATCGCATCATGACTTCTCCATTTGAGCTTATCATGGGCAAGAATGAGACCTGCAAACCTCTTTGCGAAGTTACATATTCTGAGAAATCAATCAACTTTGTCAAGAGTCGCATCGAACAAGGCTATAGTTTGGAATGGTTAGTGGATGGACTGCCAGCTGGTCAGGAAGTTCTTGATCAGTTGACTGGCACTACCTTCTACAACCCTCGGTTCTTGCTCGGCCAAGACGACAAGGACGACAACATCCTTTTCAACAACCACTACGAAATCGTTGTCGAGTATCACGAGGTCAACAAGGATCCCAATCAGCGCCGTGTGGTTGGTGTGATTGTGCAACCTAGTTCCAAGGAGTATAGCGGCAAAGCTGATTGCGGTAACCACGGGCCTATCGTTTTGAATGGCAAGGAGCAGCACGTCGGTTTCAGCTACAGTGTCTTCTGGCGCAAATCCGAGACCGCCTGGGCTACTCGTTGGGACAAGTACTTGCACGTATTCGATCCCAAGATTCACTGGTTCTGGCTCATCGACACTGCCATCATTGTTGTGATCCTTGTCCTAACAGTCATGTCTATTCTTGTGCGCGCACTGAAGAAGGACATTGCTCGTTATAACCGACTTGACCAGATCGATCTCGATGACTTTGGCGGTACTTCGGTCGTCGAGGACGGCGTGCAGGAGGACTCTGGCTGGAAATTGGTCCATGGCGATGTCTTCCGAACCCCCTCGCGACCTCTTCTCCTTTCGATCCTAGCAGGAAACGGAGTCCAGCTGTTCTGCATGACCGGGTGCACTATTCTCTTCGCCCTCCTTGGATTTCTCTCACCCTCAAACCGTGGATCCCTCGGAACTATCATGATTCTCATGTACACTGTTCTTGGTTTTGTTGGTGGCTACGTCTCTGCTCGAACCTACAAGGCCTGGCAGGGCGAGGCTTGGAAGCTGAACATTGCTTTGACCCCTATCCTGGTCCCTGGCGCCGTCTTTTCTAGCTTCTTCCTCTTAAACCTCTTCCTGTGGGCGAAGCAGTCATCAGGCGCAGTTCCCTTTACAACTATGCTTGTGATTGTCGCCATCTGGTTCATCATTTCGATTCCGCTCTCCTTCGGTGGTTCTTGGCTCGGATTCCGATCTCCTCAATTCGAGCCTCCTGTTCGTACCAACCAGATCCCCCGACAAATTCCCCCTGTGAGCACCTACCTCAAGCCTGTTCCCAGTGTGCTTATCGTCGGTCTTCTTCCCTTTGGCGCCATCTTCGTTGAGTTATTCTTCATTATGAACTCGATCTGGTTTAGCAGGATCTACTACATGTTTGGCTTCCTGTTTCTCTGTTACGGTCTCATGATCGTCGTTTGTGCTGCTGTCACCATTCTCATGGTGTATTTCTTGCTATGTTCCGAGAACTACAATTGGCAGTGGAGGTCTTTCTTGGCAGCAGGCATGAGTGGTGGCTACATCTTCTTGAACTGCCTTTTGTACCTTGTCACTAAGGTCAGAGCAAGCGGATTTGCTGGCATTGTGCTCTATGTGGGCTACAGCGCCATCATCTCATTCCTGTTCTTCATTCTTACTGGTAAGTGCTACATTCTACATGTGGTCATACAATTCTAACTTTTCCAGGCTCAATTGGCTACTTTGCTAGTTGGTGGTTCATTCGCAAGATCTACTCTTCCATTAAGATCGACTAAGATGCGAGTTTACGCCAATGCCAAGACAGAATGGAACATGACCGACGAGTGATTTATGAATGAGGCGGGATACGGCGTTTGTAACAACACATGTACGACCAGCGTATGGAATTTGTGTTTAGCGTGAGCCGTACCGTATGTGGCAATCACCAGCCAGCGGCTAGACTTTGGTGAAAAGGACCTGCGATGTTGCATCGATTCACTTCAAGTAAGGAGTAGATTTATTCTCACTAGAAAGGGTTTTAAAAAGGAGGATGGTCCAAAAAGCCTGAGCCGTGTTGGCTATTGATGAGGGGTATTGCGTTTTTGCATTGGTTTAAGTTCGTTATAGATATCAAAGTTCTGTGACTTTTCTGTCCTTGTTCAATCATCGTCATCATCGTCATCCAGATCATCCAAATTAGTAAACTGAAATTGGGCCTTTTGTTGCGGAGGTCCAGTAGGGCTCCTCTGCTCGCCAGGGGCAGTTGGGCCTCCAACCAGACTTGCGCGCCTCCAAGCCTCTTGATCCTTCTCTCTTTGGCGTTCCCTTTCGATGCGCTGGCGCTCGCGTTCTTCGCGGATCTTCTTCTCGCGCTCCTCCTGGGCGATACGATCCTCTTCCTCTTTCTTCTTTCTTTCTTCTTCCTCGCGGCGCTTGCGCTCCTCCTCCTCCGCTGGATCGTAGCCTTTGGGGTTGATGCCCTGTTCCAGTAAGACTTGGTGGGCGGCCAGAGCGCCTGCGCCAAGCTGGAGATCATTTGGCCATGGTACAAAGATCTGATCAGTCAGGGGATTCAAGAATTGGGTCCACTCGTTGGGAAGGCTGGTGTTGGCGGACATTGTAGACTGTTGTGTTGCAGGGTCTTGTGAAACATGCGGTGTACCATTCATGACTGCTGGGCTTTGAACCTGGGACGACGGAGGTGCAGAGGGTGTCATGACAGACGCGGTTTGCGAGTCGGGTCCAGGAGTCTGAGCGCCAGGCGTTTGGCCATCGGGCGTGGGCGGCGCTGCTGTTGCCGGTATAGCCTTGATAGTACCAGCAGGGGGCATGGTCGTTTTACTAATGCGCCTAGCATAGTTGAGCAGTTCCTCGTAAGCGATGGCATAGCTGGGACCGGCAGGAAAGGTTGTGGTGTGCGTTGTTACAATATCCTTGCGGGTAGTCGCAAGGTTGGAGAGTGTTTCGCGGATCTGGGTATCGAGAGCTGCTGAGGATTCACGTAGCTGTTGTATACGTAGATAGTTGTTCTGGTGAGTTTGCACTAAGGTGGCGGTCAGTCAGAAGTTCCAAAGTAGCTACTCTGCTGAACCAAGATAGGCTACCTTCTCCTAAGCCATTGCTTAACTCTTTGTCCGCTGCATCAAGTTCATCACCTTGCTGTATAGAAGGGTGAAATTTGGTGACTGAATCAATCAAGTTTGCAAGTGCTTTTTCAAGTCGCTCGAAGCGACCATCGATATATGTGTCCATCACAGATATATGGAAGATTGGCGCGACCGACCGAGATGATATAAAAAGTGATATGAAAGTAAATAAAGGAATACAAGGCCTAAGTTGGAGCAGGTGTAGCTTGAGAGTGATGGTGGGTCAGAAGTCTGTGGCTTTATTGGCCAGAAACCTTACAGCTTCTTTTCACGCCTGAGGCCAAACCCGATCTTTCCCGTTCGGCAAACTCGCGCATCGAAGGCCATTCTTTTACGACGACGAAATCGACGAGCAATTGAACGACAACACAGGCTTCCACCGCCCTACGATTCAAGATGGTTTCCTACGTACGTCCGAACTCCCTGATACAGTCACCCACTGCGACCCTTCTATCATCGCCAATGACCTCTGGCATCTTCGACAAAGCGATTCATAAACTGACGTGATTATTGACAGACTCCCATCCGCATGGCGGAATTCAAGAGCAACTATGGTCCTAAGTATGTCTTATCACCCTACCGTCCTCGAAAATCAAACGACGAGTTCCCACGATCACACGAGCAAACTGCGACTTGGGAGATATCGAAAAATGGCTGATTTGGATCTGGAAACGGTGACGTTGGCTAATGCTCTAAATTAGGTACCACGCTCAGCCCAACCTCGCTGGCTACACCACTCAGTCTGCCTTCCGAATGTGAGTTCAAATCCTACAACAAAAGTCGAACGGAAATCGAAAGCATGCGAACGAGTTCAACGTCATTCTCCCTTCCATTTCCCCGGATTTCTTCGATGTACAACCGCGGTTGAGACGAATATGATGGGCGGGGGTGAATTCAATCGAAACGACCGACCATCATGCGAGACGGCCGAATGTATTTTTGAATGAATACTGACAACATCATTCAGTGCTTCCCGTCTGGCCATGTACGGTGCCCCTGCCGCTGTTGGTGTCCTCCTCTTCGCCAACGGTATCCCCCGTGTGCAGCGCGATGTCCTTCAGGTATGAAACGACTATGCAGTTACCAGATCTTGTTTTAGATACTGACCCCCCATACAGAAGATCCCCTTCCTCGGTGGCTTCTTCCGAAAGGAGATCCACCCCGCCGACAACGTAAGTTTCATGCGTATTATAGAGCCATTGAAGTCAGGCACTGATTGCATGTTTAGCCCTTCTAAATCAACTGGTGTATTGCGGATGATAGACGTTGCTCAGCGCCGGTACCAGCTCTCCTTGTAAAGATATTCAAATAGACATGTTCTGAGCCTTGAAATTGTTTATGCTGTGAAATGTAAACTTTGTGATTGGTCAATGTTTAAGTGGTTAGGTAGAACTATAAGCAAGATCAGACAACATAAGTAAGATTACAATACTAGATATTATATGACAATTAATGGCAAGTTCAATGACTGCTTAATTGCGTGTTATATTATATACCAACATTAATAAGTATTGTGGTTCGGGAGCCCACCCAACGCGCAATTCTTAGTAGGTTGTTCAGCGACCTTGTACTTGGTTAGTACAGTGTAGATGTTGATTGCGAAACACTGTTTTCTCCCCCTACAACCTCGAGGCAATCTGCCTTACATCAATACCACGCCAATTCCACCACCGATCATTAAATAACCTTTTGCTTCACCTATTCAATTATTTCCCCCACTGCCAAAGGTTTCTATCCCTTAGGCCATGCGGCACTTCACTCGTTAATATTGATTTTGCAACTCAGTCAAGTGCTCTTGAACACTTGTCAAGATGGAATCCTCAGCACCAGTACTGGCCTCGAGCTGGTACGAGCTATTCACTGGCGATTGGCTCAGTCAACCAATACGGGCAGTGTTAGTCGGTGCCCTCGCGCTTCCTTTTGTTCTTTGGCCCCGGGACCAACCTCAAAAATCGAACCCTCGACTATTTGCCTTGTTTGTCTATCTGCTTCACTTTGCTGCTGTCCCCTGGCTGTATCTCGTAACGAAATTGGTCCCTGAACCCTATCTGGTAAGTCTCCCACGTATCGGCAGATCAGAGAAACTGATGTATAAAAGGATGAAATCTTCCACATACCCCAAGCGCAAAAGTACTGCCAGGGTCGGTTTTTGGAATGGGATGACAAGATCACGACACCCCCAGGCCTGTGAGTTTCAACGTGCAAGGAGTCATTATGTCCAGGAACTAATAGATATCCAGTTACCTTGTCTCCCTGATTACTCCTGGAGTCGTCCAACGGAATGGGCATCTTAACTATGCCTGCAGTGTGCAGAATTTGCGAGCCTTAAATGTCTTTGCACTGGCGGTCCTGGCCTACTTGGCTTTGCAGTGCCGTCGTGAGATCGAGGCACGACTTTACGAAGCTCACTTTTCTACCAGGCTGCGTAATACCTCGCAGTATGCACTCCATACTGCCTTTAATGTTGCCTTGTTTCCTCTTCTTTTCTTTTTCTCCGGTTTATACTACACTGATGTTGCTTCCACTGCAGCTGTTCTGGTCGCGTACCTGAATCACTTGAAACGCATCGGGCGCGATCAAAGCTCGGTTCTAAGTGACCTTGTAACGATTTCCCTTGGTGTTTTCACACTTTTCTTTCGCCAAACAAATGTCTTCTGGGTGGTTGTGTTCATGGGTGGCTTGGAAGCCGTTCATGCTATCAAGACTCTACGGCCAGAACGGGTTGACCAACCAGTCATCCTGACACTTTCCGAGCAGCTAAAGCACTATGCTTGGAGATACTCTCTCGGAGATATTCACGACCCGCCGTTACATGCAATGTGGCCAGATGGTAAGTCCGACTAACAGATGTCCTGGGCTTTGCTGATCAAAAACCAGACATGCTCTTTTGCGTACTAAGTCTGGGTATCGCGGCGCTGTGCAACCCACTCCGCGTCATTCGGCAGATATGGCCTTACGTTTCCGCTCTTTTATTGTTCGGAGCTTTTGTTGCTTGGAATGGCGGTGTTGTGCTTGGTAAGGTGTTCGACTTTTACTTTGGCGTTCAGAATTGACAGACGATAGGAGACAAGTCTAACCATGTGGCTACTATTCATCTTCCGCAGATGCTCTACATCTGGCCCTTCTTTGCCTTCTTCTCTCTACCGCTCCTCATTCCATACATTCTCCCCTTGATCAACGTCCTACGTCGCCTTGTTCACACATCGTCGCCAGCGCTAGCTGCTAGGTCAGCCCCTGGAACGGAAACTTCGTCTTGGTTTGCCTGGTCTTCATCCGGCAATTCTATGTCCAGAAAAACAAGAAGCAAGGTTTCTGGCTCTAAAGGTGGTGCGGAAGTTGATACGCCGCGCAGCGAATACCCGCAGCCATCGAAGGAGTTGCAATATTTCGAAATGATTTTCGGCAGCAAAATCTTCCTTTGGCCCCTTTATCTTCTTGGGACTATCATTTTCTCGTTTGGCATCGTCCGTTACAATACTATCATTCACCCATTTACTCTCGCCGATAACCGCCATTACATGTTCTACGTCTTTCGATACACCATCCGACGAGCTTCTTGGATTCGATACGCCTTGGTCATCCCCTACACTGTGGCTCGCTGGATAACTTGGGGCACCATGGCTGGGTGTTCGCAGTGGTTCATGACTATGCATGGACCCGCGTGCTCTACCTATTCTAGAGGAGACAGAAAGTCCCCCTTCTTAAGCCATCCTGCCTTTACGAATCGTGGTACCTCACCACACCAAACTGATGCTGCATCTCCTACCGAGTCCAAAGACCTGGATGCAAGCCAGCAGCAGGAGCTAAGCCAAGCGTTGGAGAAGGACCCTCTGTTAGCCTCTATTGAGCCATCTACCACTTCGACGGGTCTTGTCTTCTTGCTTGCCACGACCTTGTCGCTCATGACAGCTCCTTTGGTTGAGCCACGGTATTTCATCATCCCCTGGGTGGTGTGGAGATTACTTGTGCCTGCGTGGAAACTCCATGACCACGATTCTGAAGGCGTTGCTGCTACCCTGAAAGGACATCCCAAGACCAAACCCTTGTTCTTGTTCTTTCAGCGCTATGATCTGCGCCTTATACTTGAGACGTTTTGGTTTATCGCGATCAATGCAGTAACGGGGTACATTTTCCTCACTAAACCGTACGTGTGGAAAGCGGAGGATGGCACTGTACTGGATGGTGGTCGGCTCCAGCGGTTTATGTGGTAGACCTATGTGCATGACGAAAAGAGAAGTTAAATGGTGGTTGCAAAAGATACTCTTTTTGTATTTTCATCTTTGCAGGCACGTCTGTGACTTGAAATCTTGCCATTATATAAAATATGCCCAAAACGCCATACCCATGGCCTATAACCTTGACCGACCCGTAACCATATCCAAACCATACCCAGTTTCATATCGAGTGTTCCAAATCCATTTCCAGGGTCAAAATAACACTAATTCTCCATTTATCATAAAGGGCTTCTTGTGGCACATGAGATACTTATTCATATCCTCCATGCACAGTTTATTGAGAAGATAAAGAAAAATAAGAGGCCATCCAATTTCGTCCAGTGCGGCGGCTTATAAACTCAAGCGATCCAAGCTTAGACCATCGTTGCTTCTCACACGACGAATAACGCCAAGCTTGAAGAACTTCTCTTCACCACCAGGAGTGCGTCCGCCGATATACCACTTATCGGCGCCTATCACATCGCGAAAGCCTTCACTGCTGCTATCGCTCCCACGCCGGGCAGAAGATCCGGGGATGGGAATGGCGGTGCCGTGGCTGGGAGAGGTGGACGTTGATGGTGACGAGGAGGAGGCGGTATTGCGGGGAGGGCGAATAGCTACGTTGGAAGCAGTTGGCTGTTGCTGAGGCTGTTGGTGGTGATGTGATGATGAGGCAGACGGCGATGTTGTAGACGTTGAAGATACAGCGGCAGCTGTGGTGGATGTCGTCGTTGCTGTTGTATCTCGGGCGTGCTTGTTTGGTTGATGTTGGGATGTTGTCGAGATGGAGGGGCCTTGGGGACGGAAGGCGGCGAGGAAAGAAGAGAGGAAAAATGGTCGTTGTGAAGGCATTTTGTGGTTGTTGGTTGTTGTGTTGTATTGTACTGTCGAGTTGAGCAGAAGAGTAGAGTAGCCGAGCGACGGTCCGAGTCGGGTCAAGGTTAGATCGGAGTACGTCGGTGTTGATGATTCGCAGTAATCAAAGGGATCCAGTCCCTATTTGAAGGAGTTCTTTCTTGATTGTCTAATTGTGTATAATGGTTGATGTAGAGATTGGATCGTCTTATTTCATGGGGGACGGGAAGTGGGTAGCAGTTGGTAGTTGTGGAAGAAGCAAGGAGTGACAGTGACAGCGATAGTGATAATCTGGGGGTAACTGTGACTCTAGTAGTCTAGTAGTTGGTCACTGACGTCGAAGGTTTTTTTGCGGGGAGTCTCCAAAGCCTAGTATTTCGATTCGATCTAGAGGCAAGCGAAGTGAAAGTGGCCGGTAACACCCGGTAAATCTGCAAACGTAATGTTAATAGCAGGGTTATCATAGGTCAGTGTTAGTAAGTCTAGTACGTACAAGATGGTGCACGTGTTTAGAGAGTGCAACCAACACTTTTCACTGTCTAGGTACGGTAGTTAATATATTGTAAAAAGAAACAGAGGCTGCACTAGTTCAAGTTGAAATGCGGAGGTGGCAGTAAAAGTGAGTTATAGTTATGGGTGAGTATAATCTCTGATTGGGTGAGGTAGTTGGCGATGTGGTTGATGGCTGCGGTTATTATGTTAATAAGTGGTCAAGCCAAGAGGTTAATCCTGGTATACCTAGTCTAGACAACTATCACAATGAATCCTTAATTCCAGTCAATTCGCTAGGCAGCCTGGCAGCTATAGCAAGTCAGTAGGTACTTTATATGATCCATTCATCCGTCTCACCCACCTATTCATTAAACCCTGAAGGGGAAAGCAAATAAAGGTCATTTTACGCGACGTTTCTTCAACGCCTAGACTTTCCCATGCATATCTACCATGCAGCATCAAGCATAATGGGCAAACTCTTGATTCAGCTATTGGAGATCGCTCCCAGATAAGACTAGTGGAGAATTCAACCCTGTTTTCAACCTTGATCTTTCTAGGCATCGCGATGATAGCGATGGCCATTAATTAATATTTGTGGTCTGCTTCATCAGTGACAAGATAGACACTGAGGTAATGTTCCATTCTCAAAGCCCACGTCTCCGAGCTCTCGGGTCAAAGGGGATCCTTGTGACAGGTCAAGATGAACTGCGAACATGATCTGATAAATCATGAAACTGCAACCATGTAAGCGAGGAGTAGAGGGTGGCTGGGGTTGACAAATCAGTGTTGGGTTTACTGGGTAGTAAGTTGGTGTTTGTGTTCTGTGAGAACAACTATAAGAATCATGTATCTTTCTATAGTTATTGGATATCCTCTTGCTCTGTGCCAAGGTACTATCTAATCCACAAGATGATGGTGGTGTCGGGCTGATCCGCCTCGGCTAGTTGTCTGTCAAGATACCAGGTTACCCTGGATAACCAAGACATAGATAGGCATAGCACTTATACTGACATCAAGTCAAGAGTGCTTATAAAGTGATCATTACAATATAATCATTAGGTTCGTGTTACCTTCTCTTTACAGCATTCGTTGAGTAACTACCCGGGTACTCCTCAACAACCAAGCTATAGCGGTGAAGACCAACCCCTCCTTATTCATACAGCTCAGAGAATGTACCTACCTAATGAATGACCCATATTCCCCTCCACACAAAAAACACCACATATCAATGGATGGATACCCAATAGTCACAATAGAATCAATCTTTACATGCCCTGTCCATACAGAACAATAAACCACTTTAATCTTGACCATTCATTACCCCGTCCGTGCAGCTACAGGCACAGCTACAGCTACACCACAGCGCAGCACACGTAGCCCATCCATCATGCCCACTCTCAAAGCCCGCATCCTTAGCTGGATCATTTGGTGGTGGTTCAAGAGTACATGGTCATCCGCAGAGGGCATCAACAACCGCATCGCCAAAGAGCGCCAGCGTCCTGAGCGAGGCCCGCCCAAGCACATCTACAAGGAGTTCGCTGTCGAGGACTACAAGCGAAAGGGTCACATCGCTGACTACCTCGTTTACATAATCTCTCCAAAAACAGAGACACCTACCCGTGGCCGCATCCTCTATCTCCATGGCGGCGGCTTCGTCTTTGGCATCACCCCGCAGCATTGGGAGATCGTGGCACAGCTTGCTCGGCGACTGAATGCCACCGTTACAGTGCCCCTGTACCCTCTTGGCCCAGAAACGTCCCTTATGAGAATGTACGAGTCCGTGCAGCCACTCTACGATGAACTCGCTTCTGCTCCAGACCAGACGCCTTTTTGGGTTGTGGGCGATTCAGCTGGAGCCACCATGTCCCTTGTTCTCACGCAAAACGCAAAGCTGGCTGGTCGTCAGACTGCACAACGTCTAGTGCCCATCACGCCATGCACTGATTCCAGTCTCGTCAATCCTGACTTGCATAATGCTGCTCTTAGAGACCCATGGCTCGACGTCCCAGGCATTGCCGAGATCACGAGGCTTATTTGTCCTGAGATGGACACGCAGCATCCCAACGTGAGCCCTATCTATGGAGATCTGAGATTGCCGCCTATGCTGGTCTTTGCGGCAGGGTTAGATCTGCTGACGCCAGATACCAAGAGGATGGTTGACATGGCCAAAGACGAAGGCACCAAGGTTGAGCTGGTGTATGGAGAGGGCATGATTCACGTGTGGCCAATTCTACCCATCTGGGAAGGGAAACAAGCCATTGATAGGATGGTTGAGTGGTTGGAATACGAGTAAAGGGATCTTCTATCTGTTTTGGGATATCTGGTCTTGGGTAACGGCGTTGGGTCGGGGTTTGAAAGTGCTTCATGTGGATGATACCCCAGTGAGATGCGATGATGACGATGACGACGACAATGACTTTTCTTTGTTTACATGATATTTCTTATGTTTTCATGATTTATTTGAGATGAACTCCAGGTATACCTGTGTCGTGTTCGTGGTCAATCTAACAGTGATATTATACATATCCCGACAACATGAAATAGGTAGGTATGTAAATAGCCTTGTTTGTATCCAGAAATTTTCTGTTTTCGTGTCATGCATGTCGTTGTAATACATTCGGATACCAACTCAGCCTTGCATACTGAATCGTGCTGTACACAGTATGGAGTCGCACATAGATTTACACCTAGCAAGGTGGTACAAGATATCGCAATCAGAACAACAGACTGACGAATTATTATTCCGTTTGATCTCCGAAATCAATAATTAATGTACAGCCTAAGCCAGACTGTGTTTTATGTGTTGGTCAATGCCCAAAGTGTATGTTTAATCGTGTGTTGTCCGCGAGAGGATATGTTCAAAGGACAATCAACCACATGACATGAGAATTTGACCTCACCTGTCGTCCATCATATGTAAAACGATCATTAAAGATAATCCTGCATCCAGTATAAACAATTCATGTCATCTCAGTTAACCGACACTTAAGTCTACAACTCGGGTTAATATGTACATCAACTACAGATGATATGTTCCAATTGATAGAGCCTAAAGTATGACGATAAAAATCTGGACGAAGACAAAAAGTCGGTAAGAGACCGCTCATCATATTTATCCGAGTGATAAAGTAGGTGAAGCAATTTGCCCCGAGTTATGTTGTGGAACGATGTCGTTGAAACGAACTGCGAGGCTGAGGATATGTATATCGATACTTTTTTATAAGTCAAAACCACACGCTCAATGACCTTATTCCAACTTGACTGAGAACCTGTAACTCGTATCATGAATGCCAAAGCCTCTTGATAATATCTACATCAATTATACTTACCAATGGTAGTAAAGTTTGACTCAATGATTCCCTCCCGGTGCAGAACATGTTCTACCACCAGACCAAGCTTGATAAAGGGGTACTGGCTAAATGCACCGCCGGCCAGCCGCAGCAACCCAAAAGGGTATATTTCCAGCATCGTTCCGAGGGTCGATACTCGGTTCCCAGGCTTGTTCCCAAAACGTTACAGCCTTGAGACTCCAAGACCGAGGTGACACTACAGCCCTGCCGCAGTGGTGACAGGATGCTCATCAGCCTGATTCCAAGATAGCCATATAAGATGCTTCCTGTTCCCAATCGGCCCCCAATGAACATCTATCCGTTCTACCAGAGAACACCATTATCCTGTGCCACATGCAAAGTGTCCGACAGAATACCAGTCTCGATCCTTCCAAGAGCAATGCAACCGGTGGGAGCCCCCACTGAACAGTAGGCTTGATCACCTTGAACGTTGATGCAATATGCCCGCCGGCTTTGATGCAGTGCCAGTCACCTGGCTGGCAGTGCCCGGGCATTAAACATCAGAACAACAAGATATCTGCTTTAAAAACCCTTCTACTACTCCCAACTTCTTCCTCTTCCTCATCACACCTACTCACATTGTGGCAAAGACTCTGATTTTGACAACAATATCACCCACGACTTTTGGCTACTTCATTTTGCCCACATCTTACGACCATACCCTCTTATCTCGACAACTCCATCAGAACCGCCAAAATGTTGATCTCTTTTCTCTCCGCTCTGGTGACTTCGCCTATGCAGACTCTGATGCCTTCCATCGTGATGGGAATTGTCATCGTATGTCTTCTCGCCTTCGGTACCGTCGTCTTCAACATTTTTGTGTACCCCTTCTACGTATCCCCTCTGCGACATCTCCCTGGACCTACCGACAACACCTTCTTCCTTGGCCAGGCTGCAAAGTTCCTTCAGGTCCCCTGGTTTCCTGAGCTCTTCTGCAAGTGGTCCCGTGTCCATCCAGATGCGCCCCTTATCCGCTATCTGAACTTTGCCAACGGGGAGACTCTCTTCGCCAACACTATTGAGGCATACAAGCAGGTTCTCCAGACCAAGAGCGCCTTCTTCGTAAAGCCCGCCTTCGCCAGACAGTTTGCCCATGAGATCATCGGTGATGGACTCCCCTTCGTCGAAGGCAAGCTTCACAAGCTTCGCCGAGCGGCCATCAGCCAGCCATTTTCAGCACCGCGCCTGAAGGCTTTCTTCCCTACCGTCCAGACTAAGGCGGAGCAGCTGGCGCGTGTTTTGGCTCAACGACATGACAAGAATGGCAATGTCGAAATTGAGACCAATGTTTGGAAGGCAGTTCTTGATGTCATCGGACTCGAAACTTTTGGCCTAGATCTCAACCATCTCGAATCCAGCGAATCCCCTTTGTTCGAGACTTTCACCACCATGATGCAGCCATCCGCACTCGGACACATCGTCAACTACCTGAACTCTCTGGTTCCAGTGCGCCAATTCGTCCCAATCGTAGAATGTGTCGAGTTCTCCAAGTGTTGCACAAAGGTCCGAGAGTTTATTTTTGGCCTTGTCAACATTCGACGCAGTCTAAGCGAAAAGGGCCACACTAGCAACCGAGATGCTCTACAGTGTCTGTTGGAACACACCGATGCTGCTTGGAACGATGAGAGCATTGTCGAGTACGTCTTGAATCTCTTGATTCTTGGACATGATACCACTGCTTGCTCTATCACATGGGCCATCCACGAACTCTCGCGCCGACCTGACTGCCAGCAGTGCTTGAGAGACGAGATCAAGATATTGGATGACAATTGCCCCATGCCATTCTTCAACGACATCGACAAGCTTCCGTACCTGCACAACTTTGTGCGCGAAGTTCTACGACTTTACTGTGCAGTCGCAATGGCACCTCGCCAGGCAACTCAAGATGTCGAAATTGCCGGAATTGCTATCCCTAAGGGAACAGTCGTCCAGCTTTCGCCCGCCGTCATGAACACTCACCCCTCCGTCTGGGGTCCTGACGCGCAACTCTTCAATCCTGACCGCTGGAATGACCTCAATAGAAGCGCAGCTAGTGCTTACGCATTCGAGACGTTCCACAACGGCCCGCGAATGTGCATTGGCAAGCAGCTTTCCATGATGGAACTGAAGGTGATGCTGGTCGAGCTTGTGCGCAAGTTTAAGATCGACAAGCCCTTTGGAAACGAAGCAAAGGAGGTTGAAGTCGCTGGACCGACCTTTACTCTTCGTCCCAAGGAGAAGTTGGTGGTGCGCTTGGTTGAGGTGTAAGAGCCAAGCGTAGTGCGAGGAGGAGGTTGTGGTAAAACCCACATTGTACGATACTGTACTGCATATCCTATAGACTGTACGATACACGACACAGCACACGCTTACGACATACCCCCCTTTCCTTTTTAGACTGCATGGCATACTAGACACATGCTGCTGGACAGCGAAGCATGATAGAATGTATTTAAGGCGTTGGGGAGCGAATTTTGTTTGATTCCATTTGGTACAGGACAAAACAGATTGGACGATTTAAGGAACAAGTAGGACGATAGATCATGATACTCCCATGTCCGCCAAATATATACGACGGATACTGGGCGATTGCTTTGAACAAACTATTCCGGGACAATTATAATTAAAACTATCATGGCAACTATTGACCGCTAGAAACATAAGAGACGAAATTAGCAGTAGATGAGTTTATGCCTGTTTATTCTCACACCACAAAACCCAGACACCAACTTTTCTGTTTAGGACAGACAAATATTACATATGATTGATTGATTGATTGATCGTCATTGCTGGGGGTGCACTGCTATGTATGGTTGGTTGCTGTTTATTTTAAAGATGTAATGTAAGGTCATCGTGATCGATCATGTTACCTCTGATTACTATTGGCAAAAAGAGTTCAGAATGCCGAGCTATGGCAGACAATCCGCTCGTAAATATGCATGCACTTTGGTGGTGGTAGAAAAGTTAGGTTCCTAAGTCCTAGGGAACAAAGGTAAACAGTCCAAAAAGTCTGGTCTAAATAGCATAAACTGACCTACTAATTTCATCCATTATCCTTCCTTTTACGCCAAAACTCCAAACACACTATGTATGGCAAGTAAGAAGGCCGTCGTCGTATTGCCCACCCGCTTGTTCAATCCTTGATCTCCCTGGCTTTACTGCTTAATTCGCTCTATTACCAATCGGCAGCCCAGCCGTTGCTCTCCAGGAATTCCTCGCAGGCTTGCTTCAACGCTAGATTTGGCCGTAATTGCGAAGCGACAAGCGGCTCACGGGTCAGAGGGTCGGTTGGATGCCGTCGAAGGTGTTCCATGATAGACGAGCGCTCATACGACTTTCCGGTTTTTGTCTAGTAACACATATTAGAATGGTATCCTTGATATCTGAGCTTATTAGCAACAACTTACCATAACGGGATCAACCATGAAGCCAAAGCTGATATCGTCAATCGCCCAGTCGGGGACTTCTCTCTTCTTATCAGCATCCGCCCGTGCTCTCTCAAAGACATCCTTCATCCTCTCAATCTTCGCATTGGTCTCCTCCTCAATCTCCTGCTTCTCCATTCCGTCCTCCGTCTCCGCTAGCGTTGCTTCCTTTTCCCTGTTTAGCATTTCTAGGACCTCTCTCTCAAGATCTTTTGCTTCGCGCGTCCGCTTCTTTTCACTATCCTCCCATCGTTCCTTCTTGCAGCGCAGAACAAGACTCGTGACCGCAGCGAGCGAACGGTCGTTGGTAGCGGCGCATAACTTGTGTGCGTGCAGTGCGCTTGCGAGAGAAGCGTCATAATCTCGAAGGGCGAGCTGTGCCTCGGCAAGATAATATCGCGCTTTCATATTGTCGGGTGTCAGCTGTAGGCAAGCTTCGCAGTCAGTGACGACTGAATCCCAGTAATTCAGCTTGAGGCGGGCCATGGCGCGATTGGTGTAGAGAGCCGGGTTCCTGGCGTCTGCGATGATGCTGATGTGAAACAACTGTCAGAATAACCCTGTTTCTCTCCAATTTGCGCCAACCTGTAGATGTATGTGTGTATGTATAGGTAGGAAGAGCTGCTCACGCTTTGGAGTAAAGGGCTTCAGCGCCGACATAATCGCCGGCCATGAAGCATTTGTTCCCCTCATCTTTGAGTTGAAGTGACCTTGACATGGTGGGCTGTGCGTGTACGTGTGCGTATATGCGGTCAGCCGCAGTGAGATGTGCTGTCCCGTGTCGTAGATAGGTAGCTAGTAGAGAGTTGATCAAGGATTTGGCCTCGTCTAAAGGGCAACGGAAATTAGTCTCCAAGCTTTAGGTTACAAAAATAAATAACCTCCGAAGTCTGATCTATATCATAAGTTGACCTACTAATTTGGTCTCTTAGGTTCTCAGCGGACAAGCTTTCTGATACCCTGAGGCTCGCTTGAGCGTTTCAGTTTGACAAGGGAACTGATGTCTTGGTCTGGGGAATAGAACAAAAGCCACTTTATGGAAATGAATGATGAGAGAAGAGATTCGATGGCGAAAAGAACTGAAGGAAACAGGTAGGCTACGTGTGCTGGCTGTAATGCGAAAGACAGATGAGAGATTGAATGACAACTGGCGACAATGACACCACGAAATGAAAGACTACCTACAGGTAGGTAGGTATGTAATTGTTTTACAGGGAAAGGACCCTGATTCTAGCAAGGAGAGTAAAGCCTGTGATTGGATTTCTAAGCGCGTGTCTCTTGGAAAGTTCGAGAAACGGGCGGCGGGACTTACTTTAGCATTTAAGTTGAGGCTGGTCGAGAAGTGCGGGGTGAAATAGGCTATCCATTATTGGGGGTAAGAGAGGATTTCCATCATGGGCAAGTGCCATGTCATGATATCTCCTTAGTAACTAACGTTACGGTATCAGTGCACTTGAACAACAGCATTTTAACCTAGTACACTTGATCTTTATTCATCACGTCGTGTTCCTAACCTCCACTAACTCAGCCTCCATGTCCCACAGCAGTTTTGTATATACAGGTTGTCAGTCAGTCATCAGGCTCGTGCTCCCTGCAAGACATGTCTATACTCTCTCTACCCAAGAGTGATGACCTCATACAAGCGCTATGCAACGGAGTGCTTTTGGCCAACCCAGCAATATAACCAAGTCCTCCCCCCAAAAAGAAGAACAAAACCAATAACGCCGTGCATATGCATATTTTCCTACTCAAAATCCTACACACCCAATGCCTATTTTACCCATCGGATTGGTCCCTAGTGGTAGGCTGGTCCGGGTCGGCTATCGTCTTTGACGAGTCCGGCCTGCTCTTCCTCCGTTGGGTCCTCGACATGCGACGTTGATCTAGACGATGAGTTTGGTCGCCGGAAAACGTTGTGGAATGAAAACTGACGCCTTGTGATATCCGGTGGCTGTCCATGAGGCGGGGGCGTCGGTGGAGCCAGACTGTTTCCACTGCGAAACGACGCCCCTCGGTACTCAGTGTCCTGACCGTTAAACGCATGTTCGCGAGTTTGGCCGTAGTAAGCGGCATGTTCTTCGTCGGCCTTATCCCGAGGGACGGCGATCTCTGTTAGAGGAACGGGATGCATCGGGCTCCGAGGACGGGGCTTGTCGTCTTCGTGATCGTCGTTGGCGTGTCGTCCAGAGAAATTGGTGAAGCCTCGAGCTCGACCCCTTATAGTTCCAGCGATACTGGAAAAGAGGGTATTCGTCTCTTGGCGGTTATTGCCATCATCGTCGTTATCGTTATCGTCATCGTCATCGATCGGGGGGAATTGGGACATGCCCAGCGGTGGGTGCTGCCTCGGACTGCTCGGCCTCACGGCAAATCGGGGAGAGATCGGGGGTACCTGCGGCGGAGGAGATGTTACGGATCCAGCTCTTGAGCTGCTAATTGTTCCGGTTCGGAAAGTCATTGTTCTTCTCCTTCTCAGTCCATCCCATTCCCATTCTGGCTGTTGTCCGTCCTCGCGGATAGGATCCATGGTCTCCATCATCATCTTTTCCTCGTGCAGTCGCTTGAGTTCCTCAGCCTCCATTCTAAGTCTTCGCTGAGACATCTGTCGCACAATGGCAGCTGTTCCACGGATGGCATCTGCTTTGGGATCGGTCTCTGGCTGTTCTTGCTCGACAATAGTTTGTATCTGATCGAGATCGCCATTGAAGACAGCAGAATCAGGCACATCTTTTGCGGATTTTGATATCTGTAGCAAAACGACTCCCGAGCAAATTGTTAGGAAACCTAAAACAACTGTGACAATGGACTGGACAGAGCCCTTGAAACCCTGGTAGAGAATTGCTGATGTGATAATCGTAGTACTGGTAAAGTAAACGTAGTATGTTGGGGTAACAAGAGCCGCATTATAGATGTTGAGCGCTTTCTACTAGAGGTTAGCAAAGGAGATAAAGGGGCATCAGGAGTTCGCACATTGAGATAAATAATCTCGGTCAACAGTGTGCAGATGACGAAAACAAACAAAACCCATAAGAACCACTCCTTGTATTGAGGTTTGCCTCCGATCCAAGCAATGATGGCAGCACCCAATCCTTGGGTTGATGCGACACTCAACCCGCCGACCCAACTGCAGATGGAGATGTAGACGAGCATATTCTTGTTTCCATATTTCGGGGCAACCCAAATCGCAGTGACTGCGGAACCGACAATAATGATGCCGGCATAGGTGAGAAAGCCTGGTGTGATGAAGTAACCTTGCATCTGCTGGATATCACTAACGGACGAGGAATGGGGCGCATTCATAACAATAACGACCGAGCCGACAATGCAAAGGAAACATCCAACCTTTCCAACCAGACTGAGGCGTTCTTTGAGGAAGATACTCGACAGGATAGCTGCAATGACAACGGACAGGGCGCCCAGGGGAGTGACGAGGATTGCATCGGTAAAGGCGTATGCGACAAAGTTGAGAATTTCGCCAATGATCATAAGAATCATGCCCGTCCACCACCAAAAGTTCTTGAGGTATCCGTAACCTTCACCAGCGACCTCATTGTATTTCTCGTTGGCGCGCAATAGACCGAACTTCTTGAGGACAAAGGAGACACCAATGAAGACACCAGAGCCGACAGCCAAACCAATACCAACGGGCTTATAGAATCCAGGTCGGTCGCTCGAGTCGCCGCCTCCTATTCCGCCGCTCCGGGCAAAGATATCGGCGTCCATTACGGTTATAAATGTCTTGGTCGAGGCTTAGCGGGAGGAGAGGGCGAGAGAGTCGAAGCGGGAGATCCAGACCAGCTTTAGGACCACATGTGCGATAGTGACGATGTTCGGTTGCGGCAGCGACGAAGGACTTTTATATAAGGGGTTTATCCAAACAACAAGACGTAAGGTAAGAATTGAATAAGATATATAGGTGGGTGAGTGTGTAACTGAAAAGGTAAGAGGAATATATGACACAGGAGGTAAAAGAGAAACCAGAAGCGTATGTACGGGCTATACAGCTAGAGTGAAGGCAAAGTAAAGAAACCTTGGAAACGGCGTCGCACACACACACCAGTTTAGCTCGACCCAAAGCTTGTGATGAAAGAGATCCGATCCAGTGGGTGGGCGCTCTTGAGACAGCCATCGGTCATGTATAGGTACTTGTGTCGCTTATTTTGGCGCTGTCCCCGCTGCAACCTGCCCAGGCGGGACCTATCTACGCTGCCAACTTCCAACAGGCCCCCGGCCAACCACTAAACCAAACCCAAACAACAAGCTTCTGCAGCGGGCAGCCATCAACGTTTCTATCCTATCCCATTACCAGTCAATTGGGTGATCTTGGCTGTTTCCGCCATCCATTGTCGGAACATCAACAAAGACGACAGCTCACGTTAATTACAATTTCCTTGGCCATAGTTAATTACGTAGCGGGGGTATTCCATGCTTTTGTCTCCGAAGTGCCCGGGGCCAATATAGGCCATCACCCGCGCAACGGTCCATGGGCTCTTGGACCAACGGGCGCTAAATTATCTATGGACGTCAGGATCGGAAACCATGACACCAGAGGGGAGCCTGGCCCTGGCTGGGCCTCTTTCAAGCTTGTTATTATTGTTGTTGTTGGGCCTGTTGAATGGCCTAGAGATGAGTTGATAAGGGTCCTGGCTTGGTCGATATCGATCGATGTTGATTGACCTGCCCATCTCGGTAAGCCCTTGGCACCCTTTGCAACTGCACCTAGAAACTTAGCCTAGGTCTTCGCGAGGTGCCCCAAAGTATAGGTACTTGTCATTCTCAGCCCCCAACAAGCCACCTACGGGTACCAGCGATGACGACGAGGCATTGCGCAGCTTCTGGTCCAAACGTCTTCTTCATTGTCCGTTCACCGGGAACGGAAATTTGAACAAGACCAATGATAGACTGACTATACACTACATCTACAGAAAACAGTTATTGTTGACCGCTGAACATTATACGTATGACTTTACAGCTGAGGCGATGGCCAAGCCGTACTCTATTGTTCAAGCGTATCCACCAACGCGGGGATGCTGTTCGGCATTGAGATCTAGACCTTGGCTCATTGTTCGAACAATGGGACCCTTTTCAGCTCTGAACCCTTTTGTTCAGTAAACTCGGCTCCAAGGTACTAGGTAATACCGTGCCCGTAGGACTTGACAACAGACAGACGGTGCATATGTGGTCAGCACGATTTGACTAGGACTTCTGAATGCTCCGTCAAGTTAACCCAACCCTTTGGCATTTTGAAATGTTTATGTCGCATCTCCATTCTTTCACAGCCAGCCAAAGGTGGATAGAGATGATCTCTGCTGCTATTCCTGTCTCATTGGGGACGAGTCTATATGCACGCGACTCAGCCACACACACTAATAAGTGCATATACGCGTGGTGTTTCAGAGAGTGTCTCTTTTTTGCAATCCACTGATCGACAGCGAATCAATAGGTTTCAAAGTCTTGTTTTTACCAGGGCTTTAACCGACAGTATCGTAGTTTATTATTATGGTTAAAAGGACATGTCTAGGGTCCTGGAAAGATACAAAGACGAATTTGGGGTTGATGATGATCTGTTGAGTTAGTCTTGCAAGTACAAGTAAAGAGATGGTCCAACTTTGGCTTCCTTTGACCGCTCTTATGATGGGCAGCTATCTCCAAGCTTGAGTGATTATAGTACCATCCACTCATGACTCTGTCACCAGACTGAGGCCATAGAATGTCAGTCTCGTTCGGCGGTCCGTTTACGCCGCACCACTAGCCTTCTTTAAAGCGTCGAACAATATCGTGTCTGATGACTACTCGTTCTGACACCAAAATATTGTGTAGTTTCGTATCATTTCAAGGGGGTATCTCGATCTTATATTCATAAATGCATCATGCAACCCAAACCAATGCAGACTTCCATCTCTTGCTATTCCGTACTTCCTTTGCCATGCCATACCAAATTATTGTTTCTTCTCAGCCTTGACAATCTCAGCCAACCACCTGCCGACCTTCTCCTTAAGCGGCAGCTTTGATGCCTCGCCAATTTGAGAGACGTACTTTTCCTTGAGCATCTGTGATTCTCTCTTGGCATTCTCTGCTGCTTTACGAGCATTGAATCTCGCCATGGCCTCTGCCTCTCTTTTGGCACGTTTTTGACGCCGTTCCTTGATACGCTCTGGTGGTATCTCTTTTCCAGTGACATTCCGAACCTTTTCCCAAAAGAGAATGTGCTGAGCCTCGTCTTCCTTACACACGTTGTACATGACAGCCTGTATGGGGTGCTTCATTATGTACTCAAAAACAATCTTGTACTCGCTGCTCTTGGCTGTCTTTGAGAACCTGAGGCCCATATCGATGGCAGCCTTTGCTAGGGCATCGTCCGTCGTGTCGAAGTACTTTAAATTTAAGAGGAATGACTGTGCCTCATAATGTAGTTCGTTCACAGGAAGGCGTCCGAGGATGGCTCGAAGAGTTTCAGGGAGTTGAGAATTCTCTAATTCCTCTCGATGCGGCGCCAACCATTCTGATGGGACTGAGGACTTGGCTTCCTGTGCCTGTGCCTGTGCCTGTGCCTGTTCCTGCTCCCGATCCTCGTCGTTCGGATTCGCCACCACGGCCGGAGAGTCTATCCTTTGCCGTTTAGGAAACGGGACTTCTGTTGCAGGGGTATCTGTATCTTGCTGGGCGATAAGACGTCTCTTTCTCGTAACTGGTTTCGGTTCCTCTTCTCCGGAATCCTGGACCACGGGAGCTTTTGAAGCGGCTGAAGGATCTAGTTTCTGTCGTTTTGCGGGTTGAGGTCTTGGCGGAGGGCAGGGAGTACCGTCCCGCGGTAAACTTCGCTTTCGTGCGGTGGATTTTGGCTCATCGTTTTCGGTGGGCATGTTGTGCACCAGCAAAAATAATGAATCCCAGTCGCTCCCATCATCGGATTCTTCATCACCGGATTCTTCGGATTCCTCAGATCCTTCCGTCTCTTCCCCTTCGTCATCGTATTCCTCTTCAAAATCTTCCTCTTCTTCTTCTTCTTCAGATTCCTCGTCTTCTTCTTCTTCTTCATCTTCTTTTTGTTCCTCCCCCGCCTCATCCTCATCCTCCTCTTCCTTTTGGCGGGCACGTTTGGCCCTGAATTCATCCTTTAATTTTTTCCCTAACTTCTGCATTGCTTCCTTTTGAGCCTTTCCCCATTCTTCATCACCTGTCGCTTCAGCCCAATAGTCTTCCTGCAAATAAATTAGTGCCAAGCTCCTTGGAAAGTCCGGATAGGTTGCTGATGCATACATCGTCTTCGATTTTGTTGTGCAAGGCCTTCATGCAGATTAGTAGGGCCATTTTGGTGTTGCGGCTGTAGTCATGGCTGACAATGTCGTCAAGGAAGATATTTTCGACGACCTGCTTGTCAATCGCTGCGGCGGCCGCTGGGTACGGGTTAACTTTAGTGAGTGACATGATCCCTCAAGCTCACTCTCGGGCTCTGTCGTGAAATATATAATTTTTTCCAGATGCGAAAAATGTGTTGATGTCTATGTCAAAAAATAAAGGTCAGGGTCAGTCAAGTCAGCGCCAGCCTCTCTCTCTCTCCTCTGTCCTCAACTCCCGTCCCGTCCAGGCCGATAAGGCTCGGTTCAAAGAGCCCGACTAGTGGACCTTTGACCAATGAGAACCACTCCTAGAGAGGTCTAGACCTTTGGACCATTTTTCAGATGATGTCCTTGTCTCATCATTGCGTATTTAATTCTTCCGGACTTTTTCTTACAACAAACTCCCGGAGCAAACAAACCTCAAAAGACGTTATACGTCACGTTTTCCATTGATTGGCGCTTTTAGTTCTCCAACCAATCGCCACCTCAACGGAAAGATATTTGGGAGAATTGCCTTGCGGTTATCACATGTATCCATATTTTAGGCTATGGACCCTGGAACGCCCTACACTTAGTCTGATCCTGAAATTACGACGTTGCTTTCTGGCCAGGGGACAGATCCTTTGATCCATTTCACCTGTATCGCTTATGATGGGATCAGACACCTCGAGTCGTTCACTGCCCTATGGCTTAGTCGAAACCCTAGTCTGCAAAAGTTCTTATCCCCAGCATTAGCCGTTTGAGATCAACACAACGCATTGTCCTGGCCCAAGTCTATAGTCCGAGAGCATCATCAACCAATGGCTTACTATGGCTATATGGGTAGCAAAAGATGGGGAAGATGATTCTATTTACAAGGGACCCATTTCATTCAAATGGAGTCCCTGATCGCCTTGACAATTAAACTAAAGCCGGCTCAGTCCTGCCTACTAGTGATCCGTCGTCCTGGATCTTTCATGTTCAATCTTCGTTAGCTTGTTGTTCCTTCGCGTCGCTTCTTTTCGTTTCTTTTCTTAGGTATCATCTATCTTGAACTTCATCTCATTACCTATATCCATACCAATAATGGCCAACAAAAACGCCGAGCACCTCTACGAGACTATTCCCGAATGTGTTGCCGGATGCTTCGATATTAGTGTCGCCGCTACTGGCTGTGGTGACACCGACTACGATTGTTGGTGCTACAAACCCAACCATCAGACTGTCGTCGATACGCTGGAACAATGTCTTGGTAACAGAGAAAGACGAACAAAAAAGAAGTGTACTGAAGATGACATGTTTGGTATGGAGTTGTAAACTCTACACTAGAGATCAGCTTGCTAACTGAAATCCAGAATATGAGAATAGCTACTGGAAGATTTGTGAACAATACTGGGAACCATACGGAACTGCCACCGAACCTACATCATTCCCAACCTCACCGGCTACCAAGACTTCGATCACATCAACCGCGTCCACCGAAGCCGCAACAACAACAACAACTGCATCAGCAGAATCAGAAACCACGTCTGTTGAAGAATCATCATGGACCACTGTCATAGCAACTCAATCTGGTGATTCGGAAGCAGCGGAAGCATCTGGCAACCCAGAGCCAGTGGCTCCCTCTGGTGGCTTGTCTAGTGGAGGAAAGGCCGGTGTAGGCATTGGTGTTGCTCTTGGAGTCATCCTCCTCGGCGTAGCCATCTTCCTCTGGCTGCGTGAGAGGCATAAGCGACGTAATGTTGAAGAGAGGCTTAGGGTTGCCGAAGTCGAAAAGGCCGATGCCATCCAAGCAGGTGGCTATGGTCCTCACGTTATGTATGAAATGGAGGGCGATCGACCCCACGCCGAGGAACTGCGCGGATGTATGAGGACGCCAGAGCTGGGCGCAGGAGGTCGAAACTCGGCCAGCGTGACAGAAGTTGCCCCCGTGAGTCCCTCTGATAACGACAAGGACTCGACCTTCTCGACTCGTAGTTACGAATGGCCCATCTCACCAGAAAGCCCGTCCCGCAATGCGCCAGGAACATCAGGGACTTTGGGGGAGGTGAAAGATAATAATACCCCCAAGCCCGCAGCTCCTTGATGAGTTTTGGCTGATTGATTTCTTACATTATTTCTTTGATACCATCTTACATAATTGCCTTTCATTACTTAGATATATACCTTTCAGACCAAACAACGTCAGCGGATAAAAGAGCCAAACGATATTCCCCACTTACAAGCAAACGCCTTCGTTGTGAGGATAACAGTTATGATAGTGATAATCGAAGTCAGCGTTTACGATATTAGCGTTTGAAGAGTCGAATCGACTATATAATCTCTAACCATGATGGCTTCTCATCGAACTTGACTTGATCAACACAACTGTCGAAACCTCCATCGACAGCTCTCACCTAGAATCGCAATTCTCTTTCTCTCAACCCCTCCAAGTTTTCGAGATGTCCGCAGGCTACAAGATCCGAATTGTCAACGAGGTCGTTCGGCGCCTCTGGGATCAGGACCCTGAGACTGCTGTCACTCTGAAGGTAAGTCTTGCGGAGATGTGGCATGCCGGTTTGTCTACCAGCGCTAACAAGCTTGCTCCTCAACAGCGTTACATGAGCGAGACCGACTACATCAAGGACACCATGCTTGCCGTCGTTAAGGACATTGGCTATGCCATGAACGAACTGGACCTTCGTGACGAGAAGGCTATCGCCTTCAATCGCTGTAAGTTTGATCTTGCCCGCGCTGTCGTAAGTATTCACCTTTTCCCCTTTCAAGCCCATACTAAAAGAAAGTAAAGGACGAGCACAACCGTCTCACCCGCGATGGCTACGAGCAGACCTTCCGTCCTCGTCTCAACTGCATTGTCCAGGGCCTCAAGCTTGTTGACGAAGACGGCAAGGCCAAGAAGGGCAATGAGCCCATGATGGAAGTGACTCTTCGTTTCCCGGCTCGTGAGTACAACGACAGTCCTCACAGCCTGACTCCCGGCAAGGGCAATGTCTACCTCATGATGAAGGAGCTTTGAACGGAACGCTTTTTGTTGGCCTAGCTTCTGAGCTTGGGTAATGAACGACATGAAGGCGCCGAAAGTGGAATGGAATGGAACACGAGGCATTAGAAAAGATACAGAGATCAAGACCAAAACTGCGGGAGATTTCTTTCTCTAGACAGCAATAAACTTGGCCTTTCCTTTGAAGTAACTGAAATGTGATTACGAATTATGTTTATCCCAGTGGTGGGGTTATCGTAGGATTGCAAATAACATATCGATGACGAGCTTGCCGAGGACAACAAGGTGAGAATAGACATCTGTCACATTCACTAATTAGCATTCTTTCATCAAACAAATCAAGAACAAACTAACTCTATAAACAGTGCTTTCTTAAAATTCAGCAACAGGCTGTTGGTATGTTGTTGATATTGTAAGCGCCCACTCCACTATTTCCGCGTCTTCCTGAACTGAACCATATCTCCCCCATTGACTCCCCTCCTACGCCAATTGCCTATCTCTTACAATCACCGATAATCATTCAATAATGAGCAACGATGGTAATTCATATCCTCAAGCTGGCATCCATAATGCTCGGCGTGAGAGTATTGCTACTGCACCGTTTAGTTGCCATCCGTGTCGGAAAAGCAAGCTGAAATGTGATCGTACAAAGCCGTGTTGTAGTCGATGCCTCAAGCAAAATTATGAGTGCGTCTACTCTGACTCAAGGCAGCCTTATCGGGGCATAAATCGAGGCCAGGCCAAGGATTTAGAGGCCAAACTTGGTAAGTTAGGCTGAGCAGTGAGTTGGTGGTTGAACATCTGCTAACCTACACACATAAAAGCACGCCTCGAGAGAGTACTACAAGCTTCTCGGCAAAGTGAGACGTCTCGTACTCAGGACAATCAGTTTAAAGCCAATAACGCTTCAATTGCTGGTATAGCATCGCTGAGCTATCCAAACGATGAGCCTGCAGGGTCGGGTCTGATCGAGGGGCCTCTGCCTCAATATCTCGTCGAAACACTGTGGGTGTTCTTTATTCAACCAGACCACATCCGGGACTATAATAATGATTCAATAGAACAACCATATACTTTAATGATGTCCACCAAGCAGCACCCATGCTACACAGACAGCGGTTTATGGCATCTCTCTTTCTGCTCGACCATAGGAGAACGCCAATGTGCCTCCAGTACATCGTCATGGCCTTTGCTGCAGAGACTACCAAGTCATATCACCATCTAGGCATGGATCTCTACAAGCGTGCTAGAACTTATCTTCAGGAACAGGAATTCGGGGTATGCTCTATTACGACAGTGGTTGAATACAGGACTAATCCAAATGTATTTAGAGCCTCGGGACAAATGATCTGTCACTGGGTCACGTACAAGCTTGGGCCCTGATGTCTTGCTTCGAAGCCGAACATACAATGTTCGCTAAGGCTTCCATTACTTTATCATCTGCCCTTAGAGCTGCACAGATACTTAATCTGCACCGGGTTGATATGCCCGAGTCGATCGGGAACGTATCAACGGACTGGATTGAACTTGAGGAGCGACGCCGAACATGGTGGACCATATTCAGTTTCGACCGCTTTGTTTGTGCAACAACCGGATGGCCAGCTCTGATAAATCAACAGAAGGTGAGTTGGATCAGCCTGGCTCCTGAACCAATGGCTGACAAGGGTGTAGATAGACACCCGCCTTCCAGCTTCCGACGAAGCGTTTGCGTATGGAAGAGAGGAGCAAACACGTTTCCTAGGAGATCAGCTAATCGAAGCTGAACCACAATCATCTTTCGCTGGAAGAGTACTTACAGCGCACATATTCCACCGTACCATCGAGCATAATAATTCCGACGATGGCCGAGGACAAGGCGCTGAGACCTCAACAGATGACGCATATTGGCAACAGCATAGAGCGATTGACAATGACCTCAAGTTTATGCTATTAATGTTGCCAAAGAATCTGTGTCTTCCTGCCAATTATAAGAGTCAAAATGCAGTGTTTGTCAACGTCATGCTCCACACAGCTACAATCTGCCTTCATAGAGCGGCCCTGTGGAGGATGAAGTCGAACATACAGGGACTGCCAAGTTATATGATTCGATTGTCGCAAGATCGTCTAGCTCCAGCGGCAGAAGAGATTCTCAACATCTTCAGAATGATACCTGAACTTGGCACAACCTTTGCGAACCCTCTTATCTGCGTTGCAGCATATATGGCTGCTTTGGTCTTTGTATCCTGTACATCTCCCGCCGAACCTGATGTACAAAGTGAGGAGAATCTCGATTTCATTCTAAGGGTTATGGTAGCTTTTGGGAACAATAATCTTGTCGCCAACGCTGTGTCAAATGAGATTGTAAAAGAGATGAGCCAGTGTGGTATCACCTCCGCAACCATGTGTAAGGTAAGAAATCATCGTGTCTCAATCTGCGTCACGGACACTGATAGCTGGTGCAGGTGAACTTGCAGGACACGCCCGTCGACATTCCACTGCTTGCTACTCAGCGACTCTACTCCTCTTTTTCGGACTCATTCGACATCTGATGCTCCATTCCGCACGAAATACGATGCCAATCTGTATCCTGAACATGGTATTATACAACCGTGGAGTGATTTAATGAAAGATACTATAAATCTATTGATTTCGATGTTAAAGAAGCGCCTGTATGAAAACAATCTACAAGAAGACACATCATTTGCGCGCAAAGTCGCTTTCCGTCTCAAGCCAAGTGCCAAAAGTTTTGAGTTCGGGGTACTCTTGTCTCAACACCTTTAAGTCCGCATCAAAGCCAACATCATTGAACCACTTGAACATGTAACCCAACTCCTTCACCATCGCCATCATAGGATAAACAATAAAACTGTAAGCTGAAGGAATTTCATGGCCAATCTTCTCCTTGAAGACTTTTTGGAATTCGTCAAGAGTCAACTCGTCGCCAGCAAGCGATACCGCACGCCCTGAATATTTCTCAGGTTGGAGGAAGGCTTCTGCTCCAACTATGCCTACGTCAGTGACGGAGACGAGCTGGACTGGCTTTGTTTTGACAGCCAACTTCCACGCAGTAACAAATGATCTTCCCAAGAAGTCGTCTGTCAAGTTGTCCATGAATGCCACTGGACGTAGAATTGACCATTGCATATCCGTATTGGCGGTGCGTGCAATCAAGTGCTTCTCGATTTCGTGCTTTGCTATAAAATGAGGAACTGGAGTCGGGTTGTTTTCTGAATCCTGACCATGTCGGTCGACTGAAGTGTAAACAAAGAACTTGACACCAGCGTCTAAAGCGACATCGACAAGGGATTTGCCTTGTCCAACCTCACCACCGCCTCCTTGTCCGAAGCCAACAGGGACCTAAGTACGTCAGTGGTTGCTCATGCTTGATTAGGGGTGAACTCTCTTACCTGAACACTGAACACTCCCCATATAGGCTTATCAGTGACACTCCTGGCAGTTTTGAAGATTGCGGTAGGATCAGCTAAATCGCCTTGCACAAGCTTGATGTTTGGAGATTTGCGGAGTAGTCGTTGGGCTGAAGGAGATTTGGCGTTTCTGGTGACAGCGAGAATCTTGAAATCGGCATTTTGCTTGACGAGTCTGTTGAGGATGGCGCCGCCTTGTTTTCCAGTTGCACCACAGATTAAGATTGCTCGAGACATGTTGAATATTAGTGTGGTATTATTTGGAATCTGGCAGTGAAGGTCTTATTCGATAATTGGGCTAAAAGCAGGAGAGTATTGATGAACAAGTCATATGGATTAGGTGGCTACACAATAAGCTTCTTATATAGAATTCCCTTCAAATTTCTATTTAAAACAATCAACGACTGAATCGGGGGATCTGACATGTTGATTTGTTAAAATTATGGAATGGCCGATCGATGTCCGAATTCACCGAAGTCATGATGTCTGCAATGCCCGGCTCCTAACAAAAGACGGCGTTGGAGACGGCCGAAAGTGGATACCGGATTAATGTCGTCCTCCGAATTATGCGAAGAGGTATCGGATCGGAACCATTATCGAGACACCGATATTAAATAAGGCCGTTGAATAACAGAATTGACTGATCATAATCTTGTCTGTGACGAGTTCATCTCTTTGCAAGGTTATTTATCCACTCCTGGAAGAAAAGTTCTATCAAGTCCAACAGTCTCGCGTGACGATCATTCCATATCGCTTCAAATCGACCACAATATGATACCACTGAATTATTAACTTGCTCCATATCTACACAAGACTGGTGGTATATGAGAGGGGGATTGTCATCTTCCTAACCTTGAATGACTTTCTTCTATAGTTGACCGAAGCTAGCTGATAGAGACTAGCAATAGGATTGGGCAGATTGAAAACTAAAATTATTTAATAAACGTATGGTTATCGTCTTGAGAAGACATCTACCTGCTAACTCGGTTATTATAAAAGCTAAATAATACCCAAAATAGTTGTTGTCGTATGTATATCTAGGTACTGAGTGCTTCAGGTACCATCTCACCTGCACTGTGCTTAGTACTGTGCGGCACTGGGCTCTGCAATCCAGCGTCGGGAATTTGTGGATGCAAGTTGAAGCTTCACCCGAAACAACTTCCTCTCTCTCGTCTTGTTGAACCATTGGGAGCTGGCCCGGCCCAGCATCACTTCCCAGCCATGTCTGCCGCTCTCCTACGATCACGAACTGCCGTTTCTGGCACCCGAATTGCTTCATCCGCCCGCCCTGCTCTTCCCAAGTCAAACCTCGTTCAGCGCCGCAACGCTTCGTCCTCTTCTTCAGCTGGTGATGGAGCTGGTCTCAGACTCGCTCTTTACGGCAGTGCTACCGCTGCTGTCCTCTACGGCTCTTACCTCTACGCTACCGACACCAGAGCTTTCTTCCACCGATGGGTCGTTCCTCCGCTACTGCGTTGGGCATACCCTGATGCTGAGGACGCTCACCATGCTGGCACCACGGCTTTGAAGGTGCTCCATGAGCTCAACCTTAACCCCCGCGAGCGCGATACTACTCTAAACTCCCCCGAATTGGCTGTCAATATCTTTGGAACAGAAGTCCAGAACCCAATTGCTATCTCGGCTGGTCTCGACAAGGATGGAGAGGTAGCAGATGCGCTGTTTGACCTTGGAGCTGGAATTGTCGAGATTGGCGGCTGCACACCTCTCCCCCAAGCCGGCAACCCCAAGCCTCGAGTGTTCCGCGTTCGCAGCCTCGACGGTATGGTCAACCGATACGGTCTCAACTCTCGTGGTGCTGATGATATGGCTATTCGATTGAGGGACCGACTTCGACGATTTGCCCGATCTCTTGGACTGACAGAGAGAGACGTCCTTGACGGAAATGCCAAGGTCCCGCCTGGAAGTCTTCGAGAGGGCCGGCTTCTGGCTGTTCAGATCGCCAAGAACAAGGAAACCGACGAGCGGGATGAGAAGGCTATTGCCGAGGACTACGTCTACTGTGTACGAAGACTTGCACGCTTCGCTGATGTGCTGGTCGTAAACGTTAGCAGCCCTAATACTCCCGGTCTTCGCGATCTCCAGGCCACTGAGCCCTTGACACGGCTCCTCAGCGCCGTTGTTGACGAGGCTGCCAAGACCGACAGAAAGCAAAAGCCCAAGGTCATGGTTAAGGTCTCTCCCGATGAGGATGAGGACACACAAATGGAGGGTATTGTCGAGGCTGTTCACCGAAGTGGCGTCGACGGAGTTATCGTCGGCAACACAACCAAGCGACGAGACGGTGTCATCCCCCCTGGTATTAAGCTTACTGCCCAGGAGCGACAAAACCTCATGGAGACTGGTGGCTACTCCGGTCCTGCGATGTACAGCCGCACACTCGACCTTGTCGGCCGATACCGCAAGATGCTAGACAAGCACTCTTTTAAGGCCAGCCTCGGCGCCAAGGGCGGTGCTCAGAAGGTCATCTTCGCCACAGGAGGCATCACCAACGGCGAACAAGCGCGACAGATTCTCAATGCTGGAGCTAGCGTGGCGATGGTCTACACAGGATTGACATATGGCGGTCCTGGCACTATTACCAGGATCAAGCAGGAGTTAAAAGGTGGTGCGAAGAACTAGACATGCTATAGCAAGCAACATTTGACGTTTTAATTTGTCTATCACAAAAGGTACAAAATGGGACAATTTCATGAAGAAAAAAGTGATTTTTTTTAACATTTTTTTTATGTTTTTCTTTTTATTTAGCCCTAAGGTTAGTTAGTTAGTTACTTGACTAGAAATACCTTGGGAATCATACTTACCTCTTAGACCCTTGCTCTCATGTCAGGTTCTGCCTGCAGTCATGACATGTTGGTATTGATCTTTTGAGAGAGGTATGTCATCCAATCCCTTTGCCTGAAACTCCAAACTCCAAACTCCAGAACCTGCCAGATGACACCGACTTACTCTCCTCAATACTTGACGAACTTCTTGCGGTGGCCCTTAAGCCTGTCGATACAGATTTTGACAATCTCTTGGGTTCCTATAATCTCATACTCGGCATTCTTGACCTTCTTGAAAGCTTCAGCTTTATAATAGATCAATTTCGGTTCATTGGCTGCCTTTACGATTGCCTTCTCTATTCCCTTTCGGTCATAGATTGCCCCGAGCTGCTGGTCCAAAGACTGGAGTACTCGAAGCGTTTTGTTGAGAAGAACCCGATGCTCCAAGACATCATGCTCGACGTCCCTCGCGTTTTGGAAACGTCGGGTCAGCTGCTCCTGGAGGATTTTGATCTCACACTTCAGGTCCTCATTCTCCTTCTTGTAGTCATTCATCGTGTATGACTTAACAATAGGTTCCTCTTCCTCTGACTTGGGAGCCATATCCTTCTTCAAAGAAAACATACTCTTTATTGACAAAGGCATGTTGAAGACGAGAAAAGATGTTTGACGTAGGTAGAGTCGCATGAAGTTGGCGACTACTCGCTTGTGCAAAATGTGTAGTGTTTGGTGTGTTGTGGTTTCTCGTTTCTGGTTTTGCTGGCGGTAAATCTAGTATCAAAGCAGGAGATCAAAGATGAGATCAAAGATGAGATCAAAGATGAGTTGCTGAGTCTTGTTTGACTTGTGTTGGTGATGGATTGAAAGTTAAAAGAAGGGGGAATATAAACTATTTATACTCCAATTTGGCGGGACTTGGATTGTCCCAGCGCGGTATCATGTTCAACAGTTTCTTGAGAGACTTTCCAAAATATACAATGTAAAAAGAGACATTGTACAACTATTCATCCCTGTGTAAGTAAGTCCCCTTCACGTCGAAAGTGACATGGTATTTGGGTCTTTTCGGAAGACGTTGGATTGAACAGCTCTGCTATATATCCTGAACAGTGCTTGTTGTGTTTAACTTAGACATATAGGCAACACTCTGCTCAATGGATAATCAGAACTGAAGGTATGATCAGAAACCAGGTTTTTTTCTGCCGCGTTCGCTCAGTGGTCGTCGTCTACCATTGACCTAGGAGTCTTTCTTTACAGGAAAAATGATATTGCCGACTAAAAATATCTTGAAACGCATATACATGGTGCCGTATCATTTAGGCATTATTAAACGGCTTAGATTTCTTGTGATTCTTCATTCAGGATGTTGAAAGGCCAAGCATATAATCCTTCCAAAGTACGGTAAACGTCAAAGTCCCTTTAAAGCCGAATTTCATTGGACTACGCATGATATATTCGTAGGAGCTTAAACCATAACCCACCCCTATTGACGGGCTTAGGCGTTAGCTACATCTATAATCATACACTTGACTCAATCCAACATGAACAAGAATCCATAAAAGGAATAGTTGTCTTTTAAATCGATGTTTACATTGCCATGTTTAGCCACAACGTTGGCTTAACTTCCCGTCGGTTCGTACATGAAGCATGGATACCTGAACAAAGTGAATATGTAGCATATTGTCCCGAGACACTGCCGGATATTCTTGATGGTGGAAAATAATAATGGCATGCCATTAACCATAGGCGGTCAAGAATCTGGGGATTGTAGAATAATATCGTTTAGAGGTATAGAGCCATCAAGATCAAATGATAGGCACGAAAAGACCAGAAAAGAAATCACAGTATTATTTTCAGATTTCCAAAAATGGGGATAACTAAACAAAACAAAATCGTAAAATAAATGTCATACATCGTGTCGGAAATCCATAAGAGACTGGTCCCTTTACATATCGACCCCTGTCTACCTTTGTTATGCCATGCGCCGTTCAGTTCCTATTGACAATCTTTGCTTTTTTCAATAGAAAGCTTGTCCATTATGACTATTCATTGTTCAGTTTGTGTTCAGTCAGAGGTGATAATTGAGTCCCTTACCGTACTTCCTACAGCATATACGCTCTAGTTCAAGGGCTAGTAAGTCTGAATTAAGATGGCTGAACCATATCCCGGAGCTCCTTGTATGTTCCGTAAGTCTGAATGTTCCAACTGAGTTCCAGGCAGCATTGGTGTAGGAGAATATCCATGTGTCGCAGCAACTCGCTGTCTGATTCGGGTACATTGTCTCTGAGTTCGCAGAGTTAGAGAAACGAACAAAAAGCCCGTCGATACGGGCTTGGAAAGTTGCTAGGAAGCCACGGAGAAGTGGGATGTGCGAGGCGTTGAGATGAATTGTGTCCGACATATTGGCTGAAGGGACGTTTCATGGTTCGATGGTAACAGTCGTTCCGGAGAGCAAGCAGGTGATGGTGGATGGCAGAGTTGATGGAGGCAACTTTATATAAGACCTCAAGTTGATTTGTATATGTTCATAGTTTAATTGAACTATCAATTCTTTCACCGTATTTACCATGTGTTACTCTAGGTACTTGGATGATAGCATATACACCATCATCAACGGGTTGTCGCAGCTTAGGTACTTTGAAGACCACGCGTGCATCTGATCAGTCACCCTACAATCAGTACCTGCTACAGGCTGAATAAAGAGCCGTTCCAATACAATCATAATCATTAATGAAATATTCAATGTGACTTGCCGTGGTTGACATTGATGGCCATAAGGTTCTTTCGCCTGATCTTACATTCACGTTCGATTTTCCACCAGCATTAGTGTAAGCAAAGACTTGGGTCTATGCCGAAAACACCAATTATCCCATGTTTCAACCGAGTATCCTAATCATACCCTGTAATGTCGTCCCATTGTGAAGCCATTCACGAGCAAGCTGCAGCAACAGGGTAGTAGCCGATAAGCTAAGCTAGGAGGGTGAAACGATATCCGTCAGAGAAATGCAACTTTGCTTCACAAAAACATATTCAACAAAAATAACAAACATAAACAATCAGAATATCGAGTCAAGAAGATGGGATGCAAATCGGGCTGCTGTGGTCCTCCGGTCACAGAGCCACCTACTACTAAAGCATTGTCTCAGGTCGACATTGACAGTCGCGAAGATCAAGACAAGGCTGCAACCGGACCAAAGGATGAAGAACGGACAATCAAAGAGCAAGCAATTGACTGCTGCGCTTCCGAGAATTGTGAAGATGACAAGAACGACCGCAATGAGGGTGCACCCGACTGCTGCCGTGGGAAGATCAGTCCCTGCTGCAATGCAGCTTGCATTGACCGCCTTGCTATGCGCGACTGCAGGATGAGCTCCGATGACAGAGAGAGTGAGCGACCAACCTTACCATATGTTACAGAAGACGTGTTTGCTAATACTGCATCAGCTGGGACGGGCTGTGGCAGCTCTACCCGTAGCTGCGATGGCGCAACCGACGGCAAGCCATGCAACAAGCACAGCATTTCTGCTCTCGACCGCTACAGTGCAACTCTTCAAGCTCTGGGATGTCTTTGCCGTACTCTTATTGCTATGGGCCAGGAATCTTGCTGCGAGACCCGGGGTAGCCCGGCTAAAAAGCTGTCTTCTCGTTCTCTCCTACGCACATCAACGGACTCTGGCCGCAGTACAGGCTCTGTCACTAAAGAGAAGATTGTAGAGAACCGATTCCGTCTGCGAAATAGCTCCACAGAGAGTGTAAAATCTGCCAGCCAATCATCTGCTAAGAAGAGCTGCGGTAAAGCATGTTGTTCAGTGACCAAGCCAGACAAGGACGCTGTTCCCAAAGACAAATGCAGGAAGGGGTGTTGTGCAAAAGACAAATCCAATAATCAACAAATTATCGCCGAAAACCCGAATCAAAAGCTTCCTGATGACCTTGCTGGTACAAACGGATGTCTCGACGCCTGCTGCTCTCAGAAGCCTCCGCCCGAACAGCAACCCGTTGATCAAAATGATAGCAAAGTTGCCAAGAATTCTGTCACTACGGATAGTTGCTCTGACTTCTGTTGCACCACTGGGCGCAAAGAGAACCCTGTTGCAAAAGGTTACCCGGTTACGAAGGTTAATAACTCTGCAGCAAACGGATGTTCAAAGTCTTGCCATGCGACCAAGACAGAGGATATTGCTGGGAACCAATTTACCCCTACTTGTGGTAGTGCAAAAGAAAGGCTCTCAACTGAGCTCCCAAGAGACGCCTGTGGCGGGTCCTGCTGCGAGAAATCTCAGGGTTGTCAAATCCCCGATGACGACTGCTGTACCTCTAATGTTCTCGAAGAGCATCAAGACAACAAAGCACTCTCTATCGAAAAGCCTACCGATGTAGAGAATCAGACCACAGGAAAAGAACGTGTGGTTCTCAGTATCTCGGGTATGACATGCACTGGCTGCGAGACCAAACTCAACCGAACACTAGCCACAGTTCCTGCTGTCAAGGAGCTGAAAACAAGTCTCGTTCTCTCACGAGCAGAATTCAACATTGACTTACGCCTCGGATCAGTCAACGAGGTTATCAAACACCTCGAACGAACCACAGAGTTCAAATGCGAGAGAATCCAAACCCAAGGTTCCAGCTTGGATCTCGTTGTGGATGGCAACACATCCCAGTTTGTGGGACAGACATGGCCTGACGGCGTTGTTGATATGACTGTTCTTGACAAAAACAATGTTCGGGTTTCCTTCGATCCTAAAATTATTGGTGCACGAGACCTCGCTGAAAGATCCTGGGTGCCTCCCGTCAAGCTTGCCCCCCCAGTCGTGGACTCGTCTCTTGAAGCTGGAAACAAGCATGTTCGCCATGTTGGTTATATGACTCTGCTGTCTGCAGTTCTTACTATCCCTGTACTTGTCATGGCATGGGCGCCAATCCCCAATAATGAGATAGCCTACTCTTCGGCTTCACTTGCATTGGCTACCGCCGTCCAAGTTGTCATTGCAGGACCGTTCTATCCCAAAGCTATCAAAGCACTGGTTTTCTCTCGAGTCATCGAGATGGATTTGTTGATTGTCCTGAGTACTAGCGCAGCCTACATCTTCTCTGTTGTCTCCTTTGGATACCTTGTTGCTGGAAAGCCTCTCTCGACTGGACAGTTTTTCGAAACCTCCACTTTGCTGGTGACTTTAATTATGGTTGGCCGATGGGTTGCGGCACTCGCTCGTCAGAAGGCAGTCGAGTCAATCTCTATTCGGTCACTCCAGGCACCAACTGCCATTATCGTCGATGAGAAGAGCGGCACCGAGCGCGAGATTGACATCAGACTTCTTCAGTATGGCGACATCTTCAAGGTTCTTCCCGATACAAGAATCCCTACTGATGGAACCGTCATGACTGGCTCATCAGAAGTTGACGAATCCATGCTTACGGGCGAGTCCCGACCCGTGGAGAAATATCCCGGATCTGGTATTATTGCAGGATCAATCAATGGCTCAGGTGTTATGATTGTGCGACTGGATCGCTTGCCTGGTGACAATACCATCAATACGATTGCCGCCATGGTAGATGAGGCTAAGCTGACAAAGCCGAAGCTGCAGGACCTGGCAGACCGGGTGGCCTCCTATTTCGTCCCTGTAGTAGTTGCCTTGACCATCATCACGTTCGCGATTTGGGTTAGTGTTGGCCTGACAGTCCAAGGATATGGCGGCTCCAAGGCTACAACCGAGGCAATCACTTATGCCATAGCTGTCCTCATCGTGTCATGCCCTTGCGCGATTGGATTAGCAGTTCCCATGGTTATTGTGATCATGAGCGGAGTGGCTGCAGAGAAAGGCATTATCTTCAAGTCGGCTGACGCTATTGAAGTTGCTCACAAGACATCTCACGTTGTGTTTGACAAGACTGGCACTCTGACTCAAGGGAAACTGTCTGTCGTTTCAAAGGAGTGCATCGACAAACCTTCTCTTCCACTTCTTTTGGGCCTTATCGAGAACAGCCGACATCCAGTTTCGGTAGCTGTGAAGAGGCATCTTAAGAATACCGGGATTGAGCCTTTTGCTGCAGATGAAACAAAGAGCCTGACAGGTAAAGGTATCGAAGCAGTCGTAAAAGGTCAGAGGCTCAAGGCTGGAAACTCCCGTTGGTTGGGTCTTTCAGAGAACCCTCTCGTCTGCACGTTGCTCGCTCAAGGTTATACTGTCTTTTGTTTCACAGTAAATGACGATTTGCGCGCTGTATATGGCCTCCAGGACGAGCTCAGGCACGATGCTTTGGAGACTGTAAAGGCGCTGCACATGCGTGGACTTTCAGTTCATGTGGTCTCTGGCGACGATGATGAAGCTGTCCAGAATCTAGCCACGAAACTGAACATCCCGAGAAACAACGTCTGTTCCCGAACTTCACCTGCTGGCAAGAAGGACTACATCCAGACCCTTCTTGGCAACGGAAATGATCACAAGAAGCCAGTTGTTGTTTTCTGTGGCGATGGCACAAACGACGCTGTTGCTCTCGCCCAAGCCACTATCGGCGTTCACGTGAACGAAGGTACAGATGTTGCTCAATCTGCTGCAGACGTAGTCCTCATGCGACCTGCTCTCAGTGGCATTATCACCATGATAGATGCGAGCCGAAAGTCTGTTAATCGTATCAAGTTCAACTTCTCGTGGAGTTTTGTATACAACACGTTTGCTGTGCTTCTTGTTGCTGGCGCGTTTGTCAATGCCAGGATTCCACCGGAATATGCAGGCCTTGGAGAATTGGTGAGCGTTTTGCCTGTTATTCTGGCCGCTGTGCTTCTGCGCCGGTCAAAGATCTAAGTAAGAACTCTTGGGTCTCTCAATAAACCCAAGCAGCGCAAATTCTGCGGGCTCTCATTTGGATCTCACCAGGAGCCTTTCTGCTGTCTATTTCCCCTCTATTGTCCTTGTTTGGTATGGCAGAATGCTGCATTCCGGTCGCTACCGTGGCTTCGTCTTTCAGTAAACATCAGGAAGGCGTTTTTTGACGCCTGCAACAACCAGTACACTTCTATTCACGCTCTTTACATAGTCATTATTTCAACTATAGTCGAATAAGGTACTCAAGGCAGCAATAGGGCTGCAAGGAGAATACACGACTCCATCTCTCAATTGCTTAACCTGGTTCACTATTTGGGCAACTATTTTAGAATTCTCAGTTGCTACGTCTTGTAAAGAAGCATAGCTGAGCATCAAAATTCAATAGTTATTTGTCCCTCCAAGCTACCGTATGCCAATGTGAACAATAGATAAATTAACTTGACCGTTTTGAAATACCAACAAATAGCCCCCATATTGTACATTATTAATATTATAAGAGTGGCTTAATAAAGCCAAAATTACATGATATCGCTTTTGTGAAAACAACTAGAATCGCAGCTTTTGCGAATCAAGAACTCAGTATAGACCCCCATGGCAATTCTGCCAGCCATATCCAACAAAATATGATGGGTATCAGGGCAAGCACAATCCACCAGACCTCGATAGTCAGTTTGATTTGCAACCATCGTGGTAGACTTCTGCTCAACAAAGAGCGATGGGAACATCTCTTTGTACCGTACACAAGACATCCGAGGCCTGGTCGAGATTCACATTCGACATGTTCTCGTCTCCGGCGCATCAATAGACTGGAATTCCTGTTGGATAATTTTTTCAACGAAAGAGGGGAACGAGTAACATACGGTACACTTCCACGACAGAAACGGAGATCGCTTCCGAGATCACAGCGTCTGTCGTTGGGACATTCCAGATGGAGACTTCTTCGTTCAACCAGCCATTCAACCTTGAGATTGATGCCTGTATCGACAAGGCTATAGAAGTGGGCGTTGGTATGTTTCAAGGAAAGAGCATCGGGATAGATGAGAAATTCAGAAATAGCGAGATGTATCTCGGTAGGTAGTGACATAAATTCCAGCTTGGGAGTTGTTATTATTATTGTTGACTGGCCGGTGCCTTTACCGGCTTCGGGCCCGGCAGTGGGGCAACGGCTTCGGAGGACACTGGACATGTCGGAACGGAGCGGGGCGGAAGGAGCGATTTGGAGTTTCGGAAAGAACGAATGGTTGAATGTGACTTGGTTGTCTTCTTTGGAAAGAGCGAAAGCTTTGTACGTGGCTGCTGCCTTGTCCTATGTTGATAATTTGGAAGCCTAGAGTTGATAGCACAGTCCTACAGGTCAGGTCAGGCCCAGGCCAGGGGTCGCAGCCAGCGCTCTAGCCACTTAGAATAGGGCAGTGCAAGAGTCTTGTTATTTAGCGGGTTTCAAGCGAGTTCAGCTGGTGGAGGACTCTGATGTTAGAGTCAGCAACAAGCTGAGAATTTCGATTTCTATGGGGATGAAGCAGAAGAATATGTATTTATTTCTGCTATTGACTATTCAAGACCGGGTTCGGGCATTGTTGCTTGCAGGAGAGACAATGAGACTCTTGAGGATCGCAGGGTTTCAGATACCGAGTCCTTGATGAGTAGATCAACATTCAATAGCAATATTCCTTAATCAGCCCTGATTCAGTCATTACATACACGTATTCGCTCTCTACTCCTTCCACAATACACAATACGTAGTTGCCTATTTTTAGGCAGTGAATTACTGAGTGCCCCACGTGATCCCGTGTTCTCCATCGCGTGTCGTCCTAAATTCGAGACGCCAAAATCTCTCCCTCGTCATTGAAGCCCCTACTAAATTAGCTAGAGTGTCATTCCCCCGCCGCATTCTTCTTCTGGAAAAACAATGATTCATCGCCTTCGTGAGCGTTGCTGCGATGACGTTAGATAGCGATAACGAATTTGGCTACGATTTCTCTGTCGAAGAGGAGGAATTGCTATTACAGTTGGCCTCTGAAAATAACAACAACATCGCCCCTCAAAATAATGCGAGGTTGGCAGCCATAGACGCTGTACCGGAAAGAACCAATCATTTACTTGAACAAGATGGCACCTTCACGACTGGGAATGCGTCAAGCCATACGTTGGGCCCTCATCAAACAGGACGGGCGAGCGAGCTTTACAGAGGGCAAGCGTTTAACCAACGCGAAACATCTTCTGGCTTGCCAACGCCACCTGCTGCATCCTCCTCAATTGAGGACGTACTCTACCCGGATTGTATGTGATGGTTTCTCGTGAGGCTTCATCACACTAACTGACCCAAGAGATTAGTGAGCAAAGCCTTGAACAACTTAAATTCCATGTCACCTCGATCACCCAGATCAGAATCAACCATCACTGCAGGGCGTGCATCTGAAACCAATCAAGGTGCCTCATATGACGATGACCGTTCGCCTCTACAACGGTTTAGATCTTATCCAAAGAGGCCACTGACCGTGACTGATCTCACTTCTGGCGCTTGGTGTGAGTTACAATACTGGTATACTCTCACTCGATTACCTGGGGGCCGAAGGACGAGAACAGCGGCCATGAAGCAAGGCTCCAAAATCCATAAAAACCTCGAGGACGAAGTCCATACTACTGTCAAGATTGACATCATGACTAAAGAGGACGCATTTGGACTCAAGCTATGGAATCTAGTACAAGGGCTAAGAACCTTGCGTGATACGGGACTTACTCGTGAGCTGGAAGTATGGGGGATCGTTGACGAGAACCTCGTAAACGGAGTCATCGATAGCGTGAGTTACGAGAATCCAAATCCAGAATTCGAGGCAGAACTCTTTAGCCAAGAGTCAAAAAAAGGCAAACAGAAGTCCTCTTTGGCCGACTACTTTCCGCCAAAAAATGCGGATGCGAACCACTCGGGACTCAAGATCTATCTTGCTGATGTTAAGACGCGTGGATCTTCTTCTGCTGTTTCGCCCGCCCAAATACGACCGGCAAAGATCCAACTGCTTCTGTATCATCGATTTTTATCCGATATGGCTGCTGGCAAGTTGGATTTCTTCAAGGTCTTTCGACGATACGGGCTCAACCCAGATGATGCCTTCTCAGACACGTTTATCGCACAAATCGGCAGTCTGCACGACGAGATCTTTGTGGATGCGTCAGAAACTGAAACCGATTTCACTCAAGAATACCCTTCTTCCAGCTTTCAGAGTTCTTCTTCAGCCGGGCCTGATCTGTTACAGTACCGAACATTACGAGAACTAGTTCCTCTTGTTCGGCAAGAAATAGACCTTACTTTTCCCCACGGTGAGCACTCTATGGGCCATATGCTTCGGGTCCAATATGTTCACCGCAGCGACGGTCGCGAAATCGACCTTCATGACTTTCCTGTTTCACGAAAAGCATTGGAGTCATACCTCGCCAACTACATGGAGTGGTGGAAGGGCAAGCGTGAGGCCAAAGGTGTCGACATAGAAGAGGCGTTCAAGTGTGGAACATGCGAATTTGTTTCCGACTGTTCATGGCGGCAGAGCATGGATGCTGAGATGTTGCAGAAAGCCAGGACTCAGCAGAAAAAACGGGCAACACGTCGGGCAAGCACCAACGCCGCCTGAGTAGATGGCCTCTGGATATATCATGAATTACGATGCATTAGGATATAACACGAGACTTGCATTAATTTTCTAGGTTTATAAAGATGCAACATTCTGTTTTTGGCATTCTTTGTGGGATTTCAAGACACTAGTGACCGGTTCTTCTTTATCCCAACCTTGTTGAATCTGTGCAATTCCTGCGTGACGGCCTGCCTCCAGGCATCTCAGGAGCAAGTTGAGGACCTGCTTCCTCTTAGTGCTTGCTCGGCCTATGAGTACGGGTGATCCCGAAACCCCATCCGTCTAAACATCGTCAGTATCGGCGTTGAAAAATTGAGTATTGGCAACTTACATTGAGCAGCAACGTGAATGTCAATGTTCAGTTCATCGGCCCAGTGCCACACCAGGTTGGGATCTTTGAGAAAGCCGCGTCCAACAAAGACCGCATCCACAGAGCCATCGTCAAGGTAGCTCTGAGCCTGCTTCCCGGAAGTGATCATTCCTACAGAAGTTACAGCGGTCCCAGTGCCCTTGACAGCTTTCTTGACAGCAGCAGCCCACGGAACTTGATACCCAGGGCCGGAATTGATTTTTTGACGGCTATCCAAGCCACCACCAGTGACGTCAAGCAGGTCTACTCCGTTATCTGCAAGAATCTTTGCGAGGAGTGCTGCTTCTTCGATATGCCACTGAGGTAGAGATGGATCGAAGTCAAGATAGTCAGTCCCGGGAATGCGGGCGAAAACGGGGTACCCTTGAGGGACAGTCTCGCGGGTCAGTTGGACAATCTCAACAAGTAGACGGATGCGGTTTTCGAAGGAGCCTCCATACTCATCTGTCCTCTGATTAGAGGTTGGGGAGAGGAATGAGTTGATGAGGTAGCCATGGGCAGCATGGACTTCAATGGCCTAGGCGAGTCAACTATTTAATCAGTGGTTTCGGGCTGGTTCACTTACATCAAAGCCGGCTTTGACGGCACGCTTCACAGCGGCGACCCAGTCTTGCTTGAACTTTGAGATATCATGCTTGGTCATCTCCTTGGGGACGACAGACTCTGGGCTGTAAGGAATTGCACTTGGTGCGACCACCTCATCAGGCCACCCATTCGCCTATCAGTGTCGCGGTCAGCCGTGAACGTTTGCACAAGTCTCACAAATATTACCTCTTTGAAAGCAGTGTTCTTGCGATCCAGCCATGGTACGACTGTGCTCGCCTTTCTCCCGGCATGGCCCATCTGAATCGCAATCTTGGCGCCCTGGCTATGAACAAAGTCCACAATATCTTGAAGAGGTCCAAGCTGTCCATCATCATAGATACCTGCATCCTCCGGACTGATTCGCCCCTCTGGTGAGACTGCATTGACTTCTGTAACGATGAGGCCCGGACCTCGTGCTGCGAAACTGCCCAAGTGCTGCTTATGCCAGGGGGTCGTGACACCATCCTTTGCTGAATATTGACACATTGGGGATACGAAAATCCGGTTGTGAAGAGTCAGGTTTCTCAATTTAAGAGGGGAAAATAGACTTCCTTCAGGCTGAACATCATATGGTGTTCCTGCTGGTGGATCTTGAACTGGAGTGTAGAAAGGAACCTATGGATTATGAGTATCTGGGATTATCTGGGATAGTCTTTGAGACGGACATTCGGGGCTTCTTTGTTTATAATGATTTTGTGATGGCCATTTGCCTCACATTTAGGCATCGTCTCGGCCATGTTGTTGATTTTGAAATGATAAATAGGTAACTTGGCAAATGTATATAGGAGATAGTCTGGTCTTCTTGAATTGATATGAGTAGCGTAGAAGTGGAAAGACCAGTGCAGGTATTTATAACATCGCGCAAGACCTCGTCACTATAATTCAGATGCAACCTTCCCATTGTTTCCATCTTCTGAACAACGACCTGACGTGTTACAATACCTGCAGCCCGAGAATGAGATGGATGCCTGCAATTCATAAAGCCCATATTGCAAGGTTCTTCTCGCAGCAACATGCAGTCGCTGCAGAGACTATCCAGTAGTATCTTTACTAGAAACAAACATAATTTGCTGGATCCCTCAGAGTCATGCAAAGCTGTTGGCTTATGAGATCATGTGGCTTGCCTTACAAAGTATGCATGGAACGTTTGTCAATACGAAAGAGCCCACCGCATCAACACTAACAATATGCAACCCTTTTTGACTTGAGGAAGGTTGTCATTGGGCAAGTTTTCTGCAAGTAATAATTGCAATGATTTCGAATTATAATGATTAACATTGATAAGAACCTGTTTTGAGTGCTTTTATAGATGGGCTTACTGTATACCACTTTAGTCGTGGGGGCCTTGAGATTTGCTCTTTGTCAGATAAGATGGAGGTCTCAAACTTTTCTAACTCTCTATATAGAGAGGTATAAGGACCGTATGTACGTTTAATTTATAAGATGGACATAATAATTAGCAGATACTAAGAGGATAATAGGGATTGGCGTATGAATGTTATTTTTGTAGTTAAATGTAAAGATGTACTGTAAAGAGAATATGAGAATCAATTAAAGTAAAACTTCAGTATATTAAAACAGAATTAGGCAGGAAAGTTAATAAATGTATGGTGTTGCCATGATTCTCATAATACGCTTCGTCTAGGGGAACCTGAGGTGCCAAAAAGTTCCAGGTTAGGCAGCCTTGGTTGAAAAGCAACTTGCCTTCTTCAACTACCATTAACGCAGCACACTATCACTTCATTTCACATACACCATGCAGCAAAACGAGGAAGACGAATTTGACGAGGAGTTTGACGTCCCTTTGCATCGCAAACGTCCTTTCGGCGCAGGAATTAAACGCAAGCAGGTTGAGTTCGTGCGAGCTCGCGATCCCGATGCTGGTCTCCCGACCGCGACAACGTCAACAGCAACTGTTATCGGTGATTTGTATGCAACCGTCGTTCTGAAATCTGATCCTGAGAACAAAGACGCTAAAACATCAAAAGAAGAAGCCAGAGAGGCTGCACAAATATGTCCGGATTGCGGACTGGATGTTTCATCCACAACACAGCCCCATGAGGCAGCTCTCGCTCATCAAGTATCACTGCAACACACACTACCCCCCTCATCACTTGATCGCTCGCGCATGGGTGTACGGACACTCACATCTCAAGGCTGGGATATGGATGCACACGAAGGCCTGGGCAGAGAGCGCGGGGGCATTCGACATCCCATCAAAGTAAAAGAAAAGAACGACAGGCTTGGAATCGGTGCCACGACACCAAAAACTATAGAGAAAAAGAGAGAGCCTATGCCTTACCCGACCAACAAAAAGGAGTTGAAGAGGCATAGGGCCAATGAGCGACAACGACATGAACGACTACAGCGCGAGGTTTTTGGGAGAGTCGACGTCGAAAGCTATCTCAGAGGAGATGGTAGTGATGGAGGGTTACTAAATCATGACAACCAAAAGAAAACGAATCAGGACCAATCGAAGCAGGACAAGACACACTTTGCCAGGCACCTACTATGAAGATCATCCGCCATGTCACCAGCGTTTGATGGGAGCCTACCATCAGGGTATCAGAAAAGTTGGCCGCTAGAAGCATAAGAGACGAAATTAGTAGGCCAGTTTATGCTACTTACGCCACACTTCTTAGACTCCTTGTTTTTGTACCCTAAGACTTAGGAGGCCAACTTTTCTGCTACCCAGTAGCCTACCTAGGACTCATGCTACACCCAGGACTTACAGTCGGACGAGATATTGGATTCACTGAGGATGCGGCAAACCACCTCACATGACTCAAAATTTAATTTAAGAGTTTGATGGAAGTTATACTAAGCTCACGCAACAGTTACCAGTGAGTGTATCACTGAGTTGAAGCTTGAACCAAGTGTTTCGCATCAAGCAAAGCATAAAGTTAATATATTGACATAAAACATATACAGAAACCAAGATCGGAAACAATATATCCAGAAAAAATCCATCCGCTAGTCTATTCAAAGTGACACTTAAGCATCAATCATGACCTCATCCAAGTTGAGGCTCATATTCACTCAGTCTACTAAGGTACTGTACATGCAAGCAGTTAAAGACTACACCGCTCCAATTAAAGTTGCTAAAGCATGCTGAATATCTGCCAGCCCCTGTCCTGTAGCAGTTACAGGGGATCCAGGCTCCTGGCACAGCTTGACAGGACTACAAGACCCACCTTCTTTCTTCATGCGACCCCGCCAACTCAACTCCTGAGGGCCCAACCTTGATTCTCGATACCTTAGTAGGTACTGTAGAACAACCACTTATTACTCTACTTTCGACGTAGTATAACAGCAAAACCTACACTTATTACTTTACAACATTCTTCCTTTAACTCTTGATACCCTTGCGCGTCATTCTATCGCTTCAATCCACACCACTCTTGGGCTGGCTCCCCATATCGTTTCTCTACCGCCTACGCTCACTCGACCTCGCTGTCGCTCTCTACCGCTGGCGCTCGCTATTTCGCTCCTTCATACTCAACGTTGTGACGTGACGGGGCAGCCCGCCGATACCAGACAACATGGGGCTGTCCATCATCCAAGAGCAACATGATGGTACGAACTACATAAGCAAGGAACCCTTCAAAGAGGATACATGTACTAATGCGCCTCCTCTAGCTATCCTGGGCCAGATCAAAAAGATCACTCAAGGCGATGTAAGCTATCTCCCATCGACCTTTTACGATCCAGCTACTGACCGGTGTCCTTGACGCAATAGTGGAAATGCTTGATTGTCGACGAGAACTCCAAAAAGATCATTGACAATGTCGTCAAGGAGGATGACATCCTCAACAACAATATCGCCAGTTGGTCTCCCAAACACCCCCTACAAGCTATCTCCTGTGCTGACCAGCTTTCTCCTACCCAGCTATCGAGCGAATCGAGAACCGTCGCGAACAGAACCCTGAAATGGACGCAATCTATATTCTATCGCCCGAGCCTTTCGCTGTCGAATGCCTTCTCGCCGACTTCGAGATGCGACGCTACCGTAGCTTCTACCTTGTCTGGACCGGCCTCCTCGACCCCTCACTGCGACGCAAGATTGACGATTTCCCTGGAGCTCGCCAGCTCCGCGCCGGTTTCCAGACCATGTTCGTCGATTTCCTGCCTCGAGAATCGCATCTCGTTACCCTCCGCGACCCCTGGAGCTTTCCAATGCTCTACCACCCAGCATGCAATGCTATTGTTCCTACCCATATGAAGGGTTTGGCGCAAAAGGTAGGACATTATCGTGCGCCCCGTCCGGATCATTTGTACTGATAATTAGCCAGATTGCCGGTCTTTGTATTACTCTTGGAGAATATCCCAAAGTCCGGTACTACAAGCCGCAAGGTGCGCTCCACGATGCATCCGTTTTATGCTCGCATCTGGCCCGATTCGTCCAAGAAGAACTTGATGCGTATGCGCAATGGGATACCAACTTCCCACCAGCTTCACAACGACCGCAGGCCACACTTGTCATTACGGACCGATCGATGGATCTGATGGCACCCCTCGTCCATGAGTTTTCCTACCAAGCCATGGCGCACGACCTCCTTCCCATCAAGGACGGCGACAAAGTAACATATCGCACGGTTATCAACGAAGGAACCCCAGAGGAGCAAGAGAAGGATATGGAATTGACAGACAAAGACAAGATCTGGGTGGACAATCGACATAGACACATGAAGGACACGATTGATAAACTTATGGGCGATTTCCAAAAGTTCCTCCAACAAAACCCACACTTCACCAACGAGAACGCCGATACTACCAATTTGAACACGATTAGGGACATGTTGGCTGGCTTGCCGCAGTTCCAAGAGATGAAGGAGGCTTATTCACTGCATTTGACCATGGCGCAAGAATGCATGAACATTTTCCAGAAGCACAAGCTTATGGATATCTCTTCAGTCGAGCAGACTCTCGCATCTGGGCTTGATGAGGACTTTAAGAGACCAAAGAACATACTCGAAATGGTTGTTCCTTTATTGGACGACGAGGCTGTATCGCTTCCCGATAGACTACGACTCATTGTTCTCTTTATACTATATCGAGACGGTGTCATTGCCGAAGATATCAAGAGATTACTCGCTCATGCAGGTCTCCCTCAGTCTGATGCTGAGGTTGTTGCAAGTTTTGAGCAGCTGGGCGGACGTATGACACATGGCCTCAAAGATGTGCGCCAGCTTCCCCCGCCTCTGTTCCCGATCGACCTGAAGACAACACAACTGAACGAGGAATACGGATTAACACGTTTCGAACCTGCTTTGAAACATATGGTGGACCATCTGGCAAGGGGCATCCTCGAGCAAACTCACTTCCCCTATGTAAAGCCACCGCTGGACCCCAATGAGGAACTTCATCTAGCACAGAGCGCCTCTCTTCGTGCCGGCCGACCGAACTGGGCATCGTCTGGTCGCCGTCCTCCAGAGAACCGACAGCGATTGATTGTTTTCATGGCTGGAGGCGCTACATACAGCGAAAGTCGGGCGTGTTACGAAGTTGGCGAGGCCCGTAGCCGAGATATTGTTTTGGTAACCTCCCATATGCTAACTCCTCAACTCTTCATGCGTCAAATTGGTGATCTTGGTCGCGACAAGCGTCAACTTGACCTGCCCTTGGAGCGACCCAAACGACACGCACCTCGTCACCTCTTCGAACGTCCACCTCCTCCTCGCCCAGCACCATCACAACAGCCGCCACCTCAACAAGCAATGAATCCTGGGCCCATAAACCGACCCGGTGGTCTTCCTCAAAGGCCTGCCCCTGGCATGGTACCTCCAACGGCTTCCATGTCCAACATGTCGATAAACAACCATGGTGGCAGTGCGGCGCCACGACCAAACCCGCATCAAAGTGTTCCATCAAACCAGTCAAACCACGAGGAACCTGGCAAGCTCCACAAGGAGAAGAAGAGGAGAAACTTTCTCGGTATGAAGAAGTAGGGTTCTTGGAACGGGGGGCTCTCTTCGTCTTCTCCGCCATCAAAAGGGGTTCGGCGGTCCCAAACTACCGATACAGACAGCTCGTCAGAGATATATAGAGAACGTCTTCGTAAAGCAGAAAGAAGTGTCTCGAGTGGAAGCCATTTGGGCGATGGCCCTTCGGCGTAGTCAGTACTCGACCAACATGGAATCAAAACATACCATGCTCTTCTTGATTGTGCGATCCCCTGGCCGAGCTCGGCCTTCTTTTGTTCAGTCATTTGCGTATCAGTTGCTATATTATGAAACTTGCTTACGTGAGGGACCTCGTGTTAAGGTTGCTCATGTACATAATACCTGCCCGTAGTATATACACTTTTTGTATTCTTTGTTCTCCTCTTTTGGACGTGTTAACTCAAACAATCCTCATTACTTCATCAAAAGCATCAAGTTCGTCACTAATAATAATGATGAAAACAAGCAAATTTAAAACGGGAAACAAAACAAAAAAAAGATCGCCCATCAACCAATCCATGAATTCACTACCTAATGTTCACCGAGTTTGCCTTAATGCCTATATCCCTTTGATTCCCGCCCCATCGCCGTGCTTCCCAAAAAATCACAAGTAAAAACAAGTTACTAGCTACAGGGCGTACCCTGCTTCCAAGATGCGGTGTGTTGGGTTTCGGTAGATATTCATACAGTAGTGTGGGAAAGCCCTGTATCAAAGGCCTTTGTTTTCAAAGATTCGTGCAGGAAGTTGATGGATTTCGTACATGAGGAGTACAGCTGTATAGTGTAAGGGTGTTTGATTCGATGTGTTGAGCACGGTATCTGCCCAGAGCAGGATCAAGGTCTGCCAAAGGCCGCGCCACGGCCAGGGTTGCCAGCAGGAGGCATGCCACGTCCTTCAAACGGACTACCGGGGAAATCCGGTCCAGGGGGTCCATTGAAGCCTGCAAGGCCAGGAGGGATGAATCCGTGAGGTGGGCCGCCAAAGAAGCCGGGAGGGGGAGGAGGCATGTTGCGAGGTGGAGGGCCACCTAGAGCCTCGGGAGGAGGCATCACGCCGGGTGGGAAGTTGGGAGGGAACATGTGAGGCATGGGCATGTTACGGTTTGGTCCAGGACCGACAGGGCCTACAGGACCGCCAGGAAGTCCTGGAGGAGGGATCATAAGTCCTCGTTGCTGAGGGGGAGGCATCTGGCCACCAGGCATCCAGCTGGGTGGCATCTGGTGGTCCAGGCCAGGACGGGGTGGTGGACGCTGCAAAATTTGCGTAGGCTGATTCGGTCGTGCATCAACGTCAGAAGGGTTGTGGAATCGATCCTCCATCGGAAAGCCAGGTGGTGGTTGGGGTCTCATTTGACGTTGGGGGCCACGGTCGTCCCTAGGGAAATCAGGCTCCTGAGGCATTTGTCCTGGCTTTTGGTGCTGCGGAACCATGCGCATCAACAAGTCGTTTCGTTGGCCCTCCTGAGGTGCTCTCATCAGGTTCATCAAGAACTCAGTGTTGCTGTTGTTACGAGCAGTATCGGGACGGCCAGAGCCTTGGCTGGGGGCATGCTGGCGCTGGCCAACGAGATCCTGAAGAAGCTGTTCAGGACGAGCAGCTTGTTGCTGGGGTCGAGGAGCAAGGATTTCTTGAACATGGTGTGGCGGAGGTCGGCCAAGAGGACCTTCCATACGTCGATCAGGTCCATACTGCTGGAAAGGCGAATCAGGTGAAGTAATTACGTTAGGTCTACCGGCATTTGGCGGCGTTCCCTGAGGGACTGAAAAGGGCGAAGGGCCTGGGGGTGTAGCACTCATGGTCTGCTTCTGCAGCTTCGCAAGTAACTGCTGGAAAGCTTGTCGCTCGTCGTCGGGTCCACCAGAAGGAGCAGGACCGCCGGGGAAAGGCATAGGCAGGGGCATGCCACTGTGAACAGGAGGTCCAGTCATAGGAGTTGGGGGCTCTGTTCGTCCTCGAACTTCTTCCTGGGGCTGCGCGAAAAAGGACGTAAACCTTGATGACTTGCCAGTTGCTTTGGGTTTCGCGACAGGGTTCTTATTCTCTTCGGCACGTGGAGTTTCGAGACCAGCAGTTGTTCCAAAAGCTTCAAAGAACTTGTCTGGTGCAGATGGCACAGCGGGGGCAGATTGAACAGGGGGTTTTTCCATTTCAATCATTGCCTCTGCCGCTTCGGCGTTTACAGGCTTAGTGGAGATTCCAGCTTTCTGCTTCTTCATCTCCTCCATCCACTTCTGGAAATCCTGTTGAGTGTGGGCTTCAGGAAGTTCCTCAAGGGGTTCGTCTAGCCATTCAGGCTCACGCTCGACTCGCTGGTCACGATCCCGCCCCCAGCGTCTATCATTCGTGCGGTTATTGTTGCTGTTGTTGAGGCGATCATCAGTAGCATCGGCAAGAACTTCGCGATCTCTCCAGCTCTTAGCGCGGTCAATACGTTCGCGCTTATCAGGAGTGGTAGTCGTCGCTTCAGTAGCAGGTGTGGTAGCGACATTGGACTCGTTCTTGTACCAGGGCTCGACTTTGTTTCTGTTGATTCCGTTTCGTGGCCGCCCCTCACTGTCCTCTGCATCTCTGGTAAAGCCGTCGAAAGTCCGTGCAGGGCGATCTCGAACAACGTCGCGGTCATCACGATCTTTGGACTGACGCTTCTCGTCTCGGAAGTTACCTCCCATGCGTCCGTGGAAACGCTCGGCACCTTCATGTCCAAAACTCTTGCGAGGCTTCACAGTGCTCCAGCCCTCTGTTTCGCTCTCGCCATCACGACGGCGGAGACCGTTATTGTTGCGGCCATCGCGGAATCGATCGACGTCTAGGTCTCCATTGCGACTTCGGAAGTTGCCGAAACGGCTAGGAGCCTCGGACTCTTTAGTAATTTTGTCAGGCTCAAGGGCTGATTTACCTCGCGCAGAGGCAAAAGCTGTTCGAGGGGGTGCGAAGACAAGGTCCTCAGGGTCTAAACGGTTGAGCTGGTCAGTATTGGAGATTCTGAAGGCCAAAAATAGGGAGACAGACTGGCACTGTTCCTTGAAACATGTCTTTCAACGCCAGGACGGCGATTAGCTTGTTCGAGAAGTGGATTGTCGTTGGATCGAGGTCGATCGTTGGTGACCTTGTTCTGCGTGCGATTCGGTTCAGGTGGGGGTCTAAGGTTGGTCAGGAGACTGAATCCAGCAGCGAGAAATTATTTCTACTCACCCCATCCACTCTTCAGCTGGAGGGAGGCTCGAAGGTTTGATACATAACGGTGACTCCCGCAAGTACAGCAGATCCTCTGCTTCGTATCGAACAACCATTGTAAAGAAATGCAACGCTATGAGCGCATCCGAGAGGTCGGTATTACAAAAATGACGGGTGAAAGGTCCCTGAAACCAACTCAAAATCGCAAGCGAAGAACGGTTTGAAGAACTGAGCCTTGTCAGAACAACGACAGCTTTTGTCTAGGTAATGTGCAGTTTAATTTTTGTTATTGGTATCGGCAAACAAAGGTGACAACGTGGCGAGGATAATATGCGATAACGGAAGAATGGGTTATTGTTGTGCGGAGAATAGGACGATCAATTTGTCGAGTCGGTGAGTCAAGTGAAAGTATTCACAGGGTTGAATGTTGCGACGTAAATTTAGGCGATAGCGATGCAGAACAAAATATTCAGAGGAAAGCGTAGAAATCGAGAGATCAGGTCAAGTTTGGCGGAGGAGGGTGACGTCCTAAGACTTGACTTGTGGTGGTAGTGGTGAGCAAGGCGAACCAGAGGTGGAGCCAAGTCAGGCCAAGCCAAGCTGGTCTTTGTTCGAGCCAAAAAGCCCAATCAAAGCTACAGCGAGGGAGAAGGTTGATTGTAGGGTACAGTAATTATTGATTCGCGGGGCGGGTATTGTCTTGACTCGTCTCCAATAGGCAGTGAATATTGGGATTGGGTTGCGTCGTTGTTGCAAAGAAAAGGCGGGCAGTTTATTAACGGGGAGTGGAAGGTGTGTAACGGTAACGCAGGGAATGTACGAAGTATGGAGTGTTGTTTTCGGTGGCTTGACGTTGTTGCGAAGAGGAGACCAAAAGCGGGCAGAGCAGAGTAGAGGAGGAGATGAGACAGGGCCCAGGTAGAAAAGAGTGAGAGAGAGCTACCTCCTAGCGCGCGGGCTTTTAGTGCCGTGACAACTGGCAGAGGACAAGTCAGACCCTTTTTGGGGTAAGAAGTAGCGAAGATGTGGTAAAAATAATTGAAGAGTAATTTTGCGAGGGCGTCTTTTTAGCAATATTGACTTGAAGGTTAACTATTTCGGTTCTCTAAGAGAATTGACATATTGTTTGTGGAATGAGAATTGCAAATGGATAGTGGATGAACATTGGGGTGCAGTGTATTGCAGTGCACTGTCTGATACTGCTGCGCGCACTGAGTTGAGCCTCCACTCTATAGGTCCATCCCCTCTCTGGAACTCACCCGACTCCACTCCTAGGTACTGTACCTGCTATAACGCACTGGAGCCTCCACAAAAGTTTGGATACTACAGTCAGAGATTGGGCCTCACCTCAGTTTCATCCATATCACACGTCGTAGAGAAACTCAATTCATGGTTACACAGAGCCTTACACACATACTTTGAATTAATCCTTAGAATCATTAATTATGTCCAACTATAAATCATCCTTAGTTCTTCTTAGCAGCAGCAACAGCGGGAACCTCCTCTTCAAGAGGCAGGATATGAGGCAGCGGTCCAACAGGTGTAATAGAGTGAGGGTTGATCTGGGTATGGCTCCTTGTGTAATGCCACTTGATGTGCTCAAACTGTGTGGTATCCTTGAACGCAGGGTGGTTCCAGTACAAGTTGCGCATCCAGCGGTTCAGAGCAGGGTAACCGGATCGAATGTCACGGATGTTACACTTGAAGTGCTGTACGTAGACGGGATCGAAACGGATGATTGTGACGAAACTTTTTTTTTAGCGAAAACAGTTAGTAAAAGACCTTGAAATTGGCAGCAGAACAGGTCTGGTTGGGTGGATCTGAAACTCACAGTCTGATATCAACTTCGGTCAACTGGTTTCCGAACCAGTAAAGGCCTTCCTTTTGCTCAGAGAGATGCTTCTCAGCGCGGTCCAGAGACTCGAATAGAGCCACAACGTTGCGCTCGTAAGCCTCACTCGTGGTTGCAAAGCCAGACTTGTACACGCCGTTGTTGATCCCGCCGTATTGCCACTCATGCGCCTCCTCAATCTGCTTCTGTAGGTTCTCGGGGTACAGTTGGATGGCCTTGTGCTCCTCATCCAAAAGGTCGTCAAACTAAGCCAAGTCAGTTATCATAACTCAAAAGATGTACATTTGAAACACATTACCTCGGTACCGAGCATGCGAAGAATCTCACTGCTCTCGTTGCTCACAATTCGGTTTGTCTTCATATCATAGAGAACTGGCACCGTGTATCGGCCATCATAGTTCTTCTCACTCTCAAAGTACACATCCTTTAGGTGTGTAAAGTTCTCATGGCCCTTGATGGGATCAGGCACGACATTTTCGCCGGGAACATCCTCATCCTTGGACACGAATCGCCAGCCGCCCTCACCAAGGTGCCAGTGAACAACTGAGTACGAGATGAAACCCTCAAGGCCCTTGAGCTTGCGAGCAATGAGAGTTCGGCAAGCCCATGGGCATGCGTAGCTCACGTAAAGGTGATAACGGCCCTTCTCGGCAGGATATTTTGCGTTGGCATCGCGAGAGATCCAGTCTCGGAACGAACTGACTTGGCGCTTGAATTCGCCAGAGGTGTCGCCGGGCTTGACCCAGTCAGTGACTTTGCCGCTGCTTGCCTGCAACTGTGTCAGCAGGCTGAGAAGATCAGTTAGTGTGCCAGTTGTATTTACCATTCTAGTTTGATATGTGGATTGAATGCAGAGAGGTTTGAAAGACGATGTCTTGAGTGAAGACAAAGATCTAGCCAAGTGTTGCTGCTGTGGTTTAAAGAGTAAACTCTTGTTGAAAATTCGGGATCCTCGGATATTGATTCTTTGTATTGACATATCTTAAAAACAAGTCAGGTCTCTCAATGACGGCGACAATCACCACCTTTATAGTCAATTCTCCATCTGCAAGACACAGCTAGAAAAGTGGCCAAACTGCATCACCACCCGCATGGGACCCTCGGCCTTGCTCACTCAGGCTTGCCTCAGCAGCCCCTCACAAGCTGTCGGAGTTTACTAACCAGCTTCACTACGTATTATGCTTGCCTGTTGTGGATTCCACAGAGCTTCCATTGTTGTCATGCCCACCCCCAAGAACTACAGGCTGCTTGGAAGCATTCCATAATCGTGGCGTAATAATTGTACCCCGCTTTACTGCACGCTGCTTATTTAACAGAGACTATTTTCTTGATAAGCCTCTCTGGATCATGACAACAGGCTTGGTCAAACGGATTCTCTCTTCCATCATTTCAGACCTGAGGCACCACCATAGATTTCATTGGTCATTGCAAGTATTTTTTCGTATTGCCATCACGAGTAAGCGAGTTCTTTAGGGAGACAGTCAAGCATAGTTCGAATGAGTTTGGTTTATCTATGGTTATGGATCTCGTCCATCGTTCGGTCATGTGCTCATGTGCACTCGAGTCGTTTTTCACATCTCACATACATACTCTAGGATTGATCAATACATCCATCGCGACACTTATGCAACCTTGACCTTGATGTAAGGCACCTCAACGTCCTCCTCGTTAAGGTCCTCAGCCACAATTTCAAAGATCACCTCTTTCTGATGGGCCGGGATGGGCTTCTTGGAGATAGTCTCAACCAGCTGGCTCAGCTTGAGGGCGTATCGTTCCTTGAGCTTGGAAGGGGCGAAGAAGGAGGCATAGAGAAGACTGACGCCAGAGCTTAGCATGCTGATGGTGAGACCCTTGGCCTTGAATGTGTCCAAAAGTTCCTGTAGAGTGATATCCTCAATCTCGAAACGGTCCCAGATCTTATCCAGAGTAACCTTGCCATCAGGTCCTTGGTATTCCACCTTGGGACTGGCGATAGGCTCACTGAAACCAAAAAAGGGCAGTGCCAGGTTAATGAAACCATTCTTGTACTGCTCAAGGTCGTCCTTGCCATCAATGATCTTGTACAGCTCCAACACAACCAAGCCGGTCACTAACGCAGTAGTTGTGGCAATGGCTGGAATGATCTTGCCAGCAATGAACTTGGTCTTGTGTCGGTCAGCTGGCTCGATCTTGTAGTTCTCGGCCCTCAAGTTGCTGCAAGCGGTGATGAAATCGATGTGATGGTTCGAGTCGTCGTCCTTCTCGAAATCGACAGGGACGAGCTGGAATCCGGACAGAGAGCTGGGTGAAGGCAGACTGTCAGCCAGTTTCTTGATCTCGTCGTTGTCGTCGAAACTAGACTCTTCCTCCTAGAAATCAGTCAGTGCGGATCCTTAGTAAACTGTAGGCATACTTACAACAGGCTCCTTATCATCTGCCTGGATCTTCACGTTGGAATCGGGAGAGAAATCAGGGACAATGACATTCTCCAATTCTCGCAGGTAGATAGACTTGTCAGTTCCTGGAGACTTGATATTGTAGTTGAAGGCGTGAAGGTTGGCCGCGGCAACAATGAATCCAAAGTGAGAGGGGTTGTTGGGGTCGAACTTGAGTGCGTCAGGAGCTCGCTTGGGTCCGGACCAGAATGGGGTGCCGGAAGACGTCTCGGAGTCCTTGGGGAAATTGTAGAGGAGCTGCTGAATCTTGTTGGAAAACTCAGACTCAAACAGTTGGCGAGCCCAGGCAATACAATCCTCAAAGGTCCGAGGCCTCTCGGTCGTAAGGTAGTTACGAATGGTCTCAAGGGTCTCCTTGTGGTTACCGCCCTGCTTCAGCGAGTTCTCGATGAACTGGGGCTGAGTCAGATACAGGTTGACGGTTTGAGGAGCTTTGACGAAAAGCTTCTCGAACATGTACTCTTTAGACCAAGCAATAGTATGGTCAATCTTGTTAGGGAAACTTCGGATTGTGCACATGGGGAACTCTTTCTCAGGGGGGTCCTGAGAGGAAGAATAAGACTCAGTAAGGTGGGGGAGGACGACTTGCGTGTTACCCTTGGTTCCGAGAGTACCACTTTCGAGAAGTGGCTTCTGGAAAAAGACACATCGACGATCAACGTAAGTTCGAGCCTCGACATTATCTAGAGCGTTGGTGACACCATCCAGGTTTCGCCAGAAGTCCTCGTTAAAAACACTCTCAGTGTCAGCGCTAACACGTTCTTTCAAAGTGATCATATGGCCCTCGAGATCGGGGTTCATTCGCTGGACGGCAAGAGCAGCACGGTCACTCTTCATTTTACCAACATCGTCGGCACGGAAAAGGAACTGTCGGTTCAGGTTACTTCTCTCAATAGAGTCCATGTCAGTAACCCAGATCTTGCCCTCGGGACCCGTTCCTAGACCAATCATGGCCCAGTTCTTCAGCATCTCACAGCCAATGGCGCCGGCGCCGACAAGGAACTGCTTCAAGTTGGCAATCTTGTTCTGGTATTCAGTACCGAAAACGGCAATTTGTCCATCATATCGGCTGCCAGTGGGCTTGCAGAGCTCAGCACTTCGCTTAGTAGATGTAGGCAGAGACTCAAGAGAGTCAAAGTACATCCACTGGACAATGGGCTGGAACTTGCCAGAGACTGCCTTGAGAACCTCCTGCGCAACAAGACCACCGAAGTAGGCAGCCATAGGGTTGAGGTCACCTTGGGCTTGGTAGCTCAGCTCCTTCAAAAGCTTCTCATCGAGCTCGATTTCGAGACCCTCCTGCTCAGCAAACTTCTTCGCAGCACCTAGAACAACAATGGCATCGTCATCATCCATGGGGTTGGGAAGTCGCTTGTGGGTGAGTTGAAAAGCATGAAGCGCCTGGAAACCAAGGTGAAGTTGTTGAGGTCGATCAAACTTGGCGAAGTCGGAGATAAGGAATTCGGGTTCCTTCAGTGATGCGGTGAAGTCCTTGAAGTTGATAACCTTGGGCATCTTGACCTGCTGGTACATGCCACCCCGCTTGTACTGGCCCAATCCAGATACATCACCAATCGAAAAGGTATAAGGTCCCTTAACCACAATCTTTCGGGGCTCAGCTCCGTTGAGCGCCTCCATACCCTCGACCTCGGAGAATGTTACGTAGTCACCATCTTCCAACCCGTGTCGAGTTTCGTCAAGGGCGGACACCAGGCCCTCCTCATCGATACCTGCAACGATGCCGCTGAGGGGAGTTTCGCCAGTAGGATCGATGACTGTGAACTTCTCACCGAAATCACAAAAGACAGAGCCGAAGAGTCCGAAAGTATCGGCGACAACGACATAAATTCCCTTGCTATGGCAGTAATCGGCGATGGCCTTTTGTTGGTGGATAGGTGCATTAGTCAAAACGACAACCTGGTACTTGTCGAACTGTGAAAGATCACCATCAAGACCGGGCGACTGGTGAAGCTTGACAGGAGTGTATGCATTTAGTTCAGCAACACGAGGAACAGTGACCTCGTCTCTGGGCTTTCCGACATCGCTAGGGGTGAGGAAGAACTGGGACGAGAGATCCGCAATCTGAACTGGGGCCGGGTCGTAGAGGGTGAGGCTCTTGACGCCAGCCAGAGCAATGTTCTTGGCGATTTCTACACCGAGACCCTTGAGGCCAACAATGAGCACGTTGGAAGCGCCCATGCGCTTCATAGCCTCATGGCCCAAGACATAGAGTTGTCTGCTGTAGAGAGATTCGTCGATTTCGGTATTTCCAACAACGGATTCGTCAACCTGCATTCGGGTTGCGAGGTCAATCTCTGATTGCTTCTGCTGCTATTAACAAGTCAGTTAGTTTCTGGTGTACTTAAGGTGGTGCTAAATATCATAAAATAGCGCCCAACTTTCACATGGTCTGGTAATCAGAGGATCGGCAGGCAACGGGAGGGGGGACGCTTGGGGATATTTACGTACAGCCATTGTGCGTTTATGGGTAGGTGACTCCCCGTTGGAGAGCTTTCGCTTCCCCAGCTTGTCCGTCGTCGGTGTTATTGTGATGTTGGTAATCCTGCGTCAGGTCGTTCCGAGGCGATCCAGCACCAGACAGAGCTCAACCCCGCCGAACAAGAAGGTAAGGGTGAGAAATGTAGAGCAGCGGAAACTATATCTGCTGGCGAAGAATAGGCTCGTCGCAGATCGTGGTAGTCGTGATAGAATATTTGTGAGTGTGTTCAGATGTAAGTTTGTAAGGGAATACGTTTTGGCTTTGGAGTTGGGTGGAACAGAGAGCGCGACAGGCGTCCAATGCTGATGAGGTAATGGCTCGAGTCGGTTTAGTGTTGCATGAGGCAACTCGGACGAGAGCTGTTTTGCCCCACCTTTCATAGTCGTCAGCGGTCTTGGGCAGTTTATTAAGCAAGCCCGAGAGGAATCAGTCAGTGAGGCGGAGCTGTCAGATGTACACTATTCATACTCTACAGCACCCAAACAGCGACTGTGCTAGCTGTTCAACGAAATTTGGAACTTCAAATTTGTATCTATCGTTGTCTTGAATTGACAACAGTCAGGCATTTCATTTCACCTTCCCATAAAGCGTCAACTTATGGTGGACATAAGCTTGACAGTGGCACAGCCGCCCCGCAATACGTATGTACTAAGAATCCCATGGCGGTGCTTGAAGCTTCCACTGTACCTCTCCAACAACTCGGATCCGGTGCTACTGTGGAGGTATTTTGGTTGCAGGTCCCATCAGTCAATCCAACAAACCGACAGAGTCAAAGGATGGCGAAGATAATCTTAATTAGAATGATTTACCGATATGCCGTTGCAGAGTCATTCTCAAGGATCTAAATTCGTGTCGCGGTACAGGTGCAAATCGGTTCCTCGTTATCCATCATGAGATCCAACAGCGGGGTCAATCGCGCGGGGCAGATTTGAAGTCGACGTGATGCTAAAGCTGCAAGAGCACTACCTAACTTAGTTGTTGTGTTTCTTGCTAGATCTGTCTACTCGTCACTCTAATTCGGAGCGTGTCCGGTGAACCTCAATGGGTACGCTAGATAAATAGTCACAGCAACACTGGGTAGGCACTTTTCTCTGAGGCACGAGACTTTGAATGCAATGCTTTTTTATTTTCGCCGTCTTGGTAACGATAACAATGTCAGTTTGACATTGTACCTAAGTGCTGCATGTATGTAGGGGTATAATGAACACCGGGTTGATCTTTATAAGGTTCTGTTGAACATTGCTAGCTTATAACGGGCTCGTCAGGGCCTGGATGCTCCGAGATCGATCGAAAGGTGACGGGAGTTAAAGAGCACATTTATCGGATTTTCTTGAGCTCAACATCGCTAATTTCGGAGTCAGAATCAGTCCAACGGGGGAAAGACTTGTTACTTACAAGATGAGAGTGGAGTTGGGAGGGATGGCACCGGGGAAGCCGCGAGCACCGTAGCCGTAGTCACTACAAAACAATTGTTAACGACGCAATGTGTAATTGCTCAGGGGAGTACATACGGGGTGATAAGAAGAGTAGCCTTCTCGCCAAGCTTCATCTGGACAACACCCTCGTCCCAACCTGCAAAAGGGATTAGCTTGTGGTGTGATGGAATTTTTGAAAAAGCGTACCCTTGATGACCTGACCGACGCCAATCTTGACATCGAAGTCACCACGTCCGACAGAGCTATCGAACCTTTTGGGGGGACGTTAGTCATAGTGAAAAGTGAGGGACAGTGAGTTAAGAGCTTACTGCTTGCCCTTGCCGCCGTTCTCCTGGAGCCAGCCAGTGTACTCCATGCTGACCGTCTGGCCAACCTTGGGGGAAGGGCCGTTACCCTCCGTGATGATAGTCTTTTCGACACCCATGATTGCTTGTGTAAAGGAGAAGTTGCGAGGTTGAGTAAAAAACGGGTTGATTCGAGTGGTGATGCGAGTAGCGCGAGGGATGGATGCAAAGGAGAAAGGCCGCATCTTTGGAAGAGGAGACGAGCGTGGAGCTTTATACGACAACAGCGAGGCAAGGTAGTAAGGAGGTGCAATGCAGTGACAGTGATTCAGTGCCAGGACAATGGGAAGTCTCTTCTGAGCTCCCCCTGTTGGTATGATCCAATGGCTTCATAGTTCGGCTAAGCTCATTCGATTGGATCTCAGGGTCGAAATGGCGGGGCAAGCAGATCGACGGAGGGGCAATGGCGAACTGGAATGACGAGCATCGCCAATCAGAATGCCCCATGACTCCACTGGGGACGACAATTGGGGATAACCTGGAAGCTCACAGAATCCATCACAGTCAGGGAGGTACCTCACAGTAAAAGATACCTCCTACATTCTTCATCACCGTTTCTAATAATCAAAGACATACATGCGGTACAAGGGGAACACGTGGAAAGCACGCCAGTATCAGGTCTAACCTCACTTGGTTTTTCTTGCAAAATACCGCACGCCAATGTTGTGATTGCTTACCCATTGTAACATATCGATTGAAGACGAATGGTGCCTGTACCTCGCACTAAAAGTACACCCATCAGAACTTGACCTACCCGGCAGGCCAGGTACCTTTCTGTAGAAGTACCTTGGCATCGTCATGCGCCTCAAGCGACACAAGTGATTGTCAGTCCCAGATACCTTAGTAGTTCCCAAGGGATGGGCCAACGTTGAACAGTAATATACGTGTACTTGACCAAGGCAAGGTCAAGCGAGATAAAACGAGGCGTGTCGTTAATGTCACAAAGCATATCGGCCAAGTTATCCATCACCGTGCTTGGATGGCTGTCCGCCCAGACTTTATCCATCAGCTCGTGTTCAATTCGGGGCTCTTGGAAACTCGGCCAGATACTGTTATACGTTGGGCATGGCTATTTTTAATCTTGAAAGTGAATTGACACTTGAGAGGTCTTTAACTAGCGGGTTTTGCAGTGGTATTACACTGAAGCATGTTTTGATGCGGACAGCTCTGTTACACAAGTGTCATAGGGGGACCTTGACTGTTACGAATAACTTCATCATTCGCGGTCACAAAGTGATTGTTCGCTTGATCTTCAAGTTTTCCATTAATAACGTGAACTATCAGCAGACACGACGGCAAGAAAAAGTGGTGTTAGTAAGATCAGTCGACATTATTTACGTCTAGGGTAAGCGACTGGTCGTAGTATTGTGTTAGTTACCTAGTAGGTAGTCACTAACTATGCCTACCAAGGTACCGTATTAAACTCGTAGCTTTTGTGGTATACTAATGAGGCAGAGGTGTATCTTCAACGTTTTGTGGCTTTTACTCAACTGCACAAAGGCGATAGGTTGGTGTTAGTTATCCAAAAACTTCATCTTGTTACCCGTGCAAACTTCTCAAGTTGCCAATCGAAGGCTTTTATCGAAAACATCAGGTGGGCAAAGCATTGAGTTGCATTAGATTTCATAGCCGTACTTTTAAAAGGAAGACAGTGGTTGGTATAGTTGCAGAATTGCTTGGTTTTTCCTATAAGATGCGACAATTCTGCGAATGGACAAGGCCATTTTCATAATCCAAGAAGGATGTCCAGCACTCTCTACCTTAATGACAGACCGAAGAGGTCGTACAACTACACGGCGAAATATGAACATAAGGGATACTCATACAGGAAGTAACTATGTATTTGCTGCTAGCCTACTCTGATGTTGGCGCATATAGGCACTCTTCAGGGTATCAGAAAAGTTGGCCGCTTGAGGTATGAGAAATGAAATCAGTAAGTCACTTTATGCTATTTAGATCACGATCTTAGGTCATTTATTTCTGCATATACCCTGAAGGTTAGTGGCCATTCTTTCTGTTGCTCACTACCTAGGCACTCTTGTAGGCCCTCAACAGGACAGGTTGAAACATCACTAATGAAGTTGAAGTCAATAGTGAGTGTACCAAGAACATATGCCTGACTGTATCGGCGCCATTTTATAGCGGAGCAGATTCATTTCGTTTTATAGGGAATGTCTGGCAGACTGCTGGTGTGCTTCAATATGGCAGCTTGATAGGATTTGTCTTGAGGAATAGAACCATTCCGAGGTTGACCTCAAGCGAGATCCTCAAGTTTATGATGGTATTAAAAGCAGCCCAGGTCTTCTCGTCGATCGAAGAGACACAAGTAGCTGAAGGTAGAGCAAACCAACCCCTATAAGACGGACATTCAGATTTCCAAGAATTGATTTTACCATAACCACAATGGACACCCAGCTGGACTTCTTATGGAGATCAACAATTAACATCAAGCTGCACCGAACTTTTACCATGGTTTGTTATTCGAACTTTTCCCTCAAAGCAAGACATCCTGTCGATAAATATGCGTAATGCTGCTGGTTGGTCTCTTCCTGGACTTACAAATAGTGAAGTGCATGGCTAATGTCCGAGCAGAACTGGATCTTTACTAAAGGAATGAAAGAAGGTATTCTTATTGGTCACCCCGTAAATCAGACGTTGAAATAAGATGACTTGTAGAGCTAAGATTCGGCTGTTTCTTTTGCTCGTAAAAATAAAGTTAACTCGACATCCAAAGACTGGGTCTAATGGACGACGGTTGAAAACTCGTGCATCTCGTCAACTGATTTGACAAGACGTATAAATCACTAGGCGAACTTTATTCGATTCGTACTTGCACGAATGAATGACAGTTGTTATTATTCCATTATTGCCCCGAGCTTCTTTACAAGGTCCGAGATGACCATGCAAGGCAGTCTTGGAATATTGAGTTGTTAGGGTAACAAACCTACGCCAAGTGCTTGGAATTGCTTGGAAGTGAGTGATGTGTACAGTATGTACTGCACAGACTAATTACGATAGAACATGAAGAGCATGTAACATGAAACTTGTCAATGAATGTCATGTCGATCATCAAAACGACATCGGCCTAAAAAGAATTCAAGTTTACAATGGATTGGATGCCGCTTGCCGAAGCCACCGAAACAAGTGATCAGGGTCCCCCCCCCTAAAAAGTGGACGCTCATAAGGCGTTTCACAGCCGAACGGCACTCATAGCCGCTAAAGCCCAGCCCTTGGCGTAGCAAATGCCGCCATATCCGTAGAAGCCTCCAAGTACTTCCCTGAGAAGCGCGGGAGTGACGTCAGAAATCAGAAGGAATATCAATATTTTGATAACTTGACTCAAAGAGCTTGCGACGCTTTTTATTGCCAAGAGATTTTCCTCTTGGTGATTGTGGGTAGACCAAGACAGACCAAGTCTGACTTGGTGTGCATCGTTGAGAGATTAGTAGCCATGGTGTTGAAATATAACCCACCGGCTGCCAAAAGAACTAGCTGTAGTAGGATAAAATCAAGTAACCTACCTACCTCTTCAGGTCCGTCTAAGTCGATTCCGATCATTTAGAGCTTCGGTTGCGACGGCGCTTACTTACACACCACTTTAACTTGCCGATGTGCACACCACGCGTGCTTTAAGAACCCTTACAAGCAAGCCTCTTTCTATTTCCCGGCTGTCAAAAGTAACCCTCCTTCCCTTTCTTTTCCCCCCTCAAGGGTACAAGAAAACCACTTGGTCTCCTTAAATGTGAGAGCTATCTTCTTTCCTATCATTTGCCGTATAATCACAATCCCCGCCGGCGCAAACCGATCGATCGCAAGCCCAAACTCCATTGTCGTATTCCTCGGGAACAAGGGTCCAGAAGATGAGCGCTCCAATCAGCTCCAACGGTAACGGCCAAGCCAACGGCCAGAATGGCTCGACAGCAACAAGAAACAGCAACGGAGTATCACCAGAAAAGCAACATAGCACAAACGGAAACGATGCTCCTCACGGACACCACGCGATAAAACACCCTAACAAGATTGGGACCGGACTCAAAGATCGCGTACACCAAATTACAAAAGGACCTCCTGGAGGTTTCGACCCAACTCCTCTTCCCGATGCGCCTCAGGGCTACACGATCCGATTCATTTTCCACGGCGCTTCGAATCTTGCTCCCGCCGACTTTGTCACTATCTCTTCTGACCCCTTCCTCCATGCGACTCTGAAAGGCACTCAGCCAAAGCGCCACAAGGAGGACCCTGATCTTACTCACCGGACAAGAACTATCAGAAAATCTACTGAGCCACAATGGGACGATGAATGGGTAGTTGCCAACGTGCCACCCACAGGCTTCACTCTCAAGTGCCGCCTGTATGACGAAGACTTCCCCGACCATGACGATAGACTGGGCAATGTTACGATCAAAGTACCAAGCATATCGCAGGACTGGAAAGGAATTCCCCCTCCAGGCCGTATCTATGAGGCCAAGAAGCGAGTGATGAGCAAGCGGGCTTATTTGACGAAGGCTGTCACTAGTGTTGTCAACCACAATATGCACATGACTCCTCTTCTCCGCGTGAGCATGGAACTTCTTGGACCCTCAGCTCCGCCTTATGCGCAAATGCATACTGTCGGACCTACAACATGGGTCAAACACTTTAGTCCCCTGATCGGTCGAATCGCTGGCGTCAAGGTCAACGCTAATTCCGACGACGACGCCCGAACAGATCAAAATGAACAGGCCGCCCAGAATGGAAACAAGAAGAGTAAGACACAGAAATATGAGTATGTTGTTCACCCAGTCTTGATAATGGAGTATACTTACATCGTGCTAGTTTCCAAGCGAATGAAATGCAGCTTCAAGGCCCGGTGCCATCCAAATTGTACCACCGCTTTGTCGAGTTCAGACCTATTATTGCATCGATATATTCTTCGGCAGGCCTGCGCGGCACGATTCTGAATAAAGCGCTGCATGGCCAGCATCGCCGTATCTATAATTTCAACGCATCAACCGAATATGGCGACTTTGATGCATGCACTCCAGAAGCTGCGGAACAATTTCTAAAGCTGGTCCACTTCGATGAAGGCGGTCGTATCTTTACTTATGTTCTAACTTTGGACGGCATGTTCAGATTCACAGAGACTGGAAAGGAATTTGGTATAGACATGCTGAGCAAGCACACCATGCATTCTGACGTGGAGACGTATATCGCCTGTTCTGGTGAATTCCTCATCAGACGACTTAACCGCCCTATCGCTTCGGATGAGCCAAGCCCTCATACAAGAACGCACCCATCGCAAGATATTCCTGGTGGTCCGCCTAACGAGCAACCTCCTCATGACCCCTCGTATTACCAATTGGTCATCGACAACGACTCTGGGACGTACCGACCTGACAAGTCGACACTACCTTACTTGAAGGATTTCCTCGAGAACAACTTCCCAGGAATGGGCATTGTGACGATACACTGGGAAGACCAAGAGCTTCAGGACATGAAGGAGAACCAGCGCAATGTCAAGAAGAACGAGGGCCGACTGGTCAACATGGTTCTCAACAGAAGCCAGAGCAGTATTAGCTCCGCTGAGAGTGAGCTAGATGATCGCGAGACGTCTTGGCAGCAGGGACAAAAGAGTAAGCGAGAGGCAGCTTACGAAGCCTTGGAAGACCCGCACAAGGTCAAAGATGCGGTCAAATTGATGGTTCCTGGCTTGAAGCAGGAGCAGGGCGAAAGCTCTAAATGAGTGGGTTCTATATGACTAACGGCCGAGAAAAGTTACTGGATGGTTTTCATAGATGGACTGGTCTGTTTTCCATGGCGAAAGAGATACCTGTATGGATTTCACATACCGCTTTTGTTTTGATAGTCTTGCATTCTTTGATACCTTGGCTTGCTTCGAATTCGTTTTTATGTCTTTAGTTCTATATAAATTTACTCTAATTCAAGAGCCCTGCGCTTTGATAACTATTTACATAACTCCATGGCCATCCTCCGCTGCGTATCAGAGGCTTGGCTTCAGTGCTACCCACTTGCTCGAGCAACTCGCCAGCAATTGCCCTTGCTCATCCTTCATTTCACCCCTGACTGTAGTCTTTCGACCATCGATGTCTTCAGCAATAGCTCTGATACAGAGAACACTGTCTGTTGGGACAGGCTTCAGAAACTTTACGTCTATTCCGCCTGTTACATTGGACGTCTTGAACGCTCTGGCCTCTTTGCCCAACGTGCCGTTCAGATCGAAGATAGTCCCCATGGATTCATCCAAGAGAGCTGTAACGATGCCACCGTGAACAATACCAGGATATCCGCTTACGCCTTCACCCACTGATACCAGCACAACAATCTCAGTGATGTTATGTGCTGGATTCTTGGCAACCTCAACACTTGGCGCACGGAAGTAGCTGATAAAATGTGTCAAGCCACGAGCATTGTTAAGCGAGTTTCCAAAAAGCTGATCATGCGCAGGTGACTGAGGATTCCTACACGACGGGAGGAACGGGATTGTCTCCGGCGCGGACAGTAGAGAAGCAGTCCAAGGATGCGAAGCAAAGAAGGAAAGTTCTGAAGCAAACAGATCAGGTGGTGCGTTACCTGGCGCGATGTCAAGCGCTGGGCAGATGACTGAGTTGCTGTAAGGGGGAAACTCCATGGTGGCTGATGAGAAGGCGTTGATGCGTGAGACTGAGAGGTTGGTATTGACGGGATGACCGAAGCGGCTTCGGATCCGAGAGGGTGGGGCCGCTTGAGAGGAGTTCCAGAAGCTGGGCAATACAGTGGAGGTTTGTGGTCTAGGCCTTAGAAGTTTGAGGCAGCGCATCATATAATACAATCAGTCATGGAGTGTAATGTAGAAGTAGCGAATATGAGGGATAAGAGGGTTCTTGCGCCCGAGTTGATCGACATTGCTTTGACCAAGGATGTTGTGAAGCCGAGGTACTTGAGACTGCGGAGGCTTGGCCGATTAGGGAGAGGAAAGGTAAAGTAGGGCACTCCTATTGGATAGCGTACACTTTAATTCATCTTCAACATATAACTAGAGCTTTGCTATTCTAATATTGTTGTCTGTAATACTATGTAGGTATGTTGTGCGCAATGTTTTCATTTGTATGACCTGTCTGGTGTATTTACCTCCAATTAATTATTGGTTGAAGACACTTGCCGTTGTTGCCTGTACACCTTCATTAAGAACTCCTCTCTGTAAACATACCCGAGTAGGGATATGCTACTGTGTTGCAAATATATAGCACTCAGATAAACAGTACGCTCAGCGAGTCAAGCTGTTGGCGGTTCAATTGTATTGTTTTGCAACTGAGTGTCTGTCACGCCTCGGCAAACACCAAAGTGATATCAAACGCAGACTACATGTGCACAGCAAAGAGACAGGATAGGTAATCGTGAACTGGTGGGTGCCAGAAAAAATTGGCTCTTAGCCTTAAAGTACCAAAATAAACAGCCTAAGAAGTCTAATCCAAGTAGCATAAACTGGCCTACTGATTTCGTCTTATGCTAACAGCGGCCAATTTTTCTGATACTCTAGGGAAGGTGAAGCACGAACAATAGGAACCAATAACGATAGTTCAAGTAACAATACAGGCATCCAGCGTGAAATATTGTTCATGTCCTCCAGTGCCATTCATAAAAATCTGTAATGAATCACATATAGGCACTGTAGGAAGGCACCAAGTCACAAATACGAGCTGCCACTGCTCGCACCTGCTAACTCTATCGCGCATACCGAACGGTAGGCGTTCCTTCCACAGAAATAACACAGATTCACTGTACCTGCCTAGAGGTAGAGAACCACTGCTTTCATTCCCCTCTTTCGCTCCTTCCATCCTTACTACGTTCTCATTTGCGTTTACTCGCGCTGCGTGCGCATTCGCTGCTCAGCACATTTTGCATCTCCAACTTCAACACCGAGACTTTGAACTCGACAGTCATCAAAATGGAAAGCATGGGACATCCAAAAGGACAGACTCTCACGCCCGAACAGATCAATGTCCTTATCACCATCGAACGGTTCGGCGCGGGCTGCTCTATGGTGGCCATTATTTTTCTACTACTGAGCTTCGCCTTGTTCGAGAAGCTTCGAACCACTCCTAACCTCTTCCTCGTGTTCGCCTCGATTGCAAATGCAGGTGCCAGTGTCGCATCTATGATCGGATATGATGGTCTCCAAGCAGGCGAGAGCTCAAACTTGTGCCAAGCCCAGGCTTTCATCTTCGAATGGTATTAGTCTCTGCCCCCGTCAAGTTTCACTGCTGATGCAGGTTTCATAGGTTCATGCAGTCTGACCCTTGGTGGTCTCTTGCCATGGCAATTAATGTGTTTCTAGTCTTCTTCTGCAACGCCGATCCACGAATGTTTCGCAAGTATGCCTGGCTTTACTGTATAATCTGTTTTGGCGGCCCATTGATCCCGGCGATCGTTCTGATCTCCATCCGCAGCTCCCCAAGAGGCCTCATGTTTGGGGATGCTACTGTGAGTGACCAGAAAACTAAAGGTCCGTTCGCAAACTGACGTTTACAAGCTGTGGTGCTGGATTGGAACCGACTGGAGTCTCGTTCGCCTCTACGCCTATTACATCCCGATCTGGATCTTTTCTTTCCTCTCAATCATGATTTATATTGCGGTCGGATACCATGTATTTCATGCTCGAAATATGCTCCGGAATCTGGTGATAGATGGAATGAAGGTTGAAAGGAGTGACAGCATCCCTTACTCTAGCAGCGAGCATAGAGGCTCCTCCGAAGCGGTAATCTCCCCCCTTGTTACCAGTGAGAGAGGCGACACTGACTCTTATCCCCAGAATCTCACAGGCCGCCAGGAATTCTACGGCACTGCTGTCACGGAAGTTCAGATCACACGAGAGGAGCCAAGACAGGCTATACATCATGGTCTTGCCCAACCTTCCACAGCCCACACAGGTTCCAACCCCCCACGTATTCAATCATGGGTTTTGCCTGGCTCCTTCGAGCAACTAGAACGTACTACTTCAGGAAGTGGCCAACGATTCGAGACGGTTTGCACGTCTGATAGTACTCCGCAGTCATCCTCGACTGTGATCACCCGACTTCGTGCGATCAGATCCAACGCCTCCTTGAAACTAAAGCGACTTGATCCGGTAAAGATGGCATATCTACGTACCAGCTTCATCTTTGGCTTCGCAGTATTGATCACATGGATTCCAAGCTCAATCAACCGACTCTACAGCCTGACTCATGGGGACAGAATCAGTTTTAGTCTGAGTGTGGCTAGTGGTTGTGTCCTCCCACTACAAGGTTTCTGGAACACCCTGATTTACTTTACCACCAGCTGGAAGGTGTTCCGTGAAGAAGTCCGAACAGCCAAAGCAGGGTTGTTCAAACGGTCCGAAGAGACAGATGGGATCCGCCTCAACAGTCGACTTGGAACTGTCAAGGGAGACTACCGCGATACCTTTGAGCGAACCCGACAAGTTCGCGCCGGCTCCACTGAGGAGGCTGAGAAGTCAGTAACAAACTGATAGAGTAATCTGTATGAAAGTTCTCGGTATGAACTCGGAACGGGCATGTTTCATCTTTTTGTGAGGGGAATTCATTCATGCATCATGGTCTGCAATGTTTTACAATTCGCCATGAACAGGCAGAGAATTGAGCATTATGTATCTAAAAGCGGAAATCATATCACAAACACGATACTGTATCGCAAATCAGAGTGTCTTATTTCGGCTAAATTCATCATATAATGTTGCCTTGAGGTATTAGAGAAGCTGGCCGCTAGATACGTAAAAGACGAAATTATTAGGTCAGTTTATTCTACTTAGACCATGCTTCTTAAACTATTTATTTTTGTACCTTGAGACTTAGGAAACCAAATGTTCTACTACTCTCTAGAGTCGTCATTGTGATTAGATTCCGAGCATTCTTAAACGTTGTAGATGGCTTCGCCCTGGGCAGCATCCACGCCTTCTCTAACGACCCTATCAACAGCAGCAGGAATATCCTCGTCACCATCAAGTAGATCATACCATCCGTTCTTCACACCATTGGCAGCAAGAAGATGTGAGGCAACCTCAGCTACAGCTTCTCGGCTAATGCCGTCAGGGGAAGAGACGTGCTTGGTTTTTCCAAGCTCGACCTTTGTGGCGGGCTTATCGTTTAGGGTTCCAGGTCGAAGGTTGATACCAACGAGGGAAGGGCTCTTTTTGGAGATCTTGTAAAGAACTTCGTCGGCCTCAATCTTGGCCTTGTAGTAGTTTGATAGAACACCGTTGTTAACCTTCTCGTGGAAGTCATCCCACTCGCCGGCGGGCCACCACGAGGCACCAGCGCGACGTGAGCCAAGGTATGAGATAAGAAGAAACTTTGTGATGCTGGGCACAGAAGCTGCGGCTTCGATGAGGTGAACGGCAGCATCTCGGTCCACCTTGAAAGTCTGGAGTGGGTTAGTGAATGAGCTGATTTGAGGAGGAGATGCGAGAATGCTTACCTTTTCAGCGCCACCTTTGCCTCCAGCGCCTATACCGTGTCAGAAGCATTTCAATTACAAGGCCTTGCTTTAGCTGTGACTTTACCTGCACTCCAAGCAATATAATCAGGTTGGACTTCGCTCAAGACTCCAAGAGCCTTGTCCCGGGAATCGATATCCTCAATGCTACGCACAAGAACATTGAGTTTACCGGGGAGGCCGGCCCCAAGCTGTTCAATGGCGGGGGTCTGTTCTGCAGTACGGATGACGCTGGTGACAGTCCATGAGCGTTTCAGTAGGAGAGGAGTAAGAAGCTGGGCGATCTTGCCATGACCACCGAGAAGAAGGACGTGATGAGAAGCCATGTTGTGTTTAAGAACTGGAATTGTATAGGATGTTGGAGAAATGTGAGATAATTTGGTATGATAGGTATGAGATGACTTCTTAAGATCAATCGATCTTGGATAACCTCACTGAAATAAGTTGATTTGGGTATTTATGGCTGTCTCTTTTTGTACCTAGAAACCTCTTAAACTCTCAAAGTTGCAATTTGTAAAGTATGACGACATTCGCAACAAAGTGGGGTAATTACAAATGCCGAATGGACAACAACGTTGAATATGGATCTTTAAGTTGACGATATTCTTGTGTTTTTGCTCGCCATCAAGGTGAGTATTGCAGATCATTTTGTTCCGTAACTAGTGCCTTGGTAAGTATTGTGGTGGTTGTGATGTCAGACAACGAATAGTGTCAGTAGTGTTGTTGGAGTGCGAGCTTAGATCACACATAATCATTGGAGCATGATTGCAGTGCTAGAATACCCTGGAGTTAAATCATATAGTCTAAGCTGCCGGTTGTGAATTGTTCTATCAATATGAAGCAGAATATCTGCGCTTGGTTACTTGGTTGTGATGTTACACCTGCAGCTTGCTTACACCACTTGAGTACGACCTTGTCATCACTCACCTATCCTATTGCAATCAAGACTTATATCTAGAAGTAAGACTCGGAATAAGAGGGTGTTATTCTCAACTAATTGAACCTTGACCATTGTCCGAAGACAGATAGATTCACAAGTCGATGCCTCTATTCGAGCACAAGGGCTTAGTCAGCGGCCAAGCTGTCGGGGCGAGCGCTAGAGGCACAGCCAGCTGTGCCTCTAGACTTCAACCACGTGATCTTATGGGCACAGTAGCTGTGCCTCTAGATATCCTTATGTAAGCTTGATATATGTAAGTGATGTGATGTTGTGAGGCTATTTACATCCAATTTACTGTATTTCTAGCTATGTGATGCATTAAAGATAGATAAACATGACTCACGCTTCCTCTTGTGTAGCGGATAATATACTAACACTAGTATTAATACAATGAATTAGAATACGCTTTTAAGTATATAACCTGAGTGTTCTTCGGCCCTTATAGTAACTATTCCTCTCGTATTAAGCATCTATAACACTCAAATAGCATAAATAATCATTATAAACCCTAATAGCCGCCGTTATTAGAACCCTCCTCCCTTTGTTATTTAAACTGATGGTTCAGCAACGCCTACAATAACTGCTCCTCCTATGAACTATATTCTGCAGTCTATCCCTATTAATAGCCAAGCTATCCCTCAACGGCCGGCTCCTATGAATAATCGCAACGATCCCCCTAACCTCCAGATAGACTTCTGGCTTACGCATACGAGGCCCGGTGATGCCACTAGTAATACTGCTTTGCAGCAATAGAATCCTTAAGCTCTTGTTGCTGCCTAGAGCACTTTATACCCTCCACCGGGGCAACCAGTCAATGTGATCTAACGGCCCTATGGATATCAAGTTAAGGGGGAATGGCATATTGGCTACTGGTATAATTAACTTTAGCACTGTGCTAGAGAGTAATTACAAGCAGATCTTAGGCCTTAATAGAATTATAATATGCTTATTAACTATAATCAGCACTATTATAGCCAGTAGCTTGCAGTCCCTGGTGTTAATTGGCCTACCCCAGCAGTAGGTATAACTACCTATTAGCCTATTATTTAGGCTCTTTAAAATACAGGGATATCGGTTATTTATATAGATTAAAATGGAAATGCATAGTAGGTTTAGCAAGGAAGGAATTAAGTCAGGGGCATAATATAGTTTTCAGTGATTTTGCTTGCTTAATAGTATAAAAAAATCATACCTAGTGTAAAGATTATTATAACTTTAGGACAGTTCTATAAATCTAGCTTATAATATAATAGATATAGTACTCTGAAATAGCCTTTTTTCTAAGCTTTTGAATGATATATATAATATATCTATTGACCGATTATAACCCAATTTAGATATAGGGGTTCCGATGTTGGTATACCTGCTGCTAATCCTTATGATCCTGGGCTGCCGCCTTCTATATATAATTAGATCCACGATAAGTCATAAAAGGCCATGCCTTTAGCTCCTTTTTAACGTTCCTATTAACCCGTTTAGTCTTAGCCTTATCGAAGTCAAGATAGCTTATTATTTCTTCCTTAGTCTAATCTTAAATACTTCTTCCTATCCTATATTAGCGACCTATTTGCTTCTAATTGAGGCACCAGTTATATTCAGCCTTGCTATAACGCTGGGGCAGCTTTATAGCTTTACAGTACTATTGGTTAGTCTTTAATGCCCCCTGAGGTTATGCGGCATACCACGCTTCTCGATCTGCCTTATAGCGTTGATAGATAGCACAGGCATTATTATAGCTTAATGTATTAGCCTTACTTTATGCAGCAACTGTTAATAGCCCGGCTACTGGAGAAGTCATAGTAATGGTTGTTTTGTGAATTGTTGTCTCTATTGTTATCTCCGTTGTTGTATATACTCCTGTGACCCCTGCAGAGCTAGTTGGGGATAATAAGCATGTTATTGATCTCGATACTGTATATATTACAGTATGAACTGTTATAGAGGTCTAAGTAGGGGCAACTATTATAGGGTCCTGAGTAGGAGGAATAGTTATAGAGTCCTGAGTGGGAGTCTCTGAGATATAATCCTACCGTAGAGGGTATACTTTTGACTTCCTTGTATAACCTGACTGATGACACTTTATGCATGTAGGCGGTGCCTGAGTTTGAGGTCGTAATGTATACTTAATAGCCTTAAATGCATAGGGCTTGCGCTGTGTGCTTGCCACGGGTAACACCGATGTGGCCTGAAGGTAACTAGACTGTATAGTCGGCTTAATAAGAAGTTAAGGGTTGCCGTTGCGTTGAATTCGCTAATGCGAGTGGAAATGATATATCTGTAACGGCTGATTACTATGTATTAAGGGCTGAATCGTATGAGCATATGGCAACCTAAGAGTTCTGTTGAACGAGCCCATGCAGGAGGGAAGCTTATGCAATAACCGAGATCTTTGGGACTTAATAAGCCGAAGGGCCTCGTGTAATATCTAACCACGGATATTGCTATATATTAACCCGGATAGCTTTAAAGGAAAGCTAGCCTGCTGTTTTGCCCGATTGCTATTAAGCTTAGCTAACTGATTTATTATAACTAGCTTGATATGTCTCTATGCCTTAAAGAGGTTAAGCTGGGAAGTCTTGAGATATGATTTGATTAGTTGATGAATACCCTTGCATCGTGATGTAATGAATTGGTTGAAATGAAGGTGTTGATTGACCCAGGCCTTGACGAATCTATCCTTGTAGAGATCTAGCCAGGTCTCCGTGATATAGCCAATCTGACTTATATAGTCAGGTAGATACTTCTTCTTGAATTCACTAAGCTTCTGATAGTATATATCTTCGTTACTAGAGGCAATGAGATTATGCCACAAGGAGTAGAACTCCTTCTACTTCTCTTGCCCTTTATAATCTTTCGAGTCCTTTGTAAATATATCTATGCAATGCCGTAGTATTGCCTTGTTAATATGCTATAAGCATAGTAATGATACTGACTGAGGAAAGGTAGAAGCTATAGCATTTATATAGGCAAGATACCGGTCTATAAGTATTATAGAAGGAGGGTCTATAGTTATGGCCTTATAAAGAGACTATAACCGTATAAGAACCTACTGATAGTTAGCTTCTTCCTCGCTACTGAGGAATGCAAATGCAATACAGAAAGACCGTTGGCAAGTATTAATACTAATAGCATTAAGGAGTGGCATATTATATTTATTGGTCTTATATATATAATCTAGTATTAGCACTTTAGGATAGGATTTAAGGTATTTAAGAGACTTTGGATGTGCAAATAATACTGCCGTGACTCTACTATTGTTAAGGCGTATTTGATTCCAGAAGCCCTCGGATTTAAGCTGCATTATGAGGGCATGTATATTACTTTAACCTTGAATAAGCTCCTGCTTGCTTTATGCAATGCAGTTATAGATATCCTTCTGCGTAGCAAGTATTCCAGTTATATTCCTCAGATATAATGTAATAACCTTTGGTGTTATACCTGCATTCGCCAGTTGCCTGACTATTAATCTATCCGGGCTTGATATCTGACGATAAGTAGGATATGCTAGAGCGTTACTCGGCTCGTAGTTATATATATAATGACTGTAATCAGGGCGATACTTCAGAGACCACGCAGTCCTACTGGGTTCCTCTTTAGCTATCACAGAAAAGAGGCATCCTGTGTAGCGTGATGTAGTATTCCTCTTTTGTATCTTTATTGTTGAAGCAGGCTTTATGCCTCGATCACAAGTGTAGATAACCCCGGTCCTTCCGCTGGGGGTCTTCCAAGAGTTCTTGACTACGAAGGCGTAGCCTCGATCTCGGGCCTAGGCGTTAATAGCGGTGACGAGGTCCTTTCGTGAGGGAAACTCGCCTTCAGGTGGGAGGACATCATCGGGGAAGCAATTTAATATATTAATTGGATCCATTTTAAGTGCAGAATAGTGTAATAGCTTCAATTTGCTTCAATTGTAATGTCAACCGTTGAATTGGAAGGTTTGAGTTGAGGCTACGTATGCATTATGCTGTATCAAGCTTACATAAGGATATCTAGAGGCACAGCTACTGTGCCCATAAGATCACGTGGTTGAAGTCTAGAGGCACAGCTGGCTGTGCCTCTAGCGCTCGCCAGCTGTCGGGAGTTGCGGAGCTATCATGGACTAAACCGTTTACGGGGTTGACACTCATTGGATGTCTTTGCTCACAGCTTGTTGTATATCAATCTCAGGGTCGCCCTTGACTGTCGACACTGAGTTGTTGGGGCCTCGTAAACTCTTGCTTATGAAGGCGAGAAGTTTGTGACTTGTATATCATTTCCCGGCTGCCAGTAAAGCTCACTCATCCTAGCTCTCCTGCTAGAAATCGCTCAACCCTGTCTTGTCTCATTGTGGGAGCAAGCTTTTGAACAGGGGTTGGACCAATTCTTGTATGAGCACCTCCAGGTACCTTTTTGGTGTGAAAAACATGGCCAAGACGGTCTGTATAGTTGGTGAGTTGTACGTTATTTCTCTGGAAACATTTGCTGATTATGCTAGGCGCTGGTCCTTCAGGACTTGTTGCGGCCAAAACGCTATTGCACAATACTGCTCCTGGCGAGTTCAAGGTCACGGTTTTCGATGCCCAGAGAGACATCGGAGGTCTCTGGCCAACGTCAAAGACAGACGATGGACGCCAGGTCCATCCATTTATGTGGTCAAATCAGAGCAGGCATACAATGCAGTTCAGTGAACTTGCCTGGGAAGACAGCGACCCTCAACTCCCGCAGGGTTGGATGGTTGGAAGGTATCTCCGCAGATACCTCGAGCGCTTCTTGACGAATAACGAAAACTTTGAACTGAAGCTTGGTACACGAGTTGAGAGCGCAGAGCGCCCACAAGGATCGGCCAATGGTTGGGTTGTCAACGCCAAGTCAGAAGCCGGGACCGAGACCCAGAACTTTGACTACCTCTTGGTCGCTTCCGGTTTCTTTGGAAAACCTATAATACCCGAATGTTTGAAGAAAGAGACAAATATTCCGGTTACTCATAGCAGCCATTACAGGGATGTCAAGAGTCTGCTAAGCAAAGGCCGACCAGGCGGTGGCAAGATTCTTGTTGTGGGAGGACAAATGTCTGGTGTTGAGATTGCGGGAACGATTGCTGCGCACCTCTCATCTGAGGCCAATTCCCCTAATCCATCAGTGATTACGGATGTCGATAAATACAGTGTTCACCATGTCATTCAGCGTCCGATCTGGGTGTTTCCCCTCTACACCAGCCCCAAGGTAGATACAGATATACGTTTTCATTCTTAGCAAATAACTAACATAAACTTAGCCGACAAACAAAGCCGCACCTTTTCTACCGCTTGACTTTTCATCTTACAATCTCAACAACCGACCCAAGCCTCTGATTAACACACAGGGGCACATCCCTGAAGAAACAGCCAAGACTGTTCACGGAATTTACAAGGGCGTTCTTGGAACTGACCAATCCGAGTTTTCTGCTTTGCTCAAAACTGATGGCACAAACGATGACAAGCAACCCTATCTAGCTGTTAGTGAATGGTACCCTGATTTTGTCCGATCTGGATTGATCACGTTGTCAAACGGCAAGGTGGAAGATCTTGAAGGCCCTACAGCAACATTGTCCGATGGCACAAAGGTTGAAGATGTTGTAGCTGTGGTGGCGGCGACTGGATTTGATGCTTCAACCTGTATAGGCTATCTCCCTAGCGACGTACTGCAGGCACTTCAATTCTCGCCGAAGCACATCGATCAGCCTGTTGCTTTGGCTTTCCATGGAACTCACCACCCACAAGTCCCCGACTTGAGCTTCGTCGGTTTCTATCGGTCACCATACTGGGGTGTTATGCAAATGCAAGCTCGATTTGTAGCGGCCCTGTGGTCTGATAGTGTTTCACCGGGGCGTAATTCCGAGGTCTTTAAGGGCAAGCTTCGCGATGATGTTTCTATCCAGCGAACTCTCGACCTCCGAGATGACCTCCGAGTATCACAATTCCCAATGGGAGACTATCCTTACCTGATGAACGAAATTGCGGGAGCACTTGAACTTCAGATTTGCGAGCCTTTGACGCCACCGGTTCCTAACCTTCCACACAATAACCTTCCTATGAATATGCTCACGCCAGCACGATACACAAACCCAAGCGATGATCAAGACTCGAAGGACGCAGCGACAAAGTCTCTGGAGCAGACACGAAAGGATGCGACCGACGGCCTCACGACGTCGCGATTTGTTGCTCATGCTGTATTCCGAAGCCTTCTCGGTACGTGGAAATTGGAGCGCGATCTTGTCAGCAAACTACCTTCACACCCAAGTGGTCACTTCAGTGGTACGGCACAATTCCTCCTCCGCGAGAAGACGACCGACGGTTTACGATGCGCTGGCAATCCTAGCGAAGACTCCACAGATGGTGACGAGCTAGGGATGGAGTACCTCTACATCGAAGAAGGCGAGTTCAAGACAAGTCAAGGCTTCGGCTTCAAAGCTACACGCCGCTATGTATGGCGCTACAACGAGCTCAAGGACGTGCTGAGCGTCTGGTTTGCCAAGCCCGATGAGCTCAAACGTGCAGACTATCTCTTTCACGAGATTGAGTTCACTGAACCAACGGAGAAGGGATGGGCGGCGAAGGCGGGTCATTTGTGCATTGATGACTATTATGATGTCAAGTATAATTTTGCGTTTCAGGCTGTGAATCTGAAGGAATGGCAGATTGAGTATACGGTCAAGGGGCCGAAGAAGGACTATACGATTACTGGGACTTATACTCGGTAGATGGCCTGTCTTATGTAGAGGTTAAAGCAAGTAATGATAAATGACTGAGATTGAGCTGTTACGATGCATCTCCGCAGCAGGCTAGGACAGGGATATGGCCCGGGCCGATACCTATGTGGCTTTCTCCACAGCTGAATAAAGAGATGCAGGATGAGATCCGAATTAGATCACCTCGGATAGTGAGAGGTGCATCCGGAGAACGTGGAGGGACCAGTCCTTTGGGTTTCGATGCTGGTTTGGCCGGCTCTAGCATGGTAAGATTATCTGCAGCCACTCCTAGTTCCGGCTCCGAACATGTAGCCTGCGGCTCTCCTACTATCTGTGTTAGTAACATCATGGATTTCCAATGAATGAATGGTTTAAGTAAGTTCTTTATATAACTAGGTAAATGTTGATCTAAGACGAACGCACTATATAAAGCAAAATTTATTAAATTAAAGATGTTAAGTTAACCATTAATAATGATTATTCTCAATATACTAGTCTGCCACTTGTAGGCCACTGTTACAGTACCAAGGATGCCTTTAAGAGTATCGTCGTGGCTTAATGCCTGAAGCCTGGCATAGTATAGGCAGCTCTTTAGGTATGCTTCACTCTCTGCCTCCTACATTAGAATGCTTTTATTCCAGCACTATGAAAGGAAGGCATGAAAGGCAATACACTTATCGAGTGCTCATAGATCCAAGAGGAGCAAGACTGTAAAGTCATCAATGTTTATTATCGACAATTGACAGGCATAGTATTCTATAACCTTTTAGCCTAGGTAGCATGAAGGGAATAAATTTTACTAACTTTTTTATATTTTAGCTATTGCATATAGGAAAAGAACATATACTTGGCGTATAGGGAAAGAAGAAATCTTTGAAAAAGCCAGCACATACAGACCTCTTTCATAACATCGAGGGCGCTCCGATACGAGCTGAACGTACACGTATCCTTGTATAGGTATTTGAACATGGATAAACAAACCAGATCCGCGAGCCTACCAGAACAATTTCGGTCGTCATCGAGATGGAAAAACTGACGATTCTAAGATCAGGCCACCACCAAGAAGTGACTGACTGGGGGCCTCTACATCCCTTGTCCCTTGTTCCTTGCATATCGACCGATGGACGGGCCCGTGTGGGGCTCATAAACCCCGGACCCCCGGACATGGACACGGAACGATTCTGGGGTGTTGCTTTGCATAATTTTGGGTGACCTTTTAAGATTTAACTAAGAGACAGGATGAGTCAGGAACCATGGTCAACCATGGATGTATAGAGACTTTAATGTTGCCTGAGATATTTCCGTTTCATGCTGTTTAGGTATTTAGCCATGCTGCATATGGATGAACAGGAATGCGTTCCCTAAGAAACATCCGCGGATACAAAAAGTTTCGAACAATCAAGTATTGTGTCTACTCACATGTTAAAGCCCAACTCAATAGTCAGCTTTCCTGCAAGTTCCTCCTCTCACCTCAAAAAGACGCATAAACATGCTTGGCATTGGGGCTAAGAAGATCAAAATGGGCTGATCTTCCAAGGCACATGCTGACGACACCAGTATGATTGGAATCAATATACAGAGTATCAGTGGTATATATGGCCTCCTATTTTATCGTATGCTAGGCGACTGTGCTTGCCTGAGAAGTGGCTTCATCTCCTTTTTGTCTCTGTTGATAGGTAGATGGTTAAGGTTACCTAGGCAAGCTGAGTTGTCAGGCGGGGTCGCAAAAAAATAGGGACTGAAAAGGACCAGACCAAAATATTGGTATTCTCTTAAGCTACATACTCACTAAATTTGCTTTATTATTTCTATCAAGCACCAGATAAGTGCCGGTTATATGGCCCGTCTACTTGTGTTGAGGTAAATTTAAGGTATATTTATACTCGAGACGAACCTTCCCGGTGTGGAGAACGCCCAGCAACTCTCCTGCACCTTCCAAGCTTACATCCCAGCCTCAAGACCCCGCGCAATTGAGGAAAGACCTAAACATCACATAAGAATATCTACTCTCTCTTACCTACATTCATTCGATCCGATTTTCTAAACCTGATTCTTCATATTTCTTCCGTTAATTTTCATTCCAAACCTCACCCTCCCACCGCCCAAAGCCAGTCATCTCAATATGAAGCTCGCCGTATTCAGCACCAAGCCCTATGACAAGAAGTACTTGACGGCTGTTCTCAACGCCAAGCATGCTGCTTCGGGCATCGAGCTTGTCTTCCACGAATTCGCCCTTAATGAGGATACTGTCTCTCTCGTCGAGGGAGCCGATGCTATTTGTGTTTTCGTCAACGATATTGTTAACGATAATGTCATCTCAGCCCTGGCCGAATTTGGCGTCAAGGCCATTTTGCTTCGATGTGCAGGCTTCAACAACGTTGATCTCGACGCCGCACAACGACTCCGAATAATGGTCGCAAACGTTCCTTCTTACTCGCCCGAGGCTGTCGCTGAATTCGCTGTTGCTCTCATCCAGACTCTCAACCGCAAGACCCACCGCGCCTACAACCGTGTCCGTGAGGGTAATTTTGCCCTTGACGGCCTTCTCGGAAAGACCCTCTGTGGCAAGACTGTCGGTATCGTGGGTGTCGGCAAGATCGGTCTCGCCACTGCACGCATCATGAAGGGTTTCGGTTGCAGATTGCTTGCCTACGATCCTTTCCCTTCACCGGCCTTTGAGGAATATGGCGAGTACAAGGATCTCGAGGACCTTTTGCCCCAGTGCGATATCGTCAGTCTGCATTGCCCACTCATGGAAAAGACACGACACATCATCAACCGCGACACCATCTCTCTGATGAAGGAGGACGCTATGTTGGTCAACACCTCGCGGGGCGGTCTGCTCGACACCGAAGCTGTTATTCATGCACTTAAGACGAACCATATTGGTGGTCTTGCCCTCGATGTGTATGAGGCAGAAGGAGAGCTCTTCTATAACGATCATTCGTCCACCATCATCCAAGACGATAAGCTTATGCGTCTCATGACCTTCCCCAATGTGGTAGTGTGTGGCCACCAGGCCTTCTTCACTGAGGAGGCCCTTACTGAGATTGCCGAGTGTACTCTCAGCAATCTCGAGGAATGGATAGAGAGCAAGACGAGCAAGAACTCACTGACCAAGGATCCTAAGCTGCGACGTCGTGACTCACTGCCCGTCCGCGCCATTTAAATGTGGCCTTGTTTCTTTCCCAGTTGCTATTGTTTGTCGTTGCTGCGCATCGGAAAGGGAGGATTGGAGATCCACTCGAACCGCTAATTGCCTATGTTCTTATCCGCACTTGCTCTCATTCTTTTATCGTCATTCCAGTCTTGGTATGGTGAAAGAGCTCTAGTGGGGGAGATCAAGAGAGACGGTCCTTTGCCATGTGCTACACTTAAAGTGGATCTTAAAGATTCTGATGCGACCCATCTCGTCACCGAAGTGCACCGACGCAAGTCAAGGTTGCATGAGCCTTTCATTATCCCCTGGAATTCCCATTTCTATGGATCCTGGTGCTTCTGGGTGCATCAAAACTTTATTACGTGGTTTTCGTACATTTCGGTATTGGTTCTACAGTTAGAGGGAAATGGCTGGGCTAGACAAGGTCATCATTGTTTCGCTGGGAAAGGTACTGCACGCTTTCATCAAAGAGCATACTATATGGATACTGGTAGTTGAGTTTATTCATTAAAACAGTCCTAAGTTCAAAAGGTATTGTGCTAAATATTCAAGTACATTCCAACTTTTCCGTGCATATCCAATTCCATATGCAAGTCCTGTCCACGTATTATTACCATCCAATCTCTTCCCCACCTCAATCTAAGTCCAAGTCTATATTCGGAGTGAACCAGTCCATCTAGGGCACGATAACAGGAAGCCATATCTCATTGATTGAGTAGCTTAAGGATTGCTCACGTAGCTTCGAGCACGGCGCAAGTCTTCATTATCAGAATCATTGCGAACCTGACCGCCCGAGGCGTTGTGTCCCTTGACCTTTTCAATATCATCAACGCTCTCGTCCTCGCCAGCGTAAGCGTACTTGCTGCGCTCTCGAATCTTAGCACCATATTTCCAGAACATGAAAGGAATAGCACAGCACGCAAGGCCGAGGAAGGCCAGAAGACTCGAGGCCCACTGATCGCCGAGGCGCTCGTACATCTGCTCAGTGAAGAGAACGACGGCAGCACCCCAGAAACTTCGGATACAAGTCTTTGCGGCGAGAGCAGAAGCGGCTTGGTGCTGGTAAGAATCGACAAGGTAGTTGTTGGCAGAGTTGTAGAGGAAGATGAAGCCGAAACCGACGGGGAAACCACCCATGGCTGGGCCGGCCCAGGAGAGATCTGTATACGAAGTCCAGGCAAAGATGAAGAGACCGATTGGGATACACCAGCATGAAATCATCATGGGAATCAGACGGACCTCGGCGGGAGGATTGCCATTGTGCTTCTTCACAAGTGTGATGTAGTGCTTGTTGACGAAGGGAGCACAGAAAGCAGACATAATAACACCAACTGCAATGGGAATGAACATGAGACCAGTCTTTCCAGCAGAGTATCCCTTGCCCTTTTGGTAGATAATGGGGTAGGCGACGAAAAACATGTACAAGAGACCGTAGAGGACACTCATGTACAGAGAAATGAGACAAACGATGAGTTCGCCAAAGAGGAGCTGGAAAGGTCGGATGAGGAAGATTCGAAGGCGTTCAGAAATGGGGCGCAGATCGAGCTCTTGCTCGGTTACATGGTCGGTCTCTCCAGTTTCGGCTCGGAGCTTGCGAGCACGACGGGCCAGGATAGTTGGGGCGTAAGTCTCGGGGACGGTAAAGGTAATAAGGACCCAGACGACGAAGGCGAGGATGAGCTGGATCCAGTAGAGCCATCGCCAACCAGCGGCATCGGAGAGGAAACCACCAATGAGAGGACCAACTAGGCATCTGTTAGTATATGTGCTATAAAGGGTTGATAATAGTTGACTTACTAGCAGGACCGATAAAGGGAGCGGCAGAGAACGCGGCCATGGGAACACCACGCTCTTCGTTCTTCCAAAGATCGGCAAGTGTGCCACCAACAAGAGTCATGGGCGCAGAGAAAGCAATGCCGTCAATGGCACGGCAGACGAGAAGAGTCTCAATGTTGTTGGCCACAGCGCAAGGGATGATGAAGATGACAGCAATGAAGAGAGTAGAACCGTAGATAATCCTTCGTCCGTAAATCTCAGATAAGGGCGCAAAAGCCATGGGTCCAACACCGAAACCCACAACAAACAGACTGACACTCGCAAGAGCAAGCTCATTACTAACATTAAGATCCCTCGTCACACCAGCGATATCAGCGGTGATGATGGACGAGCATAAGGCGACGACAAAACAAGTCAGCGCAACACACATGGTGCACCACCACTTATACGCCTTGCTCCAGTTCTTGGGATTCTCAGGGTCTCCCGGTGTGAAGGTGACGAGCTTGTAGCGGCGTTCCGTTCCGGGCTCGTGGTTTGTGGACTTTCGAGCGATCTCTTCAGGCTGAACGGGACCGGGGATAGCACCGCCGGGGACTTCAACGCGGTACTCATCGAGGTTGGCGTTTGCGCTGAGGGTACGGTAGGGGAGATCGATATCGAGGTCTGGATCTCGGTGTTCCTTCTGGGAGCCGTCCCTTGAGTGGGAGTGGCTGTGAGAAAGGGAGCGGCGGACACGGGACATTGTGCTCTGGTGAGTGTTCAAAGGAGCAAACGTTGCTTCGTCTGGACGGGCTTCATTATCGAGGGTTGTCGAGGATCTACTTGAGTTTGGTTGATCCATTTTGTGTATATGAGCAGAGTATCCAACTCTGGGGTATTGATTAAGTGTATAAAGAAGTATGAAAGTGCAAGATGAGAATCAAGTCAATGTTTCACCCAAGCTTTGTTTGAATACAGATAGATAGAAAGATTTCATGTTCAAAAACGAGGGGACCAAGCCCACCTCTATATACCTACTCTCTTCTTTATAAAGAGTAGTAAAAAACGATGAAATACAGACTCCACTTGATAACGCCGCACCCGATTACCGGGTCTGCACCGTGGATAGTGGATACCGCCACCCGGACCTAAAAGGTCCACTTTAACGGATTACCGTGCGGCTCATTCCGAGGACCTGAACAAAGACTCTCACAGGCACAGGCACAGGCATAAACAGGGGCAGGGGTTTAATAAGAATAAATTGAATGGGGATATTTCGGTGTTGTATTGCAGGTGCAATATAGTCTTCTTTCATCAGGCAATATTTTCCTCATCCTTGTCACTTCCAGAGCCTCATTATCAGCCATGAACCTTCCTCTCCTCTTCTTTCTTTCAACTATTTTTCTTCAATTTTGCTTAGCACGCACTCTCATACTTGTCTCAACTTTAGTCCTCGGTCTCTCTCCGTCACTTTCAAGAGCTTGACGGACGTTGTTGATTCTCCACCTCGGACCCGATGTGGATCCAAATTACTTCTCTAGTCATCGCCCGTCATCGGAACCTGTGGGCTGAACCTCCAACTAACAAGACGAGCTAAAGACTCAAGCTTCTCGCTAACGTCATTAATGCGACCTTGATCCCTGTTCGCTTGACGGTAATAACACTGGTAATTACTTCAAAAAAGAATCATGTTGTTATTGATGTTATCTATCAACTGCTGACTGATAATGCAATTTCTGTCCTTCCCGAGTATCACCGAATCTGTCTGTCTCCCCTGTCAACATGTTATCGCCAACTCAGCTTAACCAAGTTCCACGTCGAACCTCGTGATTCCATTCAGCGCTACACTGACCATGCCTCCACTGTTGTCACTTTCTAATATTCTCGTAGCAGGGCCACAGTATCTTCCAGCTTGTGGTACTGGAACAGTCGTATCTGTCTTCATCGACAGGATCGCCTCTAGATTCGTGACAGGCCCCATCGTCACTTTTGGCGTTGAAACAACCTGATCGTCGTCGGTCATGCTGCAGTCGCCGTTAGAATCGACATGTCGTAAACTTCCATCTGGCTGAACAATCACACGGCTAGAGATTTCTTCACGCCCGTCATGTAAAATCCACGCCCGCGCCCACCCTTGTGCGCTGAACGCCCAAAGGACAGTGTCAAGTCCTAAATCCAAGGCAAGCTCCACTAGGTTGTGACACCTGGCAACAGGCTGTCCTCGAATTTCGAACGGACGATGCACCGTCGTTTCTGCTGAGGCATCATCTGCAAAATGAATGTTGTTGCTGCTTCCTTTGGTCCGCGTGCCCGCTTCATCCATCAGTAGGTCGCCTTCTCTCTCATCCCGGTTTGCTGTCACACACCATTGACGACATCTACCTTCTGATATGACGGCAAACATACTAGAGGGCACTATGTAAAGGACGATCATCTGCATGTTCATGTCCAAACTCTTGGGTGGATCAAAGTTTAAAGGTATCACACCAGCACCCTCCTCCATAGAACCTATGCAATCGTCTCCACCGCCAGCCGAAAACGTTGCCATAACACAGAGGTTATGCCGTGTGTCGAACTCGGCTGTGTACAGCAGAGGTAGCGAGGAATCAGACGGGGGACGGAATCGGGCCTCGCAAATTAAGCGATCCGGGGGCCCAGCTAGTGCATCGGCGCCCAAGGAAAGGGTCCCTATACAGGGATCTGTGTACAAAAAGTGACAACCATCGCTCAGTGGAACGGCTCGGTAGTGATCCATGATACGGCTGGTGGAAAGGCCAGCATGTTTCTATCCTTGTTGGTCTTGAATGCCGTGTGTTTTTGTCGATAAGCGTTGGCGCAGCAGATCAGTTACTTTGATGTATCCACTCATCGAGTCCATTACCGTTAACTTGACATAGACGGAATGGGTAGTTATAAAACGATGGTATGACGCGCTCGTGGCGAAGAAGTTGAGATTATAATATTGCTAAGATGTTGGAAGAGAAAGGAAGAGGGACTACTGGGGAGGTTACCTTAGTAACGCGCTGCCAGAACAACTGAGCATATCAATCAAGGCAAGACCTACTTCGCTGCTGACACGGAGTTGAAATACGCATATGCCAAAAGCGGAAGGACCTATCAACTGCCACTCTTTGAACATTACTGGGAGATACGCAGAATCAGCTCGATTTCAAAGTTGACCGCCTGTGTACAACTGATCTATCTTAGCATGGCATTTACTACTTGACTAACGTGTACTGTTTTAAACAAAAAAAGACATAACTATACTTATTCAAACTTCCGAAGCCAAAGCAAGCGCCGTAGTCATGCACGCGCGCGTCAAATACCCTCATTAAACATTATTTCCACCGTTGTCTCGCCAAACATTCTCATCGCCTATGCCAAGCGTGCTATCAACACCCTGCAGAATAGGTTGCTGGCTCTCTTGTGTCGACTGCGTCTCCTCTGTAATGATTGGGGGAGGTGGCTCATCGTAAATCCATGGCTGTGGAAGTCTGTGGCGGCGTTAGCTACTGGCAAAGATGGCTTTTCAAGGGCTACTTACGGAGCAACAAGGCTAGGGTTAACAAACTGCATTCCCCTCTCCTTATACTCATCTAGCGTACTTCCTCGGCGAAGAAGCGCCTGCGAAGGTCGAACTATACTTTCATCTTCGAATGCATCGTCCATTGCAGCTGCATCAGATGAGTCCTCGTCTGCCCTGATCGCGCGAAGGGCAATGTACTTGGTCAAAGGTTCATACCGGCGCTTGATATAATAACTATACCAAACGGAAAGCGGAATCAGCGGTAGGATGCAAGCAGATTGAATGAATGCCTCCCCTATGGCAATTCGGCCCACCATGACGAGCTCAAAAACAAGTAATCCAACGATGACGCGGTAGCATATTATTCTCCATGCACCCCCGGTAGCATGTTGAGGTTGGTCCATCGCGTAAAGTACCATGTACTTGAAAGCGAAATAACCCAGGACAAAGTAAATCAATCCGATAATGAGAATGATAAAGCCAAGATTCAGAACACTGTAGATGATGCACAGGTTGAATACGAGCAGTGAAGTCGGGAGGAAGAAGCCATACTGGAAAACCGGGGGCTTCTTGAGCTCAAGAGCATCGCGAGGCGTTTTGGAAAGCCATTTGAGGAAAGGGTGGAGGAATACGCTTCCTGCCTCGAGAATTCGGAAGGGCATGAGACCGATGCCCTGCAGCATGATGAAGCAAGTATAGAAAACTGCAAGGTTTTCCACATCCCCGGCTATAACTTTTGGAATCTGGCTTGTGTCCTTAGCAAACTTCTGCAACTCGCTCCACCATGCGAGTCCAGACGTTGAGATCGCGAAGACGAAAAAGGTGTTGAAGAAGGTAAAGAAGTAGTTTTTAGAAATGACCGAGAGCTCCACGTCTCCTTGTGAGATCATTCCTTGCTGGTTGGAGAGAAAATCGTACAAATAGGGAACAGCAACGTTAAGAAGTGAGACGACCAGTGCTGGTAAACCGGTTGAGGCCAAAGAGTAGATAATGGTGTGTTCTCTCAGCCATTTACCTACTGCAGGCGCTGCCTCATTGATTGCACATGGGGTTAACAAACCAGCCAAGAAAGCGGTAGGGGTAATGAAGACAAGAGTGACGACCGTGATAAGAACTGTGACAGTCCAAGACCTAAGACGGCGGATACCACGAGGAGCGTACGTATTCCTCCAGACAAGATCCGAAGGTGCCGGCGTTAGCTTTGTCAAAAGGCGTCCCGGCCTGGGGTCAATGCGTGCTTGGATGGCCATTTGACACGATGCAACAGAATCCATGGTAACAATCGCCATGTCTGTGGGTGTGTACGACTGCTTGCGAGCCTCGGTGACCTTAGCATCTAATCTTCGAAGTCGTTCCTCGTAGTAATCGATGGCATCCACATTGCGTGATCGCAGGCCAAGAGTACCATAGCGTATGTTAACTTTGGGTCTCCCTTCATCTCCTGAATCCCAGGGCTGTTGCTCAGAATCCAAGAGTCGCCCATTCTCCCCAGCTGCCTCACCGTCTCCATCATCTTGAGGACCGTTCTGGGATACTCCATTGCCACGTCTTCTCTGAGACCCGTTGTCTTTTGTCTTTTGCCGCTGTTGTTTGAGAAAGGTGGCCCAGGCACCCTCGAGACATCTTAGTGCAGTGTCTCTCGCATCCACAAGATCGTCAAGCTTTTTCCAATCCCGGCAAATCATAACTTTGTCGACAGTACCGATCTCCAATTTTTCAATAAGGTTCTTGATTGCTTCTTCCGATCGAAGATCTTCCGGTATTCCGGTAAGGCGAAATGTCCTATCCGTAACAGTGGATTGGGAACCAAGATAGTCCTGGCGAAACTTGATAATGCGATGGGTTTCGAGGTTAAGGTAGTAGATTGTCAGCCCGACAAAGAAGTAGGTGAAGAAAACATAAGCCCACATCCAGGTCTTTATCCAGCTCTTATCTTTACCGTCGCCCTTGCCTTTGAGTACATCGATATAGCTCGGGTTGTCATAAAACGCATCAAAGCCGACCGCTTGATTGTCACTTCTACCTCCCACGGGAAGCCTAAAACCTTCATATATATGATTTATCGGCCAGAGCACAAGGGTGGCCAAGAATGCCATAATAACAAAGAGTCGAATGGCCATCTTGAAGAAGCTAAGAAACTATGAATTGTCAGCATTGATCTGGCGCAGTCTGAACGATTCATTGGGTCGTACCACAAAGGCATCAAGTCCAGCGGAAGCCAGAACTTGCTCTTCGGTGATCCTGTAGAGTGTAGGTATCCATCCGAATGTGGTATCAGAAAGATTAGGTAGACCGAGTCGGTGATCGAGGCGACGTTTTCGCGCAGCATAAAGGGCAGGCCATCGTGGACGTAGAAACTGAGGAAGAGTTAGTATTGTGTGTTTCTGCTGTTTAAGCTATACAAAGTATATGACAATGTATGCTCGTTCGAGTATGGGAAGACATACGCAGAAGAGGAAGAAGGCCGAAATACCAATGGCCAAAGACAATACCAACTGGACCTCGAGACTCTTCCCGAGATCAGGTTTGACTGCGGCATCTCCTGAGCATTTTCCTTTATCTTTCTCATCCCCCTCCATCATGATCATCTCGAGAGACATGATGATGGCTTGTAGATGGGAAACTTGGCGGTTGATGCGCTGAGATGCAAGGCTGAGCTCAATTCACGTTGGATTGTGGCGCCTGACGCATAATAACCGATGACGTACGGAGACGGTGAGGAAGAAGACCCACATGAGCTTGGCTTTGCTGAGTCAACATTCATGCAAATCGACTTACCCTGGAGGGAATATGTAGCCGGCAATTTTTTATCTTAGTAGGTAGATAGGTACTTATATTGAAGGAAGAAGTGGTACTAAGCTAGCTGCTGAGCAGCTCTAATAGCGCTCTTGTATGTGTGAGAACAAGGTTGCTTCCTTGAACCGTTGTAGAATGAGGGACAAAGTTAATATTGATTTTAGAGAATTCATGTACAACCACCAAATCTTAACAGGCATAGAACCAATAATGCCACCAAAAAAGATGCCAAACTACTCCAGGTTCCTGGGTATCCATAATGATACATTTGCCCTATATACTTAGTTGGTGAAACACTTTATATTAATCTTGACCGATAATACCAGTGTCTTCAGCAGTATTACTCTAAAAACAGTAAGGAGAAAACAGCAATCAAGTTCGGCAAAGAACGTAGGACTCATCATCGATCCCAAACCCTTATAAACGAAAAGGTATCAACCTGGTTTCAACCGTCCTTATACAATACTGACCCGTAATAGCCATGGTTATGGTCACCACAGACTAAGAACCCATTAACCGCAGATATCTATGAACTACATATATATCTTTCGTAAGTTCAAATATTGTACCAGGAGTCGACATCATCATACAATGATCTCGTAATGCGTGTCGACTCACCAATGACATGACCAGGCTCTGAATCCGAATGATCAGTGTCCAACTGATCAGTGCTTGTCGGTATCTCAGGCAGGTCAACCAAAGCACTGTGCTGAGGATGAAGTCGTGCATCATCGAAAAAGACCCAAGCGCGTTGCCTGTAACATTCCCAGGCTTCAGTGGTGGGACAGTTGTCCTGCCATATCATTCGGGCACAAAGATCAGGAACATGTCTACCATTTTTGAAGTCTTCCCATATCGTGGTCACACGTGCCTTGTGCACATCGTCCAGCTCACCGTGATCCCAACCTTTGAGCCTGCATAGAAGATTACGGAGCCGTTCTGGCTCTTCTTGATCCTCTCTCGCTTTCCTTGCGTCATATAAGAGTTCTGTCACAACGCCAAAGCCATACTCCCCAAGCCTGTCCATTACCTGCGTGGGCAAGGACCACTTCTTGGCCTGGAACATCACCCAGCCCATCCTTTGGAACGAATGGTGTGCAGGCCTGAGTCCCGGCGGACATAATAGATGTGAAGAGTCAGTAGCTGGTAGTCGGATACCGTCCCATTGGGCATAATGGGCCGCGTATAAACTTGAAACATATGTTTGAACACACCGGATGGCCTCATCTTCCCATGAGAGAAACGGTCGACCCTCTCGTTGGCTTAACCGGGGTGGGGGCGTATAGCTGCTGTCCACTGTTGCCTTGTAGAAACGAATTCTATTCATAAGCTCGTATCGCAAGAACGCCCAGAGGAGACGTCTTCGACCTACCACGCCGAAAGAGCCCAAATCAAAATCGCTCTTAAGCGGTTCGCCTTTGAAGAATGTACCGTCATCTGAAAGCCGTGGGAGTCCGCAGTATGCTCGTGGGAGGTAATACGACGTTACCTTCAACATATAGTCGTGGATATACTTTCGTAGGTAATAGTACAACTCTCTTGTTTTCGTGAAGAAACCATGGTTCCCTTCTCTCGCGTCGATCAACCAATCGCCTATTTCGTACCGTTACCACTTGGCTATAAGAGTTGGTACAAATGTCTTTGCAAAACGGGGATCTCGGTTGCTTGAAGGAAATAGCACTATGGCGAAGGCGTCTTGAAGGCTTTCCTCATCGACATTAGCCAATATCAGGTCTAAGGTGATCTTACGCTTGAAAGAGACGCCACAGGATTCGAGGCCTCTAATGTTGTTGGGTTCCTCCGTTTCGGTCCATGGGAAAGCGCAATTGACCCGTGTTGGGCCAGGATTCGGAGCAGTCTCAAAGGAATTGTACCGGGGACAAGACATCTTTTCTCTTTGCGTTTAGAAATAGATATGTAGAGTTGATGCTCTCAGCTATTTCGAGATGAGAAGACTGATTGATGTTGTGGAAGAGTCTTGTTGGAGTGATAGTTTGGTAGCATTGTGCAGATGAGTATGCCTTTAAATAATAACCCGACATCTAGAGACTTTGAAAGTGGTGCTTCTTGAGCGAGTATTCTGAACTCTATAAGAGTTTTAGAACTCTAGTCAAAATATAAACCCTATTCTGAGCTAGAATTTAGTTTTGGGTGTGTTTGAGGCCAAGCGTTGAAGATAAGATAGGTCATGCCTTGAGATTTCCCACATGATATATGCTTGAAATCCGAAAGAGTACACAACCTTGCGGCGTTATTAAAGGCACTGTTAATACACTTTGAATGTTTCGCTTAAGATCTTCTTCTAGGCTTCTAGAAGCCTTCCACACCGCGTATTATCTGCAAGTGAGTTTGACAAGTTCTGCTAATCACCTCCCCCTATGAATCTTTGATATAAACTCCAATATTACCGCAGTCTGTAGATCATAGATGAGAAGCTTTTAGTTCCTTTCATCCTCAATAGGAATAGAAAACTACTTTTTCTTTCTCCAAAATTTTGTTGATTAAGTTGCGGTCCCAACAGACTGGCTTGTTGAAGTCAGAAAGGCATACTTCTGTAGTATGAACAAATCTGGATAGATTTGTGGCTGGGGTGTCAGCTAGCTTGGTCGGGTTGTGCTTCTGGGTCTAGTGTCCTAATGCTTCCTTAATCCTTGCAGCCTTGCAAGTCCGTTGGGATATCTATTCTGCCGTATCGGCCCTGATCGGTGCACATACGATTCTATTAACCATAGGGTGCCACTTCGAACTTGATGTTCAATTTTATGTTTGCGGTATTTTAACTGATAACTAACTAGGATAATCTAGAATAGTTCGAAAGTGCATTGTTTGCGTGGAATGAGAGATCTAAAGCTTCTGTTTTCAAAAGAACTTTTGTCTGTATATATCTCGCTCAGAGCAGGAGAAACTTCTTGGACGAAAGAGATACCTCGATGATGCCAATCTATTTGATGCTAGGTTGCTTATTATTTACGTATATCAATAACGAAGAAGCCATCATGTAAACCATTACTGAGCATTCTCAGACCATGCATTGCCATCATCCAAATAAGCCGTCATTTCGACTGTATCCTTGTTGTTCTTACCTGGGCCATTCTGACTCCTTCATACCCAGTCGGACAATATTAGTTAGCGTTACATTTAGGATCAAGAACCTCTGGTAAATAATATCGAAGAAAGGAAAGGGCGCCTCGTCACATGTTTCCATGGACCCTGCTCTGTCTCAACCTCTCGTCAATTCCACCCATTTCATTATTCCCTCGGCCTCAGCATCGTAACGACATGGGTAAGCTTCTATCGTCAGATCATGCCATGTGGGACTGAAGTTATTGACATGCTAAATAAGCCCATAATCTCCACAGTTGACTAACGGCTTCACTCCCGTCGGGAACAACGTACATTTACCTATTAATTGCGATGAAGTAGGAGGCGTTACTGAGTCAATTGCTTAGATATGGACCGCGAACACTAGTAGATATGTAGAATACACAGCACCAGATGATCGTATCAGCTATTGCAGATAGGAAGAAATTAAACGTCATCCAATTTTTATTTTTTTTCGTTACAAAGAATCTTATCTGATCTACGGTAATCGTTGGTGGTGTGTAGTCCAAAAAAGACGCTAGCAAACTTGTGCCTTGCATCGGCCAGGGCTGAAGAGCCTCATGTCAAATCCATTGAGGCTCAAAGATGATGTGAGAAAATCTTGTTAGCTCGACGCCAGTAAAAGAGGCTATCGGAAGATCAACGGGCAAGCTTCGTCACAAACCAGGTGTTGAATAGGAATCTATACACCCGCTGGTTTCACCCACAACAATTATTTACTATCCGTTCGGACGATTGGAGGCTCTCGCATCGTTGGCTCATATTTAACAGATAATTATCAGACTCAACAACATATCCTTGGAGGCTAACAGACCACAATTCTTATATACGCATTTAGATCGGTTAATCTTTCATTACCTTGGACCAGATGGTGCGCGGGTCTATTACTAGCTTCTCCTTAATCGGACTATCGGATCAGATAAAAGAAACTACAGCGAGTATCCCTGCGTCGCAAAAGACCCTTTGCTGCAGCCAGAGTTCGGTATTGATCTGATTAAGATAATGATCGTCCTCCCTGGTTTTTTTTTTTTAACAAATTAATTCCTTGACGATGGGATACTTGGAAAGGATTCTCATCCATCCTACCCACGCTGCGATGCAATAAACACTCCACTTCGCTCCTTCAGTCCGCCCAGCGACATAGGAACCATGAGTTGATAACCCTTCATAGTGCTTCGTTGCGAAATATTTCTGTACCGGCCCGCTTGGCATTAGTCCGACTTCCGAACGGGTGACTGGCATCTCATCCGGCACAGACATAGTAGGCTGTATGATCCCTGCGGACCCAGTAGGATTATCAACTGGGCCCATTGTCTTGCCACCTAGAGAAGAGAAGAGAAGAGACATTCCTGCGGTTTTTCTGGAGAATGAGACTCTGACTATAAATCTATAATGCTCAGTATGTATATTGCTGGGTTGCACATCACATCATTTTTTGAAGTCTTGAGTGCCCCGGTCAGGTGAAATATCTTCTGGTGCACTTGACTATTCTTCTTACCTCTGTCTTGGATACTCGACATTTTGAGGTCTTGATCATCGAGGAAAATAAAACATGACCACTCCTACTAGCCCCACGCAAGCGCAGAGTGGCTTCGAAAAGCAGATCCAGTCTGACGACCATGTTATCAATGACTTCCCTAACAAGGACAAGGGGAATGACTCCGACAATGGCTCTGAGACTAAGCAAGATGGTGTCAAGCGTGTCGAGGCCATAACCAAGGTCTGGACTCCCGGTATGATGTGGGCTGTCTTCATCTTGTAGGTCATCCTCAGCAGTCTAAACTGAGACGAACATAGTAAGCTAACATTGGTATAGCCTATACTTGGTCAACTTTGTTGATACCCTTCTTCAGGCTGTTCATTCTAGCCTGGTGCCATATGTCACATCTTCTTTCAATCAGCACGGTCTACTAGCCATTACCAGCGTTTTTGGAAGTATTATTGCCGGGGTCTCCAAGCTCGCAATCGCCAAGATCATCGATATCCGTGGACGTAACGAGGGCTTCCTACTGATGATTCTTATCATCATCATTGGAATGATTATGAAGGCTTGCTGCCAAAATGTCGAGACTTATGCCGCCGGAGACACCTTTTACTGGGTTGGACACGTCGGTCTGAGTTACATCATCGATGTTGTTCTTTCGGACATGACCACTCTTCGCAATCGCATGATCATGTTTGGTCTTTATATGAGCCCCCGGCTTGCTTCAACCTTTGGAGGCCCTACCATTGCTGACCTCTTTTACAAGCATTCGACCTGTCGATGGGCCTTTGGATCGTTTTGCATCATTCTAGTTTTCTTCTCTATCCCCGTCTCTGCCATCTTCATGTCCCATGAAATCAAGGCAAAGAAGCTTGGCTACCTATCCGAGAAGAGCCAGCGCAGTTTCTGGGAGTCCACCAAGCACTATTTCGTGGAGTTTGACGTTGTTGGTATGGTCCTGACTATTGCTGGCTTCTCTTTGATCTTGACACCGCTCAACATCGCCACAAGAGCGCCTAATGGCTGGAAGACCGATTATATAGTTGCCATGCTTGTTGTTGGTGTTGTCTGCCTTGTTGGTTTCGCTGCCTGGGAGAAGTGGTATGCCAAGGTCCCCTATGTTCCCTTCAAGTTCCTCAAGGATCGAACCATTCTCGGTGCTTGCCTTCTTAGTGCTTTCCTGAACATGTCTATCTTCGCTTGGGACACCTATTACAACTCCTACCTTCAGGTCGTCCACGGCCTCAGTATTGCTACTGCCGGATACACACTTAACGCCTTTTCTGTCACTTCGACCATTCTGGCCCCTTTTATCGGACTGTAAGCTTCATCATTGCAGTAAATAACTTGAATTATTGGGCTAACACGACACCCAGTTTCCTTCGCTGGTACGGGCGGTACTACTGGCCTGCTGTCTTTGGCATTCCCTGGTGTGTGCTTGGCACTGCTCTCCTCATTCACTTCCGACAGCCTGGCAATGATATTGGGTACCTTGTCATGTGCCAGGTTTTCCATGGTGTTTGCGGTGGTATTTGGACCATGACCGGACCTCTTGCCATCATGACCCAAGTCACTCACCAGGAGATTGCTGTCGTCCTGGCTCTCTACTCTATGTTTGGCTCCATTGGCCAGGCTATCGGATTTGGCATTTCGGGTGCTCTGTGGACCAACGATTTGCCTAGGGAGATGTACGATGCTCTTCCTCAAGACGCCAAGAACCAGACTGCTGCACTCTACGGCGATATGAAACTCCAGATGGCCAACCCCAACGGCACTCCTATCCGAGATGCTGTTATCTATGCCTATGGTGTTGTCCAACGCGAGATGGTCATCGCCGGCTGCGCTTTCCTGCCTCTGATCTGTGTTTGCGTTCTTGTCTGGCGTAACAAGCCCATTGACAAGCAGCAAACCAAAGGAAACGTCTTCTAGACGATGCTGCAACCACAAAAGCAGAGTAATAAAGGACATGTTTACACTAAAAGAGGGATATGTGCGACCATTATCTAAAAGTATTTTGTTTACAATATTATCATTCGTTAACCACGTAAACTTAAGGCTTCAATCTATTAATCATTAATTCATGCCATGCTTCCCAATCATCTCAGTCGCCTCTTCTACAAACTCGCTTGCATCAAAGATTTGCATGACTTTCAGATCTGGATGACAATTGTTACATATTCTGGTGCCACTACTGCAAGAGCTTTGGTCCAGACATGGGCTTATGTTGTGTATTAGTGATAAAGTCAACTATATCACGAGTCCGAAGTCGGAAAATGTCTTGATTCGCATTACTTATGCACCAAAAAGCGGCTGCCAGCACTGATCCGTGGCAACTTGCATAAATTGAAGGATACTCGCATCACACCTTTGTCCCGTGAGTTTGCTATGCCAATTATCGTCCGCTTAAAGGCACATGAACTGTCGGTGTAACCTTTAGAACAGTAGCGGAGCCGAAGCATATCGGCTGCTCGGCTTTGAAGGCATTTTGCTTTAACGCAAACAACATGTTACAATAGAGCTGTTTCATTTTCCCCGGCTGATTCGAGATGCAGGTAACCGCGCCCACAAGATCCATGATTACCTGACTTTGTGCATCCTGCAGGACACTACGACAATGGTGACGATGGAATTTTGGCTTCAATGATATGACTGGCGAATGGTGGATTATAAATCCAAATTGTGTCGGCAACTAACAGTAGATCGACGGGAACCCACAGACGAACAACTCCACGGGATTCCGAGTCGCAGTAAAGTTGGCGTCCAAGTTAGCCAATTCTCGTCGCGGTTATCCTTCAGTCCCATCAAGTTATGTTGTAGCAAAGAGGCAATCGATGTCAAAGAATGGACCATTCATATTTCATCAAAGCGAACAACAGCAATAAGCGTTTGCCCAAATTGATCAGATGAGAGACTCATTGTCGATTACGGGCCAGCTTTGGCTGGGGTTTGTTGTTTCGTGGATGTATAATTGAGAGCACGACTCTGCTATTCATATCGGAGACACACTTTCTGATCTATGGCCACCCCCAAACTGCGCATGAAAACAACAAACGGTACAAGATGATGTCTGACTCTGAAGCAGACATGTCGGGTGTAAATAGATGCAAGTGCAGCAGTAGTCTGTCTGCGTAGACATCAGATGGCCCCAAAACGAGATGAATGCTAGATGAATCACAGGCGATATCTCTCCAACCTTGATCCCAGATCTTCCTAGTGTAACCAATGACTTCTCTTTGCGGTTTGAAAACAAAGTGAAGATGTGTGTATGGTGTTGTCTGTTTGACGACTAGAGTCATGGGAATGTCACCGCTGATCGATCCGAAGTTTCATGAGAAGAGACAGCATCAGCTGTAGAAACAGAGGAGCAAACACTGAAGAGCCAAACGGCTCTCGCATCCTCTACTTCTAAGGGTATAAATCGTAGGGTCCCCTTCTCATGAAGCTATCATCACAACTTCACGCAACGATCAGTAACCCACTTTGGCAAGGCCTCTCTTCTATTCCATTCATACCTCAGACGAGACTACTCCATACTTCACTATCATAACCTCAGCAACTACCACAGAACTACTGAACAATGTCTGACAAGAACAAGACCATCGACAACGCATCTTCCAAGAGTTCGGATGCCTCAAAGCAGCCATCTCAAGTTTGCACATCTGGCTCAACCATGCAGAATCCACAGCCACAGGGCAATGTGCAGCCAACAACAAATGGGACGAACACCACTCAAACAGCAGTAGGCCAGATCGGAAATCTACCCATCAAGCCCGATGAAGGTTCCTGGAACCCACTCACCCAAGGCCGGGCTCTCAAAGAATCCGACACACCGATTGACCCAACGGACGAAAGGTACATTCACATCTCGGACGATGAAGGAAAAGAAAGCAAGTAGAGTCGGAGAAGCGTTGAACACAAATTTCAAGACACAGTACGCAAAGACCAGGCGTTAAATCTTGATGAAGCCAGGCTGAGTCCAATATGGTCTGGATTTGTATGTAGTGACGCTTAGTGTATCATGGCAGGATGTTCTTCGGCACGTCGAGAGTTGAAGAAAAGATCGAGTTGTTCGGGAGGAGTTTTGGAACGCTGATGATATCGGATTATGGGTTGTTGATCATCGACTTGGGCCAAGGTCAGGTCAAGATAGGAGATGGTTTATTAGTCTGAGACATGTTTTATCAAATTCATCCCGTTTCCGCAAAAGCCTAATTTTAAGTGCCCGTTGTTTTTGAATCAGTATTTCGGTATAAGGAATGGCCAAGTCTGGCGGCCAGGATGGCTTTGGGAGGGTACATCGTTTTCATCGTCAGGCTTTGGTATGAGACGAGATGAGGTCCTAAAATGTTGCTGTCGAGAGAAATCTTGGCAATTCTTGGTGTAGTGGATCAAGACCCCACCAAGATTAGCCTGAGCTGTCACGGTTATAGTGGTGACAATAAAAGGGTCATTTCCATCTGGATTGTCCAAGCTCCAGCTGTGAGTATTAGACTAATAATGTGCTGTCTGTACAAAGTAATGCGTGCTTGTCATTCATCGTCATGCTCGTTAATGGGACACGCATTAATTGCTAAGCATCAAACACAATTTTCTCGTATTTTCTTTTTTTAACTTCAGGTTGTACATATTCGTAGAGTCTGACTGTACCACATCTGTAACATGCCATGTGTAGGTAAGTACCGTACAGATGAGAATAAATCAATTCTTGGCAAGGGTCTTGAATGATCAAGGCAATCGACCTGCCGTTTTCTGATAATAGTAAACTTGACGAACTACCGTAGCCTTCTGTGTTGGGTATTCGATGGCGAGGGGAGCAAAAAAAGAGGCACTCTCGGAAATTGCAATGACGGCGAAACCCAAAATGAACCAATTGGGGATAATGCTACAGGTGGGGGAGGGACTATTTCAGGCACGCAGCTCCGCTTACTGGTCTGGGCCCGGGCTTTTGCTCAGTAAAAGTCCGTGTATGGAATGGGCTCTCCAATGCTTTCTATCGCTGTAAGATAAACAATCAACACTGCATGATTTCATATAATGGTACTAAAACAGCGATGAGATTATATCGAACTATACAGACTGGACTATATGTTACTTGTGAGTGACACCTGGATGAAAGTACCCAATTTACACTGTATTTTATGTAATACAGTGACAAGACGGAACATGCTGAAACTGAGACGCTCTCGGACGTTTTACCGTGTAAGGGACAGGACAGGATGGGACAGGACGGAAACAAAACAAATACGCAAGGCAGTTGTTGTCAACAACAACAACATCATCATCACAAAAGACATAAAAAAGGGGAGGACTGATGTTATCATGCAAGATGATATTTTGGGGTGTCGAAAGCACAGAAATAAAAGTCTTGTCTAGGTCTACTGCGCCAAGGCTAAGCCATTGGATTTGAATTTTTGACCGCGTGATACCATCCATGATCATCCATGCAAATACCATGACCTGGATCTAGATAATAACGGTACATGGACCCCAAGTACCGACACCATATCGAGATGACCTCCGGCCTTCCCGTAGTTACTTGGGCCCCAAGTCTCTTGGCGCTCTTTTCTTAGTCTCATTCGATTGCTTCACTCGTAAAGCACGGCACTCATGGCCCGGCCTGGGCATGCATTATCACTGGCTGATAAACAACCGCCCAGAGTTTTTACGGACGGACGCGTATGTTGTATTTCCAAGGTTTCCCAGCGTTTTTTGCATTGCATCTTTTTGGCTTCCCTTTGCAGCAAAGGAAGCAAGTAGATCATGGAAGTCTTCATTTCTTTTGCATTCCCTATCATTACTGTGTCATTTCTTTTTCAATTCCACTCCTTCTCTCTGTGTCTCCCTCTCTCGCTTAAGCACCGAATTTTCGCCAGTAAACAAAAAAAAAAAACGATAGCCATAATAATTAAAAGAAAAAAAGTCTCCAAAAGACGAGACAATTACCTCCACCGTTCAAACGACCCTGGACCCCACTGTTGAGGTCTTCGGGTTCTCTGATTCTACCGCTTACAGTGAGTGATTCGCCCCAATTTTTCCCCGGCTGCAGGCTGTTGTGCACTGAAGTACCTACATATGTACCTCAGCTGTGCCTTCCCACCCACTTCTCTCTTCCCGCCCATCCCCCATCCCAGTCCAGCCCAGTCATTTGTATCTACTATCCCATCAACAACAAAGGATTTAATTCTTCCCTTTGAACCTCACTCGACTTGGTTCCTACCGTGATCGGCTGACCCCATTTCTCTTTGCTTTTCACCTCCAACTCTTGTACTAAATCATCCGAAAGAAATAAGAGGTTGGGTATTCGTACTCTTGTTAATTATTCCCACCTCCAGTAGTGGCTTGGGTGACGACACGACTCTTCAATAGCGCACGCAAGCCAGCCTTGGCTTTTTTTGGAACCTGACAACAACGAGACAAGACAAGACAAAAAACAAGACAGACCAAGCCCGAAAGACTCGCCTCCCTCCAGCCAAGTCCCTACCCAACTCTAATCCTCACTGTACTGTAACACAGGCATACAAAGGACTGGACCGTCCGCTCCGGTGGAACCGACACAACCTTAACCGTCCCGTCGTCTCTCGTTTTTGTACTGGTCAACGCCCTTCACCTTCACCCTCACGGCCTCGTCGCTCGCTTTTTGTCGCTTCAACAACTTCAGCCTCTCCGATTTGGGCTTTTACTAACCTTTAATTCACCGTTACAATGGGTGCGTCATCATTCCTATCCTATGTCGACTCGCACATCGAATCCCCTCATACTAACATACGACTTTCGCAGCCGACCAAGGAGGAGCTGGCGCTGGAGCCCCCGTAACTACCATCGTCCCTTTCAACAACCAACAAGTTCTTCCAGCTTGTGCCGCCGCCTGTGGTCCCCTCTACGATGCCAACGGCGCCTGTGTTCCGCCTCAAGTAGCCGCTGATGCCGGCCCCAAGGCCTACACATCATGTTTCTGTCTCGACCAGCGAGTCGCCGCTTTCAAGACTGCAACCCAGGGTGTATGCGATGAAGCATGTGGTGCAGAAGGTCTTTCCTCAATCGCTGGCTGGTTTCGCAGCATGTGCGGTACCGCGACCAAGACGAATGGGGGATCAACACAACAAACTGGACAGGGTTCAACAGCTACGACGGCTGGAGATTCTTCATCAACTGCTGGTTCAAGGCTTTCCAACAACGAGGGTGGTGGTGACTGGTACGTTCATACATCATTTTACCAAGGTCTCGTGACCAGTTCTAACACGAAAATAGGATTTCAAACCATTGGCAGTGGGTCATCATGATTGTTGTTCTCGTTGTCGGCATCACCGCTATCTGGGTCGGTGCCTGCATTTGGCGTCGTCGCTACCTGAAGAAGAAGGATCGCCAATCTCATCTCATTCAAAAGCATTCCGGTTCCGCCTCGCGACCATCCTGGGGTCCCGGTATGGAGGCCTCTGAGGGCGGCATACCTTACGACGACGAATCGAACCGAAATTCGCATGGCCTCATGCTTCCCGGTGCCACCGCTGGTGCTGTCGAAGAGGAGCCAAAGGAGAAGAAGCGATGGATCGTCCGCGACCGAACATGATGATGGTCATCGCTACCATTTAACGCCCTTTTCCGACCTCGTAACGATTCTCCTTGCCATATCCCGAGTTCCAATCAAAAAGAAAATTCGACCTACTACTGTCCGCCTTACGACATAGACCGCGCATTCACCACCTATACGGCCTTGCTCTATTTGATGTCATCGACTGCCTTTGATTTTGATAGTTTTACCTGGGCGGATTATACCCAGCATAGGCGAATCTGCAAATGCATTCGATGCAGGCGATCGGAATTCGATCACGGTTGAGAATACCGTCTGCAACGTTTTCTGTGATCCACCGTCAATGCTTTGATTTGAGTTATCTCGTCTAATCGCTGTTTTCCCCAGTGGAGTTTTTGTTTTACGGTACAACCAGGCGTTTGGAGGAAAGAATACGGGTGGCGCATCCTCACGATTTGTTGTTTCTGTTTGATATTTTTTCGGTGATTGTTGCCACGGAGCTTATTTGACTTGCATCTGTTGGATACAACATCGACAATTACAACAATGAAGGGGAATTGAAGTATTGTTTTGTTTTTATTTAGGCCAGAACGGAAATATTATCTGGTTATCTGGTTATCTGTTTGACATATCTACTATACTACTTGCTGTCTCCCAGGCACTCAAGAGGAGGTATGGAGTCTATCCTTGATACAGCTTATATAACAAATCCACCCACATGCGAAATGCTCAACTCGCAATCGCTTCGTTTTCTTGTTCGGTATAGCGACTTAAACGATGTTTGATTAGATATTTAAAAAAAACATTGCAAGGATGTTGATGTCACATCGTATCTAGTATAGGATTCGAATGACGTCGTAAGCAACGCCCCACGTTTCAACGAGTTGTTTGATAGTCAATGAGGCTCAACAAAGTTTCATGTATTCAACGCTTAAAGATGCTTGTTATTAACCTAATCAGGAGAATGCTTATAGTAGTGTATGCATGGTATTGTACGTGTGACTCAAGCCAACACCCAGGTCCCCTAGTCTCACGCTCATCATCCCATCCTTCTCTTCAAACAATTCTATGCCCTGTTCTGTTCTTCCATAGCGTCCATGTACAAGTCAATCAGACAGCCAGCCGACCAGGCTTGTGTAGGGCTCTGTATAGTTATTAGCATTCATGAACAATCTATTCGAAACAAAAAAAAAAAAACTTACAGAGTCGGCGCAGTATTCGCCGTTCTTCTGTGTCAACTCTTGAAGACCAGCCCAAGGGCTCTCCCGGATCATCTTCTTACACCCGCCAAGCCTTCTGGTAACCTGCTGGAATGCCTCAGTGCGATCTTCGGCTGTTGTTCGCCTCTTGAGGTCGAACTTGAGGAGGGCTCGGAGGAAGAATCCAGTGGGCCAGATCCACTCAGGTCCCTGGTGGTAGTTGCGGCCCTTGCTTGTTGCGAAATCATCACTATCTTCACTGTTGACGTAGTAAGGGCGGTAGTTAAGATCTGCAGGGTCCAAAGTCGCCATTCCTTGAGGTCCTCGGAGAGCCTCGTCAGCAACACACAGAGCATGCATCGCGTGATCAGGGTCAAAGAGGGCCGGTGCAGTGGTCATGGCGATGGCAAAGTTAGGACGCAGCTGGTAGTCCTCGTACTCCTTCCCAGACTTGTACAGATCTTTGTAGATTCCACGACGATTGACGATAGGAGTGTTGACATCGTACTTGGAATCATCTTCAGGCGAGACAGGAACATAGTAGCATCGCTCGAAGTTGGTCTTGAGCAGACTGGCCCAGTCAGCGAGCGAGATAGAGCCACCATCGGATTTCTCTACACTCCCATACGCATATTTGCCTTTTCCGTGGAGTCCAGCGACCCAATCGAGAGTGCTGTACAGCATACCGGTGATCTCAATGGCAGCGCCATCACGAGGGGTACCAGGAATACCCTTGGAGCCTGCTCGCTCACTTTCGCCCATCTTATCCATCCAGGTACCGCAGTTGAACTGGTTGCCGCCAAAGATGATACCGTTGTTCCAATCAACATAAATCTCCTGGTTGAAGCCTTCGTCCTTCATTTGGGAGTCAATCTGGGGGCCAGCATTGGCTTCCCGGTACTTCATTCCGGTAGCATGTCTTTGAAGTGCTTCTTGAATTACCTCCTCAATGGTACTCTCCTTGGAGTATGCCCTCTCATCATCGGTAGGGAACCAATTATCGTCATAAGGTAGGAAACGGCGCTTGACCTTGGCTTTAAGGATGTCAAGACCCTCGGGAGCGAACCGTGTGTAGTCTTGGATACACTGGAGGAAGAACCAAATTGAATCTCGGGAGTTGTACCTGGGCGCGTCGCCACTGCTAAGAAGGTTGGGGATCATGCCGTGCTTCAACACGCTGGCAAACGCGAGGATATGTTCCTTGGCGTCATCAAAACGGCCAGTGCCAAGAAGAAGTCCACGGAGGGCAATAAACACATCTCGGCCCCAACATCTGGCCCATTCCACAGCAAAATGGGGAAGGCCAGCAGCCAGAGAAGGGACTAACTTGTTGGGCCACAGAGATGCCGACTTGACATAGCCAACCTGCTGTACACTGACCATGGCTAAACTTTGCAGGAACCACTGACCGTCTCGTACACTGGAGTTCATGAGCTCCAGAGACTTCTCCCAACTTGCCATATACGCAGTGCGCAAGACAAGGCCAAAGTATCGAGGAAGCAGGAAACTGGGAATCTTCCGGATGGCATCGAAGCGCTCCTGCAGCCATCTCAAGGGCTCGGCAATAGCCTCGTTTCCGGGAGTAGAACTGATTCTCTGTAGTCTTGCTAGAATGAAATCTAGAGCCCATTCACCATCGCGAAGATTTTGACATAACGGGTGAGCCAGGTTGTTTTCCTTGATGATGTTGTTGAGGATGCTCCACCATCCCTGGAGGCCGGCATAAACAAGCTTCCCATGCCCAGGAATATCGTAAACACCATCTCGGCCATCGCTCTCAGCACGTTCCTCAGCTTCGCATCTGTACATGAGGAAGTTGAGATCAGACAAACTAAGTTCACTCCATGCCGCCTTGGCCCCTGAGGTGACATAGTTGTCCAAACCGGAGGAATGCTCAGCAGCAGGGATCCAGGTCTCAAAGAGGGCAATGCTTCCTGGAGGGAACTTGTCGCGCACGGTGATTGTGGTATCGTCACCGTTGACTTCCATTCGAATACCAGGTACATCCTTGACCCGACTAGGCAAGCCGCGCAGGTATTTCTTGTCGTTAAGCGCTTGTTTGGTCGCATCCTCACTGGCGTCAACCTCAAGCATCCAGCTGCCCAGGTGCCGAGCCTTGGTACCAGTAAGATGAACAGGGCTAAAGTCACCATTTCCATTACCATAGCCTGGGAAGGCCGTATGTGCGATGAGGAAGTAGCCCTTGCGAGATTCAGGGTGTACTCGGTGAACAGTAATGTACTGATCCTCGTGATGGATATGAGTTTCATCGTATCCATCCTTGCCCATCAAGGTGTGGATCTGGTTGAGAAGCTTCTTGACACCACCAATGCCGTCCTCGCCGCCTCCTATCTTGATCGGCTTTGACCCGGAAGAGGCAGAGGTATAGAGCCGAGTCTCGTTGACCAGATCCACGAGCTTGGGGTAGATTTCGTCGTAACCCATGACACTTCCAGTAGCACTAGAGCACATGCAGACAAGGGCAGCGTTGGGTAAAGTGTCGCGAGCATCACGCTTTTGGGCTGGTGTCTCGTTGTCATGGGTGCAGTCCATGAAAAGAGCTTGTACAGGACTAGGCTTGATCGCTCGAACAATCTCTCTAGATCGGGGCGCATTTCCATTTTTGTCACCATTCTTAAGTCTCGTCGGGCTGCTTGATGGAGTGCAGACATCCGACTTTGAGACTTCATCAACCTCAAAGCTTCCAATAGGTCGGCCACCGTGCCTGTGCACAAGCCGACTGAGTTCAGCGGTGCTCCATGCCTGCATGGCTTCACGAATGAGTGAGCTAAGACCAAGACGCTTCACAAATACGTAGTCCATCTCTTCAGACCCCGTGAACAGCTCAGCGACTACATACAGGTCAGGTCGCACGCGACGCGCCTCGTCGAGGATGTGCTCAGCAACATGGATCGGTGTAGAGTGGCAGTTGTCAATACGAAGACCGGCAAAGTACTTGGCGAGTGTGCGAGCATATTTGGTCATGTGCTCCCACAGCCAAGGGTTGTCTTCAGGCCCTGAGCCATATCGCAACTTGACACAGTCGCCCCAGACGATGACTTCTCGTCGAAGGTAGACCCTTGATTCAGGACCAGCATTATCAACCAGAGCATTGCCTCCCCAAACCCATCCGTTGTTGACCAAGGCCATCTCCTCGGGCTTGAGCTTGGATGTTGTGTCGTTTTTAGGTAATCGAGTAAAATAAGGCTCAATCAGGGGGTTCTCCTCGTTAATCTCACCAAGTTTGGGGCCGTGTTCATCGAGTCGAACATACTTGATCCTGTTAAAGATCTGCTGGAGTATATCATCCACTTCAGCGTCATACTCCTTGTAGAAGTCAACATTGAGGATATTCAAAATCTCGACGATCTTGGCCCTAGCAACATTCTCGTCGGAAGAACCGGCCAAGAAGCTTGCGGCGACGTCAGGCTTCACGCGCCTACGGAAGCGCTCGCCCATTCGGTCAGTACCAGCCAAACCGAATTCCCTGAAGAAATCAACCTGCTCCTTGACTGAAGCAGATCTGGCATTGTCCAACTTCTTCTCAAAGTCCGCGTCATCCTCAGAGCTGTATTTACGCCCCTGGGAGAACGCCTTGACTGCCTCGTCGGCGTCTCGGTCAACGTCGAGTGCATAGTATTCCCATAGCCTAATCTTGGCGAGGACTTCGGTTTTGATAGCGTTCATAATGAGCAGCAGATCGTCGGTAGACTTTACTTCGGTGGGAAGTCCAAGCTTCGCCAAGTTGTCACTCAACTCCAAGAGACTTGTGTCGAGTTGGTAAGCAGACTCGAGCCACGGGGCAGTGATCAAATTGTAACCAGCCTCAGGATGTTCCTC